TTATAAATATTGAATGGTTATACTGTGTTCTGATTGGCCAGAATTTGATATACCATGCCTAGCTTTGTATGGATATATATTTTGGTATATTCTGAAATATTAACATCACCTGATAGCTAATTATAAGATATTGATATCAAGGTTATATTCATTAAATCAAGGTAATAATCATCATACGAGTGTGTGATATCATCTTCAACAATGAGTTGATATTAACATCACTTGCAATCTACCTGTTCGAGTGGGTCATCAAGGGTAACATTATAAACGCCATCCTCATGAGCATGAGCCTTCTGAAAGTACATATCATGTGTAAGCATAGTGAACAAGCACTCATATTGGTATCAGACTGTTGATGAGTATGTCTAGGACTAATATGACTTGAAGGAAGTTTTTTTTTATTCACCTTCCACTAGCACTACAAAGCAACCAATTCATTTTTATGTTACCTCCAGAAGTGGTGACATATTGTTATAGTCCTCAGCTTTTCTGTAGATGGTGTTTGATGGTTGGTGTTTGGCATCTGGTGTTTGGTGTCTAGTATTTGTTGGGCAGTGTCTGTAACAAATGGCAGGTGGTGACATTTTGCATCTCAATGCCTTGTTTGTAATGGCCCAGCGATCAAAATTATGAATCAGTTGTTTGTTATTCATACTTCAATTCCTTCTAAATATCGATTATAGGAGTTTTACTCGACTGACAATTACATAACAATGACCATATTTGCATGTATTTTTTTGATATACATTTCTTGATAGCAGAGGTCTTATTATCAAACTCCTTGACTTGACTCATTGGCCCTGAATTTTGAACATTTATCGATTAGCCTGTTATTTATAATCACTAATCAGAGCATTACAAAAAAGTTAACATCATCAGAAGTAAGGTATGTTTGTATAATAAGAGAGCAAAAAACCATCTTGACTGATGTGGCAATGTGGCCTCATTATGGCAAGATGCCAAGTTTTTCACAATCCTCCAAGAGGATTAAGATTAAAAACAGGTTCTTTTATTTGGGGTTATATTTACTTCCATATCAATTCCAATTTAGAGGTTCTATTTTAAGATTTGTCTACAACTTTTATCGTCAGACTCACTCAAAAGGATTTATTTTCACATAATTTATTTAGAGGTACTATTTTTATATTTGTGCCAGATAGATGTTCAATTTTCAGATATATTTTTCAGAGGCTCGATTTCATTTATTAGGCAGTTATCTGTAAAATTCAAAGTAGCCATATATTTGGAGTTCTTATGCAAGCAACATGCATATTTACCAAGACCATTTATGAATAGGGTGATTGCCTGTGTAGGTTAATCCCCATTTCTTCTATCTGGATAAGGGCATATTATTAGATTATATCGAAAAGTGTGTTTCATGCTTCAAATGATGGATTTGCACAAGGGATAGTTGGATCGTGACTCTTGTCACCACCACCCCCTCAGAAATAGATGCGTTAGGGTGTCATTTAGTCATTAATTTAGCGATTAAATGTAAGATACAAGTGAGACATCTATCTGTGACTTAGCATGCCTTGGAAGAAGATTATACAAGGGCAAGGAGTTGCAATCTCTTGGGAAGCAATTACCACCTTAAACTATTAAACCATGTGTGTGTCCATGTACTATGATATACAGTAGATATATTCAGTACAGTTATGTAGTACGTCTACCTGGATGCTTGCCAAATCAAATAAATTAACCTCAACAAAAAATTGACTTGGATCTACTTTTTTATGTAATATAAATACTGTATATTTATTTCATTTGGACATTTGTTCCGACGATGGGTACTTATATTCTCGGACATTATGGTAAGCATGGTTTAAATGATTATTTCCAAGTAATCTCATAAAAATAGATTTACTATTTCCTAGACTGTCAATGTAACCAAATCAATCAAGGTAATTCTTGTACACCAGTGGTTCACAAGTGAAATTTTGAATCATATTTCCAGACACATCTAGTAGTAAATTCAGTCAGTCAGTGGGAGTAAGTAAAACTAATAGCCATAGGAAATATAGTAGCTACACTGGAATTTTGTCATCTTCCCGTATTTCGCAATTGTTGGCACTGTCGTCATCGCCACAGAGATAAACTGGATCTATATAAAAGAATTTCTGTAGAATTGACATTAAACGTCATTCAACGTCAAACAATTGTATGCAAATAATACCTTAGTCGGAATTTTATGATCATCCTTTGATCATCTTATGATCATTCGCAGTTATTGTGACCAAATTGGATTCATATATAAGAGTACACAAACTTAAAGTGTAGAATTCTCGTAATTAATTGATATACACTTACATTGGATCTGATAAGTTAATAAATAGAACTATCATGATAGGAGCAACATTACCTGTTGAGGCCCTGAAAGGTAAGTTGATGTTATCCTTGGGGATGACGGATTGGGGCTGGGGAGGGGGGAGAGTAGGTGGAAAATTATCATTTTTATGCCATCATTTGAAGTGGTAACATATTGTAATAGTGTCTAACTTTATTGTGGCCTGTGTTCGCCAGTTGGTGTTTGTTGGTTGGTGTTTGGTCTCTATAAATGCTGTTGGCATCTGTAACAAATAGCATGTGGTGATATTTTGCATGGTTCATTTATGTTAGTTCAATCAAGCAAAAGTATCCGAGGCATGAATGTGTTGATAATTAAGATTTATTGAAATTATTTTCATTCGGGGGATGGCCCAGAGATCATGTGTGAGAGAAAAAAAAATTGAGTGGGGAATCGTAGGGGGATAGAGGCACTTCATGGGAGGCTAAGGGAATATGTTAGCCTATGAAATTCTGTCAACATTTCATTTCAGCCTGACTGACATTTTTTGAACATGTTGATTATTAAGACAATAAATAAATAAATCTTAAAACAAATTCTCAATTGTTGATTTCAAAATAAATCTACAAGATATTGTTATTGCAAAACATTGATGACGTCACCTATGTGATGAAATAGTTGCAAACATTACAGCTTCCACAGTGGACAGAACCTACATGAGAATGTACATGTACCTGTAAGATTTAGTACAACATTATATTGTGGGTAAAGAGATGTAAGTGTTGACAGTCTAGTGTACAGTATAAGGAAATGGCTCATTTTTGGGCGAGCTTCACTTATTTTTGTATGTCCGTTGGCACATTTTCTTGTGCTGTGTCAAGATTGAGTATCTATAGCTAAAATAAGGTTAGACTGATCTAGTTCACTGGTAGATACATATTGATAACAATTGTTTCAAAGATTGTTCGATATAAAAAAGAATAGCTGTGTCATTCCTGTCCTGGCTGTTTGTTATGTCACCACCAAAAAGTATATTGTTATGGTCTCCGTTTTAATTTTGACGACAGTTGGTAGTCGGCGGTTGGTGTCTAACAAATTCTTCCAACTTCCAATGATTGAACAAGTACTGTAGAGACTGACTTCAATTGTTTTCAAAATCATCTACATGTTTTAGAAGTTCAAATCTGACTTTATATTTAAGATTTGACCTTCAATGACCTTTTCAAGGCGCTTCAAATTAACTGATTTTTTTTTCAAAATCATCTATAAGTTATCGGAAGTTCAAATCTGACTTAAGATTTGACCCTCAATGACCTTCTTAAGGTCAAAAAAGGTCAAAAAGGTATTTTTTCAACTTGCTTCAAATTGACCAATCATCTATAAGTTCTCAACATTTCAAATCTGACTATAAATTTGATCCTTAAATGACATCCTCAAGGTCAAAATAGATTGGACCTTTAATGACCTCCTCAAGGTCAAAAAGGTCTTTTTTATTTTGCTTCAAATACTGTGGATACATTTTGTCATGTTAATTAATGTCTAATTAATGCTGTGTTTTTTTCTGAAATGTGACTAAGTATGATACAACTTTCTCATCTAAGTACAATTCCATTTGGTAAGGAATATTTATCCTTTTTGGCTGATAAGAACTTATCTTATAAGAATCTTATATGGGTGGATTCCTTTGATGATTGTCTAGGTCACATTACATGATATTAGGCTTGTTGCCAAAAATGTGATGCACATTTTAATAAATATAGATTTTTACATTTGTTTGGATGCTTCACCTAAATATCTTATCTAGTCTGAACCAGTGTCTGAGCTATTTACTCTGATGAGGCTATGCTACCAGATATTCTTGAGTGTGAGGTAGTCTAGCCAACCTAAAAGATATGCAATCAAAGCACCACAATGCAACAAATTGTTCATATTGTATTTAAGATATGAAATTATTTTTCCATTTAATATTGAACTGTTGTTCTTGATAGTTTATTTTTTCAGTTTGATAGACACATTTCTTCTGCCTCACAATATAAACTTAAAAAATTAAAATCCAGGAGGGAGGGAGTGGTCACTCTCCCCCCCCCCCCCCCCCAGCCAGAAATTCTTTCAAAATAATGCAGTTATTCACCATTTTGAGCACTTTTCGCATGTTTTTTTGCCACAGACTGTCAAAAAGCTCCGTCCCCCTTGGCAAAAGCTTCCCCTTGGTAAAACCGCTCCCCCCAGGTAAATCCTGGCTACGGGTCTGACTTACACATGCTTTGTAAGGACCAGAGATTTAATTCTGTGATCAGTCAATTACCTCCTTTTCTTACATTGCATATGTATGTTAGTGGGGCAGGGGTAGTACAAACTGGGGGGGGGGTAGCTACGTCACAGGGCAGGGGGATGGAGTACAGAAGGGTTTCAAAGACTAACCTGATATGAACTTCAGATAAAAATATAGCATAGTCATGATATGCCCTCTATATTTTGTAAAGTGATTTAAAAGCATACAAAAGGCAAGGAGTAATATCATTGACCAATATTCTCTCATAAGTAGCTTTGATAAAAAAAATACCATTTCTTATGCAGGTAGTTCTGAACGGTTTAATGTCAGTTAAGCTGTTGTCTGACCTGACCTGAGCAAAAACGCACCTACCATTTCCTTGAATTTAACTGGCTATCAGATTGATGACATCACGAATAAATTATGTGAATGATGTTGAATCTTTTAGTTGGACACATGGAATGGTAAAGGTGACACAGCTTCGGTTCTGGAGTAAAATAACTTTATGATAAAATGGGAGATTCAAATATTAATGGTTTAACAAATGGATATTCACATGACGAGATGGTAGATCCAAGAGATCCAGGTTTGTTTAACATTCATATTTTTTTTGTTATTGTAAACGTGATTTATAAAATTTAATTGATTTCCTTTACTGTGTCCTTGTTTATAAGCTTTTGCTGATGAAATTGTTTATGGAAGATAACCTTGTTAATATCATATTAAAATATTATTTCATATTTTTAGTAGTGATTTAAATTTCTTTTCTGTACAGTCAACTTTGTTAGTCATAAATAAGGCGCACTTTACTTTTAAATGGTTAGTTAAGGCTTTGTTGTTTATTGCTGCAGAATCACATTGACCTTGAATCAGCTGTTTTGCAGATTGTGAAGGTCATTCAAATTGGATTGGCAGTAAACATGAATCTTAAAGCACAAAAACTTGTTGGAGATAGTTTAGATGATTCCTGATCGTTTTTTCGAGTTGCAAAATGTTAGCATTGTATATGGAACTTGTTATTTTTCAGTTAATGTTATCATAGTGTCTATTGATTTTTCAGGTCACTCCCATTTAGGTCACTATATATTGTATAAATAAGGTTAATTGGGTCTTATGAATATTTCATATCTAGTAAGTTAACCATTTTTCTGACATTTGTATTCTATGTTATATATTAAGTTGAATATAGAATAGGCTAATTGAATATTCTCGACTATTGATTTGTATGCAATATAAGTGTAGTGATAAGTGAAGATAAAATGTGTTTAATTAGTTCAATTACTATCGGAATAATCTTTATACTTAATTGCAATTACTCAAGTTGTATCGTCATCTGTCATTAATGAGCTCATTTCAGCTGATTGTCATTAGTTATATGGCATATTATACAGGTTATAAATGTCTTTTCAAATAGGACAGCGTGTTTGGTGTTTATAATAAGCTCTATTCTTTTATTTACTTTAATGGCTTTTGACCAGGAAAGAGAGATACACATCCTCAAATATGTTTACCAAATCTTTTTACTTAAAATGAAATGTTAAGTTATTTTTATTAACCAGTGTCCAGTTTGGGTTGAATCCAATTTTTAAATAAAACCTCTTACATAACATTTGTATTGCAATATCATTATGATGTACTAAATTTCTGACCCTATTTTATCTTAAATATATCACAAAGTTTTCATGTTGCCAAAAAATAATATTCATCCTTGTCACGCTTTGATGAAAAATGATGTTTGGCTCAACGAATAGTGTAACATGTCCAAAGTATTAAATAGTGCCATATTGAGCTGATGTATGATGAAATTTGTTTTTTCAGATGATGAAATATCCTACTTTTTGGAGAATTAGTTCAAAGAGTCATGGGTCAATTCGTGCATGCTTCGGCTGCATGATCATCAGGTTTTATTCTCATTATCTTACAATTTAATGTTTTGTTGTTGATGCTATTGCATCAGCAACATCCAGGGAAGATTTAAAGGTCCCATATGAAGATTTGGGAAATCTCTCTCTGAAGAGCCCTGGTTTAATTTGTGCATGTTTTGGTTGCATGATCAATACAGTTTTATTCTCACTATCTCACAATTTGATGTTTTGTTTAGTTGTTTTTGCATCAGTAATATCCAGGGCAATTGAAAAGTTCTAATACTGAAGGAAATGCGGTGTAAAAGAACTGACCTATATAGCATAAATATGTCATATGAGCATCAATTAAAAATTTATTATAGGGAGTTCAAATACTTCGATGAAGAGATATGGGAAAATGTATTGAAAATACAGGCTTGGAGCGGTTTAGTCCACCTAAGATATGTTGCTGTTATTGTTTGCAGTCTGTACATATCAGTACTGTATGACCTTAAGGATAGAACTGTACATCTTAGGGAATTTAAGGTCAACAAATATGAATGTTTCACCATGCTGTGCCCAGATATAAACTTCTTGATAGTAAATAAAAAATGTTTATTACATTCCAAATTCTCTATGTTCATTATGATCTAAATACATGTAGGTAGATAAATGGGTATGGTTTTGTGATCCTTTGGAAAAGACAAAGTAACCAGTGTTACATCTTTAGTGATATCACTATGTGTGAGATCTCTTGCCTCTTTCCCTATTCATTATAGGAGAGTGTACTTGGACATACAGAGATTGCAGGAAAAAAGCTTGTTTTGCATCAATTTTCTGAATGCCCACTCTCCCCACTCCCGTTTATTTGGGGGGGGGGTCACAAGGACTTGAAGCTAGACTAGAAATAAGTCCTATATTGCTGTTGTTTTGTGCTGATGGAAGGGTGGATCATGGTCGTGCGCCACATAAATCAAATCTTGTTTATATCCACTTTCTACTTTGAAACTCAAATTTAGGACTATGCAAGCTGTGTAGCCACTAGAGGAATAACTCGCCAGAAAAATCCAACTCAAGTTCAACTTGCCAAATATTTCCAAAACTCGAGTAAAACTCGAGTTCATTCATTTCGTCCAGTACATATTGTAAACCGGGGTATACAAAATTACTGTAACTTCAAGCGGCAAGTTTGGTTTAGTCACATCTAAAAGGTGTTTAACACGTTGGGGCCATAAGAAAGTGTGGTATTCATTGCAGTTATCTCATATTTCAATCAAAAACGATCTGGTATAGACGTCGCCACATACGGTAAGGACGAGAGATCGCTAGAATCTAACCAAACAATATTTTAGAAAAAGAGGGCCCCTCAAATTAATAAATGGTTTTCCCGGATTATCTTCATTATTTATACTAAAGACTGCTGGTTATTGATCTAAAGTTAAGACTTATGATCTTAATTTAATGATAGATCATCTTTTTTTATGTAAAAGTCGTGTAAACGACTTGAGAATAAGGGGACCATTTTTATTCAATTTAAGTGACTACCCTATTATCGCCCGTTGAGTCCCTTCGATAGTCGATCTTTTTCTGATTTTTTTGGTGTAACTCTTCATTCCACGATATTTGTTGAACTTTGTGAAGCTTTGAGAGTGTTTTTTAGGTGACGGGCACTAAATATGGCGATCATTGGTATATTTATTCCACTAATGAAGTAATGTTGCACGATCTCTGGGACCCGAATTCATTTTACATGCTTGCAAGATAGGCGAAACTTGCGAGTTGACTCGAGTTATAGCTAGCTCGCGAGTTCAAATAGATTGCGAGTTTCTAGAGGACAACTCGAGCCAATGTATAGGCAGCTCTGACGAGCTGTACTCGAGTTACTGACTCGGGAGTTACACCTCTAGTAGCCACACCTCTGGTTCAACTAATCAGAGATGCAAGTATATAATTTAATGCAGCCCAGGTAGATCAACATGACATTCAATTTCCAGGGTTCCCTATCATTGTATTTAATGAAAAAGGTTGTTTGAGCAATAACTTAGCTTTACAATTCATTAAGTTAGATCCTCCCTATATCGTGTCTTGAATGTCAAGCTACAATTGATGGTTTCAAAGTTCATTTTTATGACACTCTCTGAACCAGTTTATGGTCTGTTTTAAAGGTATAAATATTGTTTAAGAGAAGTTTAAGAGAGTTTTGCACAAAGAGGCTTATGCAAATGAAACAGACTAAGAGGCTTAAAGACTTTTTTTTGCCATTTGCCAAAAAAGAACAATTTATATTGCAGTTTCTACAATAAGCTTGAATTTCGTATATTTTTTTTATTGTATTTAAACAATTTGCACCCCCCACACACACACTGAAAGCTGGCTACGCCCCTGAGATATCTGAGATATAATATTAACCAGGCCTTTTATTTTGTTTTTATTATATCATATGCATGAAAATATTGCAATTTGAATTCAGCCTTCATTGTATGTATTTCCAGCGCTATGCCCGAACTTAGTGATGGCCCCTACTGTAATAGTTATGGTGGGACTCCCAGCCAGAGGGAAAACTTACATCTCAAAGAAATTGGCCCGTTACTTGAATTGGATTGGAATTAATACAAGGGGTAAGCTATAGATGGCTCCATATGCACTGATATGTATTGCTATTTATAATTATAAATTTATCTCATAGCGTGCTTTGTTTTCCATTGAGTTTAGTTGAATTGCATTGAATCAATAGTAAAAAGATTGACGTCAAGTTTTAATTTCTATTTAGCTCGCATGAACTTATTGATTTTAAGAATTTATTTCATTGTTCGATGTTCATTTGTGTTTTACAGTATATATTATGATTACATACGTAGATATTTATCTAAAATAACATTGATTATTAACTATCAAAGCATAAGGATTTGATTTAAAACCTTACAATTCTATATAATATACTTTATATTATTTTTGGAAGAATTTATTGGGTGACCTGATATGGACTCAACAAATGGTTTTAAATTCAGAATATTGGCTATTGAGAACACAGATCAGCTGTAAACTTATATCAGGTCACCTCAGTGCAGATGCTATGTATATTTTATATATATATAATATTTACATGTTGTTTCACGTTCAAGGAGAATATGCCCGATAAGATATCATAAAAGCTTTTGAAGGACTTGTTATTAACATTAATACCATTTGGACCATAAATAAATGAGTAGTCGATTTTTCTATCACCATTTCCAAACCATGGTGGTTTGAAAGCCCATAGTTTCCAATATTATATAGATATATATCCCCTAAAATTTGTATATTTCAGATTTTGTATACTCTCATCCACTGAAATTTATTTTTAAGATGGGGATTCCTCACTTCAGCAAATCCATCACTCATTCATTTATGGTCCAACTGTGGCATATTTTGTTCAAGATGAAAAAATCTTCCAAAGTTTAATTTTTTCCTTTGAGCATACCCTTCCTTATTTGTCCTATTGATTACTATTCAATGGGTGTACCTAGATCAATGACCTGAATCTAGTACTAAATAACATATTATGACTTATTATGACTTCAACCAAATCTAAAGCCCCAGCCCTGTCATTTGTATGCTAATTTTGTAAAGTAAAATAAAGAAACCATAAAACATAAAATCTAAAACGAATCCAAATCCAATATTTTGTTTATTTTTGGGAATGAGAAGTGAGTCATGTTGCCCAGGTGATGAAGAATGACTGATATTGTACTTAACCATGGCAACATCTTAACAACAATTTTGCAACCTTTAGCATTTAGATGTTATACCTCCTCTAGGGCAAAGATCTGGGGAAGGTCAACGTCGCTCAAATGATCATACAGATGCGTAAACAACACCTTCTACGCACCTTGGATGCTATACCTATCAGCCGTAGATGTCGTAAATATCACTTCAACGTTCAACAAATGCAATTGCATACCCTTACTTAAGTCAACACGATAACTCCAGATTTTTTTATTTAAAAATTGAGCTCTCATAAATGAAGAGCAAGAAAGCTCAAATGAATACAAAAGGGTGTGCAAAATTATGAAGAACCCAACCCCCCCCCTCCCCTTTCCCCGATATGGCGTACAAAAACAAGCTCATATCTTTGCTTGTATATTTGTTATTGGCATTTTAAGCCAAAAATAATGTTCACTTTACTCAAAAATGTTTATACCCCCCTCGCTTATAGATTTCCAGATCCAAGGCTGCAGAATGACGAAGAATTATCAGTTGGTTATTTGTCTATCTCTGTATGGCTATTGATTCCATGCGATCTTTCACTTGTAGTCTTCAATGTTGGAGAATATCGTAGACAAGCCACTTCAGACACCCTTGAAGATTTCTTCAACCCTCATAACCCAAAGGCAGAAGCTGTGAGAAAGCAAGTACCATAGCAGTAACTGCTATTTACCTAGTTATTAATGTATAGATACTGTATAGATACTAAATACAGGGTGTTTCTAAAGTATTGCATGGTTTCAGTGTCGTTATTTTTATAATACTGCTTTACTTGTGAATCACCTTGTAGCTTAGCTTGAAATTATGGACTGAATACACTTAAACATGAAACTGAAAAATGAAAATGATATAAATGATGATCGCTATCTGTCGCTTGCTCGATCATATACTTTTGTGTTCAAACAGCAATTTCAAGCTAGTCAAAATAGTATTATATATTAGTATAAAGTTTCTAAGTTTTAGGTGTATGGTGTCTTGTTCTGCCGTGCATAATTACAGTATATATGCATGCTTCTAATTATTCACCAAACCTGCGTTTTGAAAATTCTCACCTCGTTTATTCTCATCTTTTCTTTCCTCTTTTGTTTGATTTTCTGACCACGTCAGAATCATGAAGCTTGATGTTCTGTCACTTGAATTAGGGGAGACTGGGGTAAGACGGATCTGCCCCGTGATCTGTTTTGCCCCTGGTTTATAAACAGCAGAGATATGATGTAACGATTTTTTTCGATGTTGTTTGAATATAACTACAGTAGTTAAATCTGTCCAATATTCACTTTATTTGCTCTATTACTCAAATATAGTTTGTTCTTTGGTTCCATGTTTTCTTCTATGTTATCGGCTTAGGCAAACATTCACCCAAATTGATTCTTAGATCTACCCATAAAGCATATTTTCCTCCCCAATGCATCTAGTGATCCAAATTCAAGAGATTTTCAATTCATAGGCAACCATAGAAATATCCATTTTAGTTCAAGGATTGCGATTCCCTAAATTCATCCTAAGCACCGTTGATTTATTTACCATATTAATCATTGATACTCAGCTATATTTATTTTCATACTCAACCATTTCATTTTATATTACAGTACTCTGCGATTATGTGCTTGTTCACCTGATCAACCATCTGCATTTGTACAGATCCTGTGCATGAGCTATGTATCATACATGTACATGTACATGTATGCTATATGTGCTTCTTCAAACCCTGCTTTGTTGGCCATTAACCCTTACATTCCCGAATGCTTGAGTTTATCGTAAAATTAAAGTAGTCTATGAATATTTTTATTTAGTGTTTAATGTGGGTGAATATAGACGAAGTGCCACCGAGGCTTACAAGAACAATGACTTTTTCCGGGCTGATAACAAAGAAGCTATGGCTCTTAGAAAGTAAGAATTCCCAAGACTTTTGGAACACCCTTTACTCTTCTTCATACTATTTTTATTATTCTTCTTCAGTCTCATTAAAGTTGTTTGTGGAGTATGTAAATGAATTTAAATATAGCTTTTCTTAGATCAGGAACTGGCAAAACTATTTTTCAAATGAATCTAGGCAATTGATTCTGAATACCATATTCCTTTTAGAAAGTACAAGATGCTCTTCTAATATTATCATGTTCCAAGCTCGTATGAAATTTTGACATGATTGCTAATTGGTGATAGAACATTAACTCCCATATATCTGTTGGTTTTATTTGGTTCCTTTTCACTTCAATATCATTAAGTAGAAGGAATATGGTACTATAATTGTAACTAAAAAGGCTCTGTTAGTTAGTTTAATAGAGAATAAGATTAAATTATAAACTATGCATGGATTATTAGAGACCCCATGGTTCCCTTTTTAAGTCCTGTGTGCATCATGGGGAGGATAAACCTTGTGTGACGCTAACATGTGTGTTGTTCTCGTTTGCTGAATTATTTAATGCATATAAATGTAAATGTTATTGAAGCCTATATTTTAAGCCTTTGGCTATGCTTATATAAGGTGTTCAGTATATTTATCATATTTATCTGTTGTCTATAAAATTATCTGCATGCTAAAGAACAATCAGAAGAAAGGGCTATTCTCGGTTTGGAGAACAAAGTTAATCACTCTAATTGAGCGTTACCCCTGCTTCGGACAAATTTGATTTTTTTTCATAATATAGATTTGAATAGTCATAATTTAATTGGGTTGATATTTCTAGATTTTTCATAAAAAATCATTAGCGCAGTACACTGATAAACTTCTTTCTCCAAATCGAGACTTATATTTTATTGAATCAGTCTACTGCACGTTACCCCTGTTCGGACAATTGTGATATTTTTACATCTTGTAGTTTTAAATGTATTCTTTTGAATATTTATATAATAAATATTTATAATTGTGTTCTTAATATATTTTGAATTGTTTAGAGTTAACGATCTTACAGATATTGTTGAAATAGATGGCATTAATTGTAAAATTAATTTGAAAATATTGAAAGACCAGACATAAGAATAGTAGTTGTTTATATCAAAAGACAAGGTCATTTCAAGATAATGTCAGACTAAATCAGGTCAAGGTCATATACTGCATGAAGCTCTTGTTTGAGATCACATTTATATTTTAAGGTCAAAGCTCTGGTTTTACTTCAAGGTCTGCCAGCCTGGCTTATTATATTTCCTCCATTTACCTTGTATTTTGTTTGCCGCATGTTTACAACATTTTCTTGCACAAGGACATGTATTATACCTGATCCTGGTCATCATTTGAATATCTTATGGAACGAAATAGATGAAGATCAAAAAATATTAATCAAGTTTTCTGTTGACTTTTCCATTCATGAAAAGCAATTAAAATGAGCCCTGCATGATTATACTTTTACCTACATACATACTCATGTATATTCAGAAAAATCCTAGAAACAACAATGATATGACTGTACAGACTGCTTCATTGGGGAGTGAGGACCTTAACTGGCTAGCTCCTCAATCTATAGCACACTACACAATTGTAATCATGTACATGTTAAAATAGTTAATATGTCTGTTTTTAGGAAGTGTGCCCAGGCTGCCTTAGAAGATATGTGTAGGTGGCTACAGAATGAAGAGGGGGAAGTCGGGGTAGGTACACAAGTTACATACAAAATATTTTCAATGGGAATATGAAGAAAAATCATGATACAGTAAAACCTGTCAAAGTAGAACCCCTTTGGTACCTCTTGAAGGCATTCCACTCGGGAGGTGTTTCACTTTTCGAGGTTCATTTAACATTCAGTCAATTGGTCTTGGGACTCTGAAAAGTGTTCAAATAACAGGTGTTCCACCTCTAGAGGTGTTCCATTTAACAGGTGTTCACTGTACTTCATATTCTGCCTCTTCCGTGTTGTTAACATTCATATCAATTACAAGCTCCAGTTAAAAATCAGAGAAATCAAATATTGAAACAGTGTATAAGAGTGTATAACAGTGTATAAGAGTAATTATTCCATAATAACATGTTTTCCCTGGGAAAATAACAGGGAATAAAAGTGTTATTTGAAAAATCCCGTATCAGATCCCGTATCAGCCAAAATCCCGTATCAGATCCCGTATTGGATCCCGTATCAGCAAAAATCCCGTATCAGAACCCGTATCAGAAATATTCCCGGTAATTTCTCTTGAGTTTTACGCTTTTCGTCTAGCACATCTCTACAGGAAGTAAAAAAATCGTTTGGAAAATTGAAATTATTGAAATTATTATCATCTAGTAAACGTCTATTACTGTGACAAAGGTCTATTACTGTGACAAATATGTCTAGGTATGCAACAGAGGATGTTGATGACTTCATTAAAGGTCAAGAAAATATCAATACTTCGAAGAAAACTATGATGATGACATACAAAAATTGAAAAAAAATATTATGAAATAAATAGGTTATTGATGGTCGTGATGGAATATGGATTTATTCCTTGAGAAAATATGATATTGGCCTCAGAAAATATCATATTGACACTCGGGCTATCGCCCTCGGTCAATATGATATTTTCCTTGGCCAATATCATATTTTCCCTCGGAATAAAATCCATATTCCATCCCTCCCATTAAATAACCTCTATTTACATTTACTCCTTGATATATTATATACGCTATTTATGACGCTATTTCATTCAACCAGCACATATCGCTACATATTACTATACAGTCGAAATGTTGAGACATGCGCAGACCTCTATTTAGTGATATTTTCATTTCAAATATGGCGGCCAATCCGATGTCTGACGACCCTTACAAAGATACACGCTTAGCAAACACGGCGAAATGACCTGAATCTTGGAATTTCGTTCAAGTGCTAGTAATGTTTGCTCCGGTCTTCGTCATAAGTGTTCATCAGACTTCACGCATGCGCATGAGAAAAACCACCAACCAATAAGGTTTATAAATCAATTTTGCGCATGCGCCTTACAACGGTAAAGAAATTCGTATTTATAAACGAACCAGTTTGAGATAACCCGATATCAGTCGGAGAAATCTGACGATCTACGAAACTCACTTCAAAAAATCAAATGCGGACTGACGGCGTATTCTACTATGTTTGGATCTAAGATTTTCAGTATAGATAAAGTCTTTTATGATCTTTCGAATGAGGTAAGTTTCTAGTTCGAAAGACAATCGTATCAGCTTGAACAAAAGTTGAGTTTTGACGAAAAATTTTAACATGCGCAGAAGTCCCATTTTCGTTGTACCATATTGACTGTATAGTATTCAGACATGCTGGTGTCTTTATCCAGTGTGGATATTCAACCAAAATCTTAAGAAACCACTTTGTTTGCAAAATTCAATAAAAGCTTGACATTTTTGCTTTCTTTATACAGTATTGCATATTGTTTATATCCTCCAGGTATTTGATGCTACAAACACAACCCGAGCAAGGAGAAAGATGATATACGACCACTGTGCTATTGACCAATGCATGAGAGTCTTCTTTGTTGAGTCAATATGTGATGACGAAGAAATCATAGAAGCAAACATACGTGTAAGTAACATCTTCAGGTCTGTCAATAGATGGCAGTAAACTCAGTTGGTTGAAAATTTCAAAAATCTCAGAAACAGATAACATTATGTAAAGAGAAAAATAAATTCTTTACATGTAGTATATTTGATGTTTTACTTTGGTAATGTTAATAATAAACAACCCAAATGAGTGTTGCCATCTATATGAGAGCCACCAACCACATTATTGGTTACTACTTGCATTGGTTTATATCAGTGATCTCATGGTATGTCTATTTTGAAGAAGAATGGATGCAGATGCAAAGCTTTATATTAATGTTATATGTCAGATGTTCATAACATAATGCATCAGCTCAATCAAGGTTACCATGGTTTAACAAACTGTAATGTATGACTCCTTAATAGGCATCATATTTAAAGGTTTAAATTGTTCTTCATAAAATTCATAGATTCAAAAAATTAATGATAAACTAAACAGAACATCCCTTCTGGCTTAGCCTTGGATTAAGTCAATTGTTGCAATTTATTTTGATCTTTGAAGAAGTGCAAGATTATCTAATCGATGGTAGGATATCTGGATTTATTTAGAAATCATTGCATGTTACAATTAGAAAATATGGCTTACCCAATAAATACATTATAGTAGACTTTACTTTCAAACATTACTACTGAATACCTTGGTTAATACTGTACCACAAATGATCTGTTTCTTGGTAACATGAACTGTATGATGCAAAACACTTTGAAATAAAACATGAAAAATGTCTTATATTTGCAGGAAGTTAAAGTGACTAGTCCAGACTATAAAGATATGAATAAAGATGAAGCAATCACAGACTTCCTGCAGAGGATAGATCATTACCAGGAAAACTATGTGCCTCTAGATGAGAAATGCGATAAAAATTACTCATTCATAAAGATATTTAATCAAGGTGAAAGATTCCTTGTCAACAAAGTAGCAGGTAACATTTGATTTTCATATTCAGGTTACTATAAGTTAGATTACAATTAAGAGGTTCATTGTCTTCATTCTGTATTTGAATTAAAATACCATGTACAGAAACTGTGGAAATGAATAAGCAGCCAAGCTTACAATGATTTGCGAATTAGAATACAAAAATTTGAAAGAAATGATACACAAATCAGTCCTTCTTTTGCATTTATATGTCAGTACACACATATTGTTATAGTCTTCAACTTTTTTTATGGCAGTGGTTGGTGTTCAGCATCTGTAACAAATGGTGGGTGGTCACATTTTACATGTCAAACCCATGTTTCTTGATGCATTTAGTCTAGAGCTTTATACATATCATTTCTATTTGATTGTCAGGTCACATACAGAGTAGAGTTGTGTACTATCTGATGAACATACATGTGTTACCGCGGACAATATATCTCACAAGGCACGGGGAAAGTGAAATGAATCTACAGGGTAGGATTGGTGGAGATTCTGACCTATCACACAGAGGAAAACAGGTAAGGAGTATGATGCATGATGGTACCCCCTTCCTGATATCTCTCTATACATGTTGTCACTGAAATGGATTGTTTGAAAAGTATTCATCTTTTTATCAGTTGTTATTAATCGATTTTTTCCATAGCGATGTGGAGGTTGAATTGAATATAAGAAATTTGATTCCATGATACATTTACAAATATTTAATTCTATTGAGCTGAATACCTGTGCATCTTTCACAATTGCAGGGTTCGTACACACCTGGAAATGTCAGGGAAATTGATTTATTTTTCCAGGTGCTGGAAATGTCAGGGAATTTTAAAATTGGCTCAAAAAGGGCCAAAAATGTCAGGGAATTTTGAAACAGTAGATGTGTCAGGGAAATGTCAGGGAATTTTGTATCAATGTTGAAAGAATAATGTTCCAGCAAAATACATTTTAGGGCTATGACAGGATATACATGAAATCCAAAATCATCTAGTTGTTTCCACATATTGCAAATCTTTTCATTAGGGTTGGTTGAATGACATTAGATCTGGTATTGTCTATTTGTAAGAACAGTGTGAACATTACACTGAAACCGAACAATAAAAATAATGTATAGATGATTTAATACTTTTTTATTATGTAGTAAGCTTAGTCTTAGGCCATTCAAAGTTAATTACTGGTATATATTTCATGGTTTTATGAGGGGTTAATCTGAGGGGGGGGGCAGGAGGTGAAAAACAATTCTGGGAGCTCTTTACAATGTAAAATTGTATTTATATTAAGAAGCTGTCTGTTCGACAGTCCGATCGTACATCAGTCTTTTCAACTTTCAGGGGCTTTGCCAATTTTGAAAACCTTAGCACATGGAAGTAGGCAACCAAAATGTGTGTGGGGTACTATTAACAGTTTTTGAATTTGGTCCAAATTTTTCTTCTTGTAAAGATGAACCCAGCATTTTACTTTGGCTCAAATTTTGTATGATGTAGCCTTAGGGACAAAGGACCTGCTCAAGAAGAAATATTCAAGATGGTCTCTGAATTCAAAATTGCCACCATTTTTTATGAAATTTTTGATAATTTAAAGAAATTTGATCTGATAACACAAAATACTGATTATTTGATTTGGTATCATAGGCCTGAGCCTTTTCCTGATCTGGTGATGCTACTTGAGAAGGAATTTCTAATATGGTGTCAATTGTTTTGGTGTAATTTTCCCAAAAGGGGAATGATAGTATTCAATAGAAATATGTTTCATTAGGTGGGAATTGCCCCTCGAGTGAGTTGCTATTTTTCTAGTAGGATTTAGATCAAAATTTTAAAGTTTCAGTTGTCATTTGGATTCATTATAAAACATTAACAAATTATAGTTTGAAATGCTTAGAATGCACCATATACAATTGTCAATTTTGAAAAATTTCCGGGGGTGAACCCCCGTACCCCCCTTCTGGTTTTCCTTCGCTCGCAGTGATGCAAACCCCAAAAGATGCACCTCCTTGATACTTGTTGGCTATGCCCCTGTACATGTATGTTTACCTTTGGCCTTATGCAATGTAAAATATGTAATATTAAAAATAAAATGTATCAGGAATAAATTGGTGAATAAGACTGCCTGTACAAGTAGTTAAGTCATGAGAAATGGTACTGAAGGAGAAACCCCAAATGTTTCATAATAAGTCTTTTTGTCTTGAATAATACAGTTGTTTGAGACTTTTTAGAGGGGGCGCATGGAAAATTAGATCTGGAAATTTCCTTTTTTGCCTGGAAATGTCAGGGAATTGTCAGGGAAATTCATTTTGAAAAAGGTGTACGAACCCTGAATTGATATTCCACGAAGCCCGATATTCTTGATATTGGAGGCTCATGAATATCTTAGAAGTAAAAAATGATATTTAAGAAATAAAGAATGATTAATATGTTGAAATAGATCACTACTTGATCATAGCCTCTAGTAACCAACTAGTTACTGACTGAAAAATGGACTCATCGAACATCTCGATTGAACAATACAGTACATTTAAACATGTGCATAGTAATCACCTATGTAGCCACATTATATACCTTTTTAAGATCCCTAACTTTGTCTTGTACATAGTTGTCTAAAGGGGCTCAACTTCTATGTTCCAGTTTGCCAATGCTCTATCAAAGTTTGTTGAAGAAGAAAAGATAGAGAGCCTTACAGTTTGGACAAGTCAGATGAAGCGCACGGGTCAGACAGCTGCAGGGGTACGCGCCCCAAAGATGGCATGGAAGGCCCTTAATGAAATAGATGCTGTAAGTTAAACTGGATTTAGTCTCTTCCTCCCCACTATTGAGTATTCATTCTACATTGTGCTTGAAGAGGGGTTTTGAGGGCAAGAAAAAGTCTCATTTGATGGTACATTATTCTACAATAGAGCTGGAATCATTATAAACATAAAACGATCAACTTTTGGATGAAATACTAAGAGTGCATTGGCTTTAAATAAACAAAACAAAGATGTTGTTCAAAGAATACTGAACAAATATGAACATATGTGTTGCATAACTGTGTTTCTACTGGAATGTGGTTGGACTGATGACCGAGAGAAAATACTGTCATTTATGTTGTCTTGTATAATAACTACTTAAATTGAAATACATGTGACCATGTTAACAACTGTTAATGCCTTGCATTTTAATGTGACCATGTTAACAGCTGTTTGTGCCTTGCATTTTTAGGGAGTTTGTGAAGAGATGACATATGAAGAGATACAGGAAAAGTATCCTCATGAGTTTGCTATGAGAGATCAAGATAAATACCACTATAGGTATCCCAAAGGAGAGGTAATTATTTTACTGTAATTACTGTATACATAGAAATATTTTGTGAGACATACAAAGCATTGAATGTCACTCAAAATTGAAAGTTGTGATTGTGTTTGGAGGCAAAGTCTCACGAGTTGCCTGCCTGGATACAACAGAGCAAAAGCCGGAACGCCCATGACTTTTCTCGTTTAGAATGAAAATATTATGAATAAAATGTTTTGAATTATTTGCATTTATGATTATTTATCGCTGTTTTATTATCTTGAAGAACTGGAAGACAGAAATTGTTTTTTATTTTTACATTTCTACATTTTGTTTAATTGTGATAATGTTCAATTCCAGTCATATCAAGATTTAGTCGCCAGGCTGGAACCTGTCATTATGGTAAGATCCTGATGTAATCGAAATAACTAAAGTTGCTAAGCAACATCATAAAAGCCTTGAAAAGAAATAATGATGTATATCTCAATGCAAATAAATATTTTGAAAAAAAAAAATTATTCTATCTATCTGTTGCTTAGCTGCCTTGTACATGCTTGAACGATTATTTGTAGGAACTTGAGAGGCAGGAAAATGTACTTGTGGTGTGTCACCAGGCAGTTGCACGATGTCTTCTCGCCTATTTCCTCGATAAAAATGCAGGTTTGTATGAATTGCACAGAAGTGAAGGTCATGGAACTTTGGTCTGAAACAAGCAATATGGTGGATGAAACTTTAAAATGCCTATGTCATTTGTGGAGCAGACATTTTGTTTAGAGGTTCCATGGTCTGAGCTTACATGCACTATAGTTAAAAATGTAGGTGGTAGTTTTCAAATAGATTTGCTCAAATATAACATGTTCGTGTGATGACACATTGGTTGAAGTTCTAAGGCTATTACAAACGAGCCATGCTACGATTAATCAATAAGCAATTTCTTAATAAGTGTGTTTGTTGTTATGTCATTAGAAATGTCAACCTTTTGCTGATTGATAAAAATCAAATATCTCCACTTTCCCTCCTCCCTCCTCTCTTTATTTAAGTCAAAATTGCTGAATGATGAAATGGTTTATTCCCCCCTCTCCCAATGCAACCCTTTGATTAAGTCAATATTGCTCAGTAAATAAATATTATCTTTCCCCGTCTCCTCTTTTATTGAGTCAAAATGCTGAATGGTATATTCCTCTCTCGCTATGCAACCCTTAGATTAAGCCAATATCGCTCAATAATTGAATGGAATCTTGCCCCCCTCCCCAAACATGAATTAGATTTAAATTGTAAAATTGGTGATGTAAAATCTGATTAAAATGATGGAATTCCATTGACTTGAGTTCCTCAGATATGAAAAAGTATACCCAATATAGAATGTGATTTCTGAAGGGCGCATCGTAAGTGCTTGGGCCTGTATAGCAGCTGATGGCTTGGGCCTGTATAGCAGCTGATGTAGGTCGGAGAAGGGTTGGCATATTTGATAGTTGATGCTATTCATGTTTGTGTGTATGATTACAGAAGAGGCGGCCTGTATTCCTGTGCCACTACACACGATATATAAGCTAACTCCTCTAGCTTATCATTGCTTAGCAGAGACGGTCACGTTTAACATCGATGCTGTAAATACCCAGAGCGATCTATGACCACATTTCACCTTTTATTAACAGGTTAATGTCAATAAGTATACGTCTCACTTTGATATTTTAAATTGGATGCTCACCCCTATTTCAGACTAATGTTTTATTTATATATATACAGTAGTTGCCATGGTGACTTATATGGATATATATTTGTTGTAAAATTGTTTCTTATTTCGGTTGCAGCTGTTAATATGCCAGGATGTATCTTGCTTTGTAACCCTTTTACTTATTAAATCCTTTTAAAATACTTTCTTTTCAAGTTATGTAATATAAGGTTCAGATATAGGATATATTCGAAAGGGAAATATATAAATCTCCAAAGGTTCTCGACGGGATATAAATATTTCCTTGTGATAAATCATGTATCCAAAACCATTATATAACTGATTTATCCTATAGTTATGAAAATAATTGATAATTTGTGTTATGTAGGCTAATATAGTTCATTAACATTTCTTCAGTGTCATTTTATTTAGGCCCATTTAGAATAAACAAAAGCCAAATATACTTCATAATATAGAATTCATGTACATTGGGTAAAAGGGTTATAAAGGTTCAAGTACAAATATGGCCTGTATTTCCTCAATATACTCTGCCACATAGGACTATGTTATCAATTCTATTTTAGATTATATATGCTGTTAATGTTGGCTTGTTCACTGTTTATTAAGCGCCTATAAACGCAACCACTTGATGCTTTTAGTACATGCTTTGTCTTAATGATACATGTAAATGCTTCTGTCATGTGGATATTAAGATGTAAAACAGTGTTTCAAATAGATGAATTGATACCAGATAACTGGCACATATAAAAGTTTTATTATGTCACCACCAAAAGTCTCCAACTTTTTTGTTGGCGGTGTTCAGTGTAACAAATGGCAGGTAGTGACATATGGCCTGTTAATGCCTTGTTTATTGTTTTCAATTTACATGAAACAGATGATACAGATTGTCTATATTCCTAGCTATATATCAATGCATGAACAGATTTTGAAGTCCATACCCCTTAAGATTAAAGATTTATATGTGCCCAGCCAAATGGGATTCATTCAACTATTTTTAATTCATCTTATGTTGAGGTTCATATCAACATTTTGCAATTGAATATAAGATTTTTTCCAGAATAGAAGTGCTTTGAAATATTTTCATTCATCACATTTTCAAAAACACTTTAAAGATCATTTTTGAAAGATATCCACTGCATGAAATTTCAATGCACTTGAATTTCAAAATTTTCACTCATCACATTTTCATAAACTCTTCAATTGTGTTCATAAACATCAATTGTGACATCATCGGTCCACAGGATGAAATTTCAATGCACTTTTAGAGATAATTACAAGTCAGGCATATGAAGTGAACAGCATGCCTTGGCCAAATAAGGGTTTCCTCAAAGGTCATTTGCTGAAACTGTCTTTGCTGAATTGTACATATTCCTTAGTTCAGATGACTCAACATGCACATATCACATTGTGGTCGGTGGTGGTCAATGTATATTCATCATATACAAAATACATGTATTCATTATCATACATTTATATATATATATAATATATATGTTAAATTCACCATGGTTTAATTGTGTGAATTCAAAGAAGCAAATGAATTTCTCTTCAAGCTTGAGTATGTTATTCTCAGTGGTCTAAAGTACTATTTGAGTACAAAGTATGTTATTTTTGATAGTCTGGTGCACTAGTTCAGAGAATAAAGCATAAACGGTCCTACTGAGTTCACTGAATACTACTATAAAACTAATAGAAGGAACTGTTTTTTGCTTAGAAATCAATCGTTAACTTCGATTTTATTTTAATAAGTGAGAAAAATTGACTTGTTTTACAATATAATTTTGAAAAATTTGATACTTGTGTATATGCTATATTCATACTATTGCATATTTCATGTGCCATATACAGTGAATCTGTGTACCCTGCATATATTGCATCCATGTGTTGCATCATCATGGCTAGTCCATCAGTGGAGTATACATCATCACGCTTGAATGTTCTGTATTTTAAAAACCACTGGTTTTATCCTGAATTTTCTATGTTTTGTTGTCCTAAAAACAAATGAGTTTTGCACAATTGTAAATTTTTTACAGTATTCATAATATAGATACCTCAAAGATCTTTAAATAGAAAATTCATAACTCTTAAAAGATTGCATCAGTCCATTTTTGATCGCAGGATCATTCCACATAAGTAGAAGTAAAGTCAAATAAACTGAAAAGGTAATACAGTGTGATACAAATAACAGATACAATTGGTTAAACATCGGTCCCTGTATTTAGATTGATGCAGGGCTGACATGCGCCTTATTGAACCATATGGAGTCTCATTCAGCTCATTTTCATCACCGTTCATTCTATATGAGTGACATTCAAGCCCTATATGCCCGATTGCATGTGCTTCCAGATGAGTTGCCATATTTGCGAGTACCCCTTCACACAGTAGTTAAACTTACCCCAATAGCCTATGGATGCCTCATGGAGACCATTTCATTAGATGTAGAAGCAGTTAACACACATAGAGATAAACCTAAGGTGAGTTACTGGGATGCTCCCCAAAATATCGCACTCCAAAATATCGCACTAAATTTTATGTGTAATCCAATTTGTTAAATGCAAGGCCATCTACCTAACTTGGTTAATTTTTTTCTTTTTTATTCATAGAATTTATTTCACATTACATACAATAAAATCATAAACACTTCTAGTGGATTTGCTGTAGCATTATCAGCCACTGAATCTTTGTTAATGACACACTAAGACTAGTCTAAATTCTAAGACTAGTCTAGAAGTGCAGTGCTTGCTTAACATTAACCAACTATAATGGAAGTGATTATGCATAGAATTTAGGTGATATAAGAAGGATAGTATTTAAACACCATTTTTGTGCCACAGTCATGGCCATGATAAGTCGAGGTTTACTTTGGAGTCAACAGTTATATTTTGGGGGTACGAAACATTTTCAGCAATATATATTTATATCGATGGAAAATATCTTGAGCTTTGGATCTAACAGTTTCCAAGAACTAATAAATATGAATATAAAAATTTAATTTTATGGTTGGCTTGAAAATATTTTGAGTTTGTAACCTTACTGTTTTCAGTAGTAGATACTCTCCCCTTGAAAATGAAGAAAAAATATCTTATGATTGACACTGATTTGCAAAGTATATAATGGTCATGTCTTCCCATTTATATAATGGTCATGTCATCTTCCTGAAAAATGTTACGTACATTCAAGTTAGAATAAGATTTATAAGGTATTGTGCATCTAGAGATTGTGATTCTAGACATAAGTGTTGTTCATCTCATGCAATTATTAAAGTGTTGGATGTCCCTTCACTGTATTCTAGTTATTTTTGGCATTACACAGTTGGAGTTATACACCCTCTCTTTAAAGTTTGACCGAAAAAGTTACCATTGGAAAGCATATTAAAGCCTGTTTTTGTTCCTCAGTTACAAAAGGTCAGGAATTTATGACTTGAAATTATTGGAAAAGCCCCCAAACAAATAAGGCTCTAACACAATGTCTAAAAGGTGACTTCAATTTGCCAAACTTGTGGGGGAAGTGTAATGCGTTGTTACCTTAACATCAGTGTAGCATTGTGAAAACTTAGTTGTAAAATAGATGTCACTTTGAATTGAGGTATGTTTCTTCTTCAATCCAATTCTATTTACTCTTTTTGATGTACTTGTTTTGGTACATGTACTATATCTTCCGATTTTGTTTACCTTGCTAATCAGTGCACTGGTTCAATTTCTAAACTAGTACCAAAAGCATTATTTGTCTGTTCATTGGAAGGAATGCATTCATTTGTTCAAGTTTCTGCATATTCTTTTATTCTTTTCTCCCATTTTTGTTTTTATGTGGTATTGTTTTGTATTGGATATAGTATGACCATATTTGGTATTGTATTGTATGACTAAAGTGGGAGTCACATCCTCCCATTTTTGTGAGTTTCTTTAATTGCTTGCAGTTTTTGCAAATTAGTGTTTAAAAAGTTGTACATATATTAGTACAGTTTAGTTACTTGTTGCCATTGACGGTCAAGGCATCCTGTCATCATACGCCTGAGGTTTAAAATTCTACGACAAATTGGAACAGTCACCGGTTTGATGATATTAATATCTACATTCTGGCGTGAGATGCACTTCACAGATTCATGTCTTAGGAATTTGTCGTTCAATGATAATTTCAATTGCTATAAAGTGCTAGATAGGAATATTTCTTTTAAATGATGGTATACATCTAGTTCACCACACTACTGTATTATCCGACACAAGTCTAAAATTCACCACAAGCTGCACCACTATATATATTAAATTACCGATGAATAAAATGGAAACTGAGGACTAACAGATATTTACTATCGTGAAATCAGCAGAACAGAAATCCAGTCTTGAAGCTGGAGTATCAAGCGAGCCTGTGTAGTTTATGCAGTTAGATATCAACATAGTGCGTGACAAAAATACTACCACTGAAAGATGTCATCCACACCTATCCAAGCATGACTGTGTTAAGATAAAATGAAACGTGTCTTTTGCTAACAGATGAGATGAAAGAATTGTTGACTGACAAGGATAGTGATGTAATGACAATGCATTAGTGCCAGGATCTTATATAGAGTATGTATAGTCAGGAATTACATATTTTATTATTTCACTGCCATATTACCCAAAGTGATGAGATGAAAAACGACTGTAAATTGTTAGTTGAAAATATGAACAAAACAGAAAAATTAGTTCGATGATGGCAATAGAAGAACAAGATGATAACCCTGATATGATGAGATAATGCTACACTACAGATTGAACAAGATACATTGTGTTGAACAGCTTCGTCAAAATGCATTTGTTAGATGAAGGGTGTTGTCCTTTTCTTCTTGAATAACCTTATGTCTCAAAGTTTGGAGTGTTAACTTATACAGGTAGTTTGAGTTATTAGGGAGTTTAAGCTTGCATATAAAATCAAAACACCAACCTATATGTATGACCAATCGCCCATACAAATGCATCGCTTAAATATTTTCCGTTCACGTTTAGGTTGTGAAAAACATTGCAAGCTTAAACTCCCTATTGATGTCAGTGTCAAAAATAAATGGATGGATGTTGCTCTATCTTTCAAAATAGCGGATGAGAACTTCCATGGATTAAACCACTTTTCCATGGTGTTTCAGTTTCACAATTGTGATTCTCATCCACTTTTTTAGAAACTACAGTAATAGTAAATGATACTTGATTCTGTCTTGTGAAGCTATGCTTTGACGTCTCTTGGATTCTTGAACTACATGTATTACAATACTTTGTTATTTCCATTTCCAAAGAAACCTTTTGCTTCCTAAATCGTCCTTTCTATTTCTAAAATAAATCTTTTTGACAGTGTATATTCAATATGAATTGATCAGATCAAAAGCTTCATTTAAAAAAACACCTCTTGTATCTTTATGTGAGCATATTTTATTACAAATGACAAGATTTTTCTCTAATATCTACAGTATCCATTTGGTATCTTCCATTCTCATTTCTGAAGAAAGTTCTCTAATATATGGGTGTCATAAAATCTCCCATTCCCATTTTTAAGAAAGTTCTCTTTTATAAATGACATAAAATCTCCCATTCTCATTTCTAACCAATGATCTCCATTTCAGAGTATCATAAAATCTCCCATTCCCATTTCTAAAGAAAATTCTCATGTATTTTCAGAGTATCATTAAATCTATCGACCCCATTTCTTAAGAAAGTTCTCTTGTATTTACGAGTATCATAAAATCTCCCATTTCCATTTCCAAAGAAAGTTTCCTTGTATTTATGAGTATTATAAAATCTTCCATTCCCATTTCAAAAGAAATTTCTCTTGTATTAATGAGTATCATGAAATCCCCCATTCCTATTTCTAAAGAAAATTCTCATGTATTTTCAGAGTATCATTAAATCTATCGACCCCATTTCTTAAGAAAGTTCTCTTGTATTTACGAGTATCATAAAATCTCCCATTTCCATTTCCAAAGAAAGTTCCCTTGTATTTATGAGTATTATAAAATCTTCCATTCCCATTTCAAAAGAAATTTCTCTTGTATTAATGAGTATCATGAAATCCCCCATTCCTATTTCTTAAGAAAGTTCTCTTGTATTATGAGTATCATAAAATTTCCCATTCCCATTTCTTAAGAAAGTTCTCTTGTATTTATGAGTATTATAAAATCTCCCATTCCCATTTCAAAAGAAAGTTCTCTTGTAATTATGAGTATCGTAAAATCTCCCATTCCCATTTCAAAAGAAAGTTCTCTTGTAATTATGAGTATCGTAAAATCTCCCATTCCCATTTCAAAAGAAAGTTCTCTTGTATTTATGAGTATTATAAAATCTCCTATTCCCATTTCAAAAGAAATTTCTCTTGTATTTATGAGTATTATAAAATCACACATTCCCATTTCTAAAGAAAGTTCTCTTGTATTTTTAGAGTATGACAAAATGTAAAAGTGGCAGTAAAGTTCCAACTAATGAAGAATTAGAAGCATCTCAAATCCCAACTTAACAGACTCTGTATCTTTGATACGCTATATTGTGATGTAGGAAGTTGCCATGGTAACCTACAAAACACAGTGAGATGTTGATTGCAGCATTTATACCTCTGGTGTGTTTTCTCAATAGAAATGCAATGAAACTATTTTAAAGTTTATAAGAAATATTTGAATAATGGATTAACTGGACATTCAATATTACTGAGTTGTAACATCAAAAATGGGCTGCTTTCTCGTATTATTGACTATTTATATACATGTTATCATTTTACTGTGATAAATAATATATATATATATACAACTCAAAGCATTGTACAGTAAATTGTCTTATCTATTATATTGTACATTCCCTTAATGCTTTTAAATACTGTAAAACAGGTAATTTTGACACCGGGAAATTTTAGCGGTTTTTCAATTTTAGGGGGTTTTAGTGCGGGAAATTTTAGCGAAATCCTTCAGATATTGAAAGAAACATACGATTTAAAAATATTTACCTTTTTCAAATTACAAACCAGAAGTCGAGCACTGAACGAAAAGCTCCTTAAATACTAGTATTCATGTAGTTTCCTGGGAATTTGCAAATTTTAGCGTTTATTTTAACCCAGGTTTATTTTAGCGAATTGAATTTTTAGCGAAACTATAGCGATCGCTAACAATCGCTAACAATTACCCCTTGCTAACAATACCCGTTTTACAGTACATTTTAAACAGTTTCCAAATAAAGCTATAGAATAACTAAGGATTGAAAATATCTGATTAAGGTAGCCCAAGTGTAATGGTCTTAAACCTGTTTTCACTTCTGTAAGTCTATATGTAATAGAGCAAAGTGATTACTTGTTCAACCCAGCCTACCTAAAGTTGGTACTGTAAATGTTAACAAATTGGTAATTTCTTGTTTTAGATTATTGCTATTTTGAATCTGAAAATGAAAAAATCCTGTTAATCAAGAATGTCTCTGTATAGTGTACATGCATGCCTGAGTTGGTCATCATGCTATATATGCACATGTACGAGACGCCATTTGACATGTCTTTTGAACATGACCACGAGATGTTATAATGGTTCAGTCTCATTCAAATATACTCACTAGTATATTATCAGGATATACATGTACAGATATGATGTTTTTATGTCACCACCACAAGTGGTGACATATTGTTACAGTCTCTAACTTTTATGTTGACAGTGTTCAGTGGTTGGTGTCTGTAACATATGGCAGGTGGTGACATTTTGCATGTAAATGCCTTGTTATTCGATTGTGGGATGTCCAATGATACAGTCGATGCATCATTTTATATATGTACCCATTATTAATGGTAGATCTTATTATTCTTTTGTGTAAAGTGTCAAGGGATAAATGATCTTATATGCTATATAGGACATGTCTGAAACTGTAAAAAAAGTGAAATGAAATGAAATTCTGCTGGGTGCCAGTCATGTTACAAAAGCACCAGATATATTACAAAAGTGCCAGACATGTTACAAAAGTGCCAGACTTGTTACAAAAGTGACAGTATTTGTTACAAAGGTGCCAGACTTAATTTAATGTACAGCTACACTTGTATTTATATCACATTACGAGATCAGTATTATATATATATACATGTACCTCTGAATATGTGCCTTATAAGGAGACAAACATAACATACATAGGGATTATCCTATATGAGGTTCAGGATATTGGGATTATCTCGAGGCCAATATACTATATCTGCCTAGGGGCCATAGGTCTCAATGAAATAGTATGCCTACTGTCGAAAATGTAAGTTTTTACAAACCTATATACCTGATACACGTCCAAGTATGGGATAAATAAATGTATGTTTTTCAAGATATTTAGAATTTCGAACCAATTTTAAGTACATGTATTTAAAAAGTTTTTTCAAGCTATTGGATATAATTTAGTTTCTAGATAACTTGGGTCTAAAACGATGACCCTTCAAGTAGAACTCTAATCATGTGTTGCTCTAAGACATAAATAGTTGCTGGTGCTTTCAATGAAATAGCAACAATTATCAGCTAGTAGTAGAACCATACTGAATTTTTGAATTTTAGTGGTTAGAAGCAAGGGTAAAATAGTTTACATTATATAATATATACTCTATACAATAGATATCATTTTGTACATGTTATTCACCATACATGCTTCAACTGATCTGTTACTCAAGGTGTTACTCAAAATTACTATACGGTGAGATGTGAATATATAAATAGAAATAAAGCGTTATTTTACTGGGTAATTGTTATGAGAAAATGATTTGTTATGTTTGATTTAATTGATGTGATAAAAGAACTGATCTTTGTGAAGATATGCTCCAAATTGAACGCTGCACAATATACGGTTACATGGTGTTTTTGCTCGCTTGTAAATTTCACTAAAAGGCTATTTATAAAAGATATGTCGCAAAAAGAGAATTTTGAAAATCAATGAAATATATGGAAGTTAAAGCAGATTGGGGAACAAATCAATGAATTGAAAAATTCACCTGTTCTTGTATATTTTCTACAATAATTCAGATCAATTCAAACACAAGTGCAAATAGAAAGAATAACTTATGATCAGCTCCATCATTAGACATCATATAAGATTCTTCTTCATATATAATATTTGTTATTTACATGTCCATATCAACTCTGAGAGATTTAGCATATCCATTGCCAAGCTCAAATATCATGCACACATATAGTTTGTTCTGCAAATTGTATCAGTTTAGGTTTCGGATTAGCACCATGTAAAAACTACATCTCTATAGAGTCATGGATTATAAAGCAAAAGTAAACTCCATCTCTAGATTTATTTATTTACTATGCACTTAGATAGTTCCTATTTTCTGCTTAATTAACCAGATCACTAAATGAGATGTTACAAATAATACCATCTTTCATCATATAATCTAAAATAGCAGAGCTAAATGTTTCCAAGTATTATTTTGAAGAACATTGACTATGTCTCAAATCACATTTTGAGTTCATGTGATGTTACCTTTGTTTAATTTCTTCGTACACACCTCCAGATGAACATGTTCATTTTTAAGTCACCACGTCACAAGTGGTGACATATTATCGAAGTCTCCAAAATTTTTGTGGATGTTCGGGCGTCAGTGTCTGTAACAAATGGCAGGTGGTGACATTTTGCGTGTTTATGCCTTGTTTTATTGTTCTATAATACTAACACTCGACTGGAGTGCATCAAGAAAATAGTCCAATAGAGTAAAACCCAGTGCTCAATGTTGACTTTCCAATTCAAAACCAATGAACATGAATTTCTTCAACTCCATTCAAAACCATCTAAAACCACAGATGTGTATTGTTTGAAAATGACAAATTACCTGACCCACCATTCTAGTATGCCATGTTTCTAGTATGCCATGTTTCTCGGATGCCATGTTTTTAGTATGCCATGTTTTGCTTACTTTGCAGGTATGCAAGGAAGATCGATCAGGTGACGAAGCCTTAGAGACATTACCACCCCACCCTTTGTGACATCATCAAATAAACCAATCAGTATGTCATCAAATAAACGAACCAGTACAGATGATAACAAATACCAGTACGGAAATGAAATAATTGTTTAATTTATAGAAACTGCATTTTTATATAAAGGATAGGTACCGATATGGTGAACTGAATTCAACAATGTTTTTCTCTTAAACCAATTATTGAAAACATTCTGTAAAAAAGCATGTTTCTTTTAATGTTGACTGATTGGCAAGAATTTAATGCAAAAATTATTTATATATATTTTATATAACTGTTTTTGTTAAAAAATTTTGTTTTTAGCGCAATTGTTTTTTCAACAAAATAGATAAAAATTAAGATAAACATTTTATTTCATTAACAAGATACTTTTTTAAAATCAACCAAACTTTCCTTTGTACAATTACAATATTGAGAGACTTAAATACGTTGTGTTTATGTCGTTTTGTTCCTATGAGGTTCGGATAGATGTTTCATTTCATTCCGAACATATGATACCAAGAACAAAAGAAGTATCTTATGTGTTTTCTTAAACAGTATAGAGAAAAGTATATATATATATTTCAAATTATAATGTTACCATCTAAAAGATGACCATTAAATTGACGATGTGTAAAATTTTCAGAATGTTTTGATGACTGGTTTAAGAGAAATGCGTGTTTAAAAAGTTCACCGTATCGATACCACTCCTTTGATATTAATAAGGTGTTGTGTCTGAAGTTCAGAATTATTGCAACAAGCTTTCAGTTTTGAGTAGCTTTAAATTCTTAGAATGATGTGATTGTACATATAATCAATGAAATCAAAATAACCTGGAATGACTGTGATAGTGTTGCTCACATATTTTAAATATCAGGCTTTGTGGCTTGCTTCTTTAAGGTGTTGTATAAAGGTGAAGAAGAGCTCATCTCGCCAAAATATTTCCACAAAATTAATTGGACAGTTAGGTCACTATTTTAAAATGCAATGACCCGAGTCTTATGAGAAAAATAATATACGAGGTTTACCTCATCTTTATACAGGGCCTTGGTATGATTTTATAGAAATTTCAAATGATCAAATTGTCTTCCATGAGGAAATCCATAGGGCTACCTCTCATTTTGGGTGGATTGACAATATTTAACTAGACAAATCACATACTGTACTAAATACCTCATATACAAATTTTCAATCACAATAATCATTGTTGGTTTTTCATATGCAGTTTATTGTTAAGCGTTGATTTGGATATTTATTCCATGACAATTGTATATAAATAATAGAACTAGTGCAATTTATTTTAAAGATAGGACCACAGCATAATTCATGACATGTATTTTTAACACAGTATTATATTTTCATGTAGTTTGTAAATAAAGAATAAACGCTTTGTAAATATGCTGTAAAGTATAAGTGCAATTATAATGAATGATACATGATATAATAGAGACAAGATCAAATTAAAATGAAAAGAAGTAAAGAATTGTATGTATTGGAAAATCAAATCAAAATTAATTGAAAAAGAATCGTAGAGCATAACTGACAGCTTGTGTACATATGTTTAGTTTATATTGAAAGCAAGAACTTTGTAACTAATAACTGAATAATGGTTATATTCACAGGATTCACAGAGAGTAATGGCACAGATATAAGATTAAAATGCCAGGTTTCACTGACTCATCTCTATAAGAACTATTACCATAGTAACTTATAAACTGTTTCTATTGACTTTGTAATGTTCCCCATGCTGTGGAAACATTTTTATTTTTATCATGTATGGAAAATGAATGGATTCAATCTTTTTGAAGTGAGGTGGCAGTTTCATGCATGTCATGATGTTGAATAAAATGAATGTTAAATATGTGTATATAAATATGTTGGGAAATCTACTTACTAAATAAAACATGTACAGTAAAACATGTAGAATATAAACATGTTTAGGACCATTGATTGTGAACATGTTTAGGACCATAGATTGTGAACATGTTTAGGACCATAAATTGTAAACACATTAAGGGCAAACTCAATGTTAATTTAGTATTGTATAATAACATTGGAGTGAATAGGGGAAATATATTTTATATCTAACAGTCTTCACTTCATAAATGTGTTCACATTTTACAGGTGTTTACTAGCTTAGAAAGGTGTTTACATTATTGATATTTGCAAACATGGGTTTAACTGTACAGAATTCAGGCCTCCTAGACTCCCATCGATGTGAATATCAGTTCTGACGTCACGAACTACGTCCATTGCACTCGAACCAAGATTCTCATATCGCGAACGTAAAATCTTTAGTCGCGCACCACTATTTCCTCGCTCCCGAACATATTTCTCTACTTACGCACAGAGATCCGTGCTCTCGAACCACTATGTACAAGTGATGTGAGAATCGCGATGTGAGAATCGTGGTTTGAGTGCAAGGAACATAGTTCGTGATGTCAGAACTGATGTTCACATTGATGGAAGTCTAGGAGGCCTGGAATTGTGATAATATGAAATATTTGTTTAATGATTATTCCAATTGATGCACTTGATATGGGTGTTAATAAAAAGTCCCACTGAAGAATGGTACAGGGTACAGCCTGACAATATGTGCTAGTTTGATTATTTAGGATAATTTGAACTTCAATCAATCAATTATTCAGGAAATTAAAATGATTTTAATTAGTTTATTGTATTTTGTTTTGAGTTTTATTGTAAGTTATTGTTAAGGTTTTTTTATGCCTTTATATGTTTTTTTATTTTGTTTTATGAAGATAAACACGTTTACAAAAGTTTAATTTGCACAGAATTTCGCACAAAACAGCTTTTTTTCACATCATAACATGATGACAGTATTAACATAGTATGAAATGCTTGTACGCATAAAAGACTATTGGTCACTAAGGTATTTATTTTGTAAACATTCACTGAAGTGAAAATAAATACTAGTAATGTAAAACTGATAGTTTGTATTTTCATAATTTGTTTATCATTTTTATGTCACCACCAAAAGTGATGACATATTGTTATAGTCTCCAACTTTTTTTGTGGATGGTGTTTGGTAGTTGGTGGTTGGTGTCTGTAACAAATGGCAGGTGGTGACATTTTGCATGTTAATGCCTTGTTACAATTCGTGAAAAACCTGCACAGTTCTTGAATGAGTAGAAACAAAGAGAGAAGGGATAAAGATGAGTTTTAAATTTGCCTCGATTTTACAAAATAATCATCATTCCAAGCCAGGCCTATTTTCTTTACAAGTTCAACATTTCAACCCTTTTTTAATTTTCATAAATTAGGATACCTCTTAGATCTAAAATCTTCAATCATTTCAATATTTGATCAGATCTTGATTCCTTTTGAAAAGATTATCTGAACATTATACACTCTCTATCTCTTCTCATTCATTTAACCTCTGGTGTTTCCAAAATTGGTATCCAACCACTTCCTCAAAAATTGTGCAGCATTTTCCAATCATTTTGATGAAACATTGTACATCAATGTAAAATATGCCAACATTGTCTAGTGACATTTTACATGGATTTCAATGGATATCATTGCCTGTCAGTCCCATAACTTGGATTCATTTCACAGAGTCACAGTCAATTAAATGGGACATTCTCGTATAATTGATAAACTGCCAACTGAAATATTTGAGTTCATTCAATGCCAAATGTCAAAATAAAATGGCTAAATTGTTTTTAAGAAATCTTATATCCTATTATATCCATAAAGCATAACTAAAACAATAATGCATTTGACATGTTTTACTGAAATCCAAATCTGAAATGATCCAATTTAGAAAATTCCTCAGGAATTCTTTCATACTTTAATTTGCTGTTTTTAAGGTGTAACATTACACTATGGGCATTTCAGGGGACAATGTGGAATACTTAGTGCTTTGTCATCCCACAACAACGTAATATGGATAAGCTAGGTTAAACCTTAAACTTACAAAGGTTCTTAATGGATTACAGGATAATATCGTAAACATATGAATACTTATGAAAAACTCTCAAAAGACCTTTCCAATATTTTCCAATATTCTATTCAATTGAAATCTCGTAGAAATGAGTGCTTCTGTCTGGCTAAAGTGCTAAGACACTTATAAGGGTTAGCAACAAGAATATGTATCATTTTCAAGTTGCTAAAATTCTTGTTTGTATTTTGAATTAAGAATACTGTACAAGATTGAATTCCACTCATGGTGTTCAGAGGGTGTTGACTATTAAACATTTACGTTAAATTACATATAGAGTATTAAGAAGTCAAAAATCAGATGCTTGGAGGATAATTCTATTAAGGAATTGATCTTCAATGTGGAGAGCAATTTTTCTGCATGGCACCACTTTGATCACACTTTATATTGCTATTTATTTGATAAGGTAAGGACCATTAATTAGATAATCACTACAATTGGTAGTAATATTATTTATTTGTTAATATAAAAAAAATCAACATCTATTTGTAGCTTGCAATTTTGATTTTCTCAGATTCATTAGGTGAAGGTATCTAATTGTGTTTACATAGATTTTTAAGATGTTTGGTTTGGTAATGTAAAATTGACAAGATTAGAAAAGAGCATTAGGCTGTTTGCTTACTACTTGGAGTATGGGGAGCTCCTTATATAGAATAATTTTTCATTTGTTTTCTTCCAGGATTTACTATGAGAGATTACTATGGGAATCAATAAGTAATCGTAAAACAGTGAAATTAACTGAACCATCTCACGAGAGACTCCTTTCTACAGACCCCATAGCCTAACACAATCGAAGTTATTAAATATGTAACAATTTATGCAATCGTAAATGCTAAAAGCATGTAATCTTCATAGAACAAAGCCATCAGGAAATTAGTATCTGTATTACTGCGTTTAATAATTACAATACAAATGTAAGAATTTGGAGCATATTTTGAAAAAGCCATTAACTGTGGCAATGAGAACTCATTAATTAGTCAGAAATGATGACATCATAATGTGAATAATATCTTGGAGAAATATATTAAGTAACATCGTGAATTTGGATTCAGTTATTTGTGATTGGAGAACAGAGTCTTATAGTTTAATATCAACATGACTGATCAGTCAAATCCATCAAAAGTGCGGAACCTACTTTGGGACGACCATGGTCTTAAGTTCTACTGGGAAACTCCTTATGAGGCTATGCAAAGGAAGGCCCTCAAAAAGGAGAACGATGTCTTGGCAAATAATCGCTCTGAAGCTGCGCTTTTACAGCGTGAAAAAGATCGGGTGGACACTGGTTGTAGACTTTACACCTCAAAGTTCACAAGGGAGAAAGAAACGTACCGTGATTCGCTAAAGGAGTACATTGCACATAAAAATGTTCTCGAGAGAGTAATGGAAACAAATATGAACGATCAAACAAGGAATGAGAATTTTGGTCAATATGGTCTGAATAAAACTAGTAAAGATTTGAGGAACTTAATTGAAGATGAACTTCACAGAATGCACCCTGTTACAAAACGAAAACGTAAAGTTGAGTGGTTGGCTAAAACACATGAACGCATAGGAGTGTTTGACCGTACAATGACATTTGCAGAAATTGTGGCAAGCAGGAAACCAAAGGATCGAACTCCAGCACGACTGATTTTACCGCCAGTCACGGCTGGGTACTCAAGTCGCAGAACATGTTCTAATACCAATTCTGGTACCCAATCAACCCATGGTTCATCAAGCACTGTGTTTGTAACTCAATTAGATGATTTTGACACTAATGAGCCCATAATTGGGGCAACTGACTCCACAGATGAAAAGCTTACTCAGAACCTAAGTGCCAAAAGTGTGGAAAATGGAGGAAATATTTCAATAACTGAGCAAGGTGACAACAAAAATATTGTTCCAACTCCTCCAGTGTCAAAGTCTCCAAGACAGCAATTATCAAAGAGAGCCTCCAAGACTAAGACGCCACCAAGTTGAACCTTTCCTAATTGTTAAAAGTCACTTAATGTGTACCATATTAGAGAAAACTGCCATAATATCGACAAACATTCTGTCATCCATACAGTAACTGCAGATTGATGTTTTGATCAATTTCATGGTGCAGATTTTGAAGCTGTCAGTTTTATCAAAACATATGACATTGTAGAAAAATAAAGAAGTTTAGCTTTCAAAGTTGGGCTGAAGTAGAAAATATCAACATTCTTTAACAGAATTGTTTTCTTTAATCAGCATTTATTGGGTGATGACTAGACACAAGGATTGTCTCAAAGTATCAACTGTTCGATTTTGTTTGTAGAATGTTGGTTTTGTGAAATTACGTCACTAGAACAATTTAACTCAAAGCTAAGTTCACACCAACGAAGCTTTGGTGGCGCTTTAAAGCAGCGTGCAAAGCTTTGCATGTCGCATTAAAACGCCATCAAAGCGCCATTGGTGTGAACTTAGCTTTTTTCATAGGGGTTGAATGAATTTGATTTCTCGAGAACTGCCAATATTTTGACACCATTTAAATAAAATAATAAATATAAATTAAAAAAAACAAAAATATGTTAGGTTGCGAGTTCAAGACCCGTGTGCTCCTTGTGTTTATACATTTATTAATTATAATCTAACAATGAAAACAAATTTTGAAATCATTAGGTTTCAGGAAATCAGGCTTCATACCTTTTGCGATAGAGGGCTATTTTAAGTTAAAGGTACAGACACACTCTAGTTTTCTCTTAAGTAATGACAAGAAATGAAAAAATGGTCAGTTAGTGAGAATGAATCAGTAGTTTTGTATAAATACTGCATTGGTATCTTATGGTTCAGCTGAATACACAAAAAAAGTTTAAGGATGGATCAACATCTAGATTCATGATTGAATGATGAAATATTTAGAAATGTAAACTTTAGATATGACAGGCCCCTATCTAAAAAAACAAAAATCTAATTCATAACGATCTGTAACTTGAAACAATACAAACTTGACTCAAATATGATTTTCTGAAAATATCAAATATTGAAAAAATTGCTCATCGAGGCAAGGTCCATATTGAATGTTAACTATCACCTTTTAAAATTTTTAAAGGCAATTAATTCAATTTCAAGCAATGGCAATCTTCTCAATCTTTGATGATTACAGAAAAAAGGGTTATTTCAAAGTTTATTCATAGTGCAAGCTACACATCGTTAGAATTAAAAACATGTTGGGGTAATTTTGGATACTGTCCCTTACAGATAGTGTCCCTTTAATGAATCATTTAGTTTTGCCAAAGGTCAATATTGAGATATGCTGAGGGAGTCAAGTCTTTCAATAATGTCATTTTTACTGAGTTGATTAAGAGATCTAAGTATAGGTTAAAGTAGCTCAACCTCTTACTCCAATCCCAAATTATGCCTAATTTTAAAAAATCAATAACCTGTAAGAGTTATCAATAGCATTTTAATATTGTACAACATTTTCTGTAAATATCAAAGACATTGTTAACCTGGAAAGCAATTTTTATCACCATTTAAAATTTCACTTATTCAGTATTTTAAACATATTGTTCAAGCTTTGTTATTTTCAGAAAGTAATGTTGTATCAAAGTCCATCAAGAGTGTTAGTTACAGGTTGTACCAATTTAATTTTTGGGAGGTTAGAGGTTGAGACACTTCATGACCTGCAGAGAGATGATTTCAAACCCATTGATTTTTTCAAAGATATTTACAGGGTGGGGCAAAAATCGTCTACATGTATATCTATTGTATAATTGATTGCTGCATGCCCTCCAGAATATTATTGGAAACTTTTTAAAATCATTATATCAAAACAGAACAAAAATATTGATATGTTTTTGGCTTACCCTGTCCTATTGTAGAATGTTTTGAAAATTAAGAAAAATTGTGAATTCAAGATATAAATGAGGAATCCTCATTATACACACAATATTAAAGGACACAATTGTAATGTTAATCATATGATTTTAATTCATCTCATCCATCCATATTTACATTGATTCTACAAATAACATATATTTACAAATAATTCTAGTGTGTTTGATTAAATATAGAAATGAAACACTTGGACGGATATTGCTTTTAGATAAATAGTAATAAATAATGTCTTCACAAAAATGTTAAATAAATTGTATGTTCATAAATTAAAACGTTTGAAGACCTGCATATGTACATAAAACACGCTTATCATGTTTGCTTCATAAAACCTTACACATTTCAATATATGCCATTAAGAAAATGAAAAGCAAAACTATCATACATTACCACACAAACTTTTGGACCATGTCATTTTGTCAATGTTTCCATAGTGATAGGATATTTTGTATGGGATGGAGAAAGTTGAATAAAACTAGTATTTTGGCAAGATTGAAAACATGACATGGTCCCTAATAGCAACATATCATCAAATCATTGACAGGGTGGGCAAAAAACTGTTAACACTTTCGTAAACATTTTCATATTTACCAATGCTTTTGAAACCACATAAACCCAGCATTTGACTATGAGATCAGCAAAATTACTAAAGTGTTGACAGTTGAGGCTTCCCTGTAATTGTCAGTAATTTGAAAACATATTTCAACATAAAAATGGAAAACACATTGAAGTATATTCACTAAAGGCACATGTTTGCTAAAAGTAAACTAATATTTCAAAATATGACTAGAATATTTCTATCCTGAAAATGTCAAATTAAATTTTCTGAATGTATCACATGATTTGTCTACTTTTCGATTGAGTTACCCCAATGTGAAACTAAACTTATTTTTCGTAAACTAATTGTTAGAAATTGCACACTGAATCACTGACTGGCATACCTCTGTGTTTGTCAGAGAATAATAATGTTCGTAAGTTCATAAACTGTCTCGATTTTGTTTTCTTTTATCACCTTATGAGGTTTGAATTTTCCTTTTAATTCTTTGCATCTTTTATACTGTTCTGTACTAATCTTTCTCACTTTTGTTTTATAATGTCTCGGTTATAATGTCAGTTCAGTCTTGTAGTTAGATTATAGTGCAAGCTCTGGAGGAGGCCTCTGATTCGCCTTTTTTAGGTTTCCATTTGTCCATACTTGTCACTGAAGAATTAGACCTCAAACTGGCAGTACTGCTGTTAAGGGAACTTCTGCTTTTGCTTCTAGGGGTGGATGCTGTTCCATTGACGTGAACAGGGAACTTCCTCTCCAAGTCCTTAACTCGTTTCTGACTTTCTTTCAATTCACGCTCCATTATTCTTAACTTCTTGGCCTTCAATTTTTCTTCCTCTTTAACATTGTTCAAGTGTCCTTCAAGCTCTTGGATTTTTGATTGGTCAACATCTTGCTCTGTAACAGTGTTCACGGTTACTGCCTTAGCCACACGTAGTTCTTCTTCTAGTTGTTTAATGTAATCTTCCTTTTTGTCCACAGAGGGAATGATATCTTTTAGTTTATCAGATTCATTATCAGAATCACCTTTGCCTGAATCTGTCTCAGAAAGTTTTGGTTGTTTGTCTTCAGTCATTTCTGTGGGTTTGTCTTTTGGAGTCACTGGTCGTTTTGGAGTTTCTGGTTGCTTTTCTCCTGTCTTGGGCCTGGATGGAGTTTCTGGTCGCTTTTCCTCTGTCACCTCCTCAGTTGTGACTTTTGGTGTCGCAGGTCGTTTTTCTCCTGTCTTGGGCCGTGATGGAGTTTCGGGTCGCTTTTCTCCTGTCTTAGGCCTGGATGGAGTTTCTGGTCGTTTCTCTCCAGATGTAGGTCGTGTTGGTGTCTCTGGTCGCTTTTCATCTGTTACCTCCTCAGTTGTGACTTTTGGTGTCGCAGGTCGCTTTTCTCCTGTCTTGGGCCGTGATGGAGTTTCGGGTCGCTTTTCTCCTGTCTTAGGCCTGGATGGAGTTTCTGGTCGCTTTTCTCCAGATGTAGGTCGTGTTGGTGTCTCTGGTCGCTTTTCATCTGTTACCTCCTCAGTTGTGACTTTTGGTGTCACAGGTCGTTTTTCTCCTGTCTTGGGCCTGGATGGAGTTTCTGGTCGCTTTTCTCCTGTCTTGGGCCTGGATGGAGTTTCTGGTCGCTTTTCCTCTGTCACCTCCTCAGTTGTGACTTTTGGTGTCGCAGGTCGCTTTTCTCCTGTCTTGGGCCGTGATGGAGTTTCGGGTCGCTTTTCTCCTGTCTTAGGCCTGGATGGAGTTTCTGGTCGCTTTTTTCCAGATGTAGGTCGTGTTGGTGTCTCTGGTCGCTTTTCATCTGTTACCTCCTCAGTTGAGACTTTTGGTGTCGCAGGTCGCTTTTCTCCTGTCTTGGGCCTGGATGGAGTTTCTGGTCGCTTTTCTCCTGTCTTGGGCCTAGATGGAGTTTCTTGTCGCTTTTCTCCTGTCTTAGGCCTGGATGGAGTTTCTGGTCGCTTTTCTCCTGTCTTAGGCCTGGATGGAGTTTCTGGTCGCTTTTCTCCAGATGTAGGTCGTGTTGGTGTCTCTGGTCGCTTTTCATCTGTTACCTCCTCAGTTGAGACTTTTGGTGTCGCAGGTCGCTTTTCTCCTGTCTTGGGCCTGGATGGAGTTTCTGGTCGCTTTTCTCCTGTCTTGGGCCTAGATGGAGTTTCTGGTCGCTTTTCTCCTGTCTTAGGCCTGGATGGAGTTTCGGGTCGCTTTTCTCCTGTCTTAGGCCTGGATGGAGTTTCTGGTCGCTTTTCTCCAGATGTAGGTCGTGTTGGTGTCTCTGGTCGCTTTTCATCTGTTACCTCCTCAGTTGTGACTTTTGGTGTCATAGGTCGCTTTTCTCCTGTCTTGGGCCTGGATGGAGTTTCTGGTCGCTTTTCTCCTGTCTTGGGCCTAGATGGAGTTTCTGGCCGTTTTTCTCCTGTCTTAGGTCTGGATGGAGTTTCTGGTCGTTTCTCTCCAGATGTAGGTCGTGTTGGTGTCTCTGGTCGCTTTTCATCTGTTACCTCCTCAGTTGTGACTTTTGGTGTCATAGGTCGCTTTTCTCCTGTCTTGGGCCTAGATGGAGTTTCTGGTCGCTTTTCTCCTGTCTTAGGCCTGGATGGAGTTTCTGGTCGTTTCTCTCCAGATGTAGGCCGTGTTGGTGTCTCTGGTCGCTTTTCATCTGTTACCTCCTCAGTTGTTACTTTTGGTGTTGCAGGTCGCTTTTCTCCTGTCTTGGGCCTGGATGGAGTTTCTGGTCGCTTATCCCCTGTCTTGGGCCTGGATGGAGTTCCTGGTCGCTTTTCCCCAGTTTTGGGCCTCACTGGAGTTTCTGGTCGCTTTTCTCCTGTCTTGGGCCTGGATGGAGTCTCTGGACAATTTTCTTCAGTTTCACCTGGTGCTAATTCTGAAGCCTCAGCTGGTTTTTCCTCAGTGGTTTCAGCTGGTGCTTCTTCTGTTGTCTCAGCTGGTTTTTCCTCAGTGGTTTCAGCTGGTATTTCTTCTGTAGTCTCAGTTGGTTTTTCCACAGTGGTTTGAGCTGGGGCTTCTTCTGCTGTTTCATCTGGTTTTTCCACTGTGGTTTCAGCTGGTGTTTCTTCTATGGATTCAGCAGCTGTTTCTTCTGTAGTTTCAGTGGGTGTTTCCTCTGTTGTTTCAGCAGGTTTGTCATCAGTGGTTTCAGCAGGTGTTTCTTCTGTAGTTTCAGCAGGTTTGTCTTCTGTAGCTTCTGCGGGTGTTTCTTCTGTAGTTTCAGCGGGTGTTTCCTCTGTTGTTTCAGCAGGTTTGTCATCAGTGGTTTCAGCAGGCGTTTCCTCTGTTGTTTCAGCAGGTTTGTCATCAGTGGTTTCAGCAGGTGTCTCTTCTGAAGTCTCAGCGGGTTTTTCTTCTGTAGTTTCAGACGGTTTGTCTTCTGTAGTTTCTGAGGGTGTTTCTTCTGTAGTTTCAGTGGGTGTTTCCTCTGTTGTTTCAGCAGGTTTGTCATCAGTGGTTTCAGCAGGTATTTCTTCTGTAGTTTCAGCAGGTTTGTCTTCTGTAGCTTCTGCGGGTGTTTCTTCCGTAGTTTCAGCGGGTGTTTCCTCTGTTGTTTCAGCAGGTTTGACATTAGTGGTTTCAGCAGGCGTTTCCTCTGTTGTTTCAGCAGGTTTGTCATCAGTGGTTTCAGAAGGTGTCTCTTCTGAAACCTCAGCGGGTTTTTCTTCTGTAGTTTTAGATGGTTTGTCTTCTGTAGTTTCTGTGGGTTTTTCTTCTGTAGTTTCAGATGGTTTGTCTTCTGTAGTTTCTGCGGGTGTTTCTTCTGTAGTTTCAGCAGGTTTGTCATCAGTGGTTTCAGCAGGTGTTTCTTCTGTAGTTTCAGCAGGTTTGTCTTCTGTAGTTTCAGCGGGTGTTTCTTCTGTTGTTTCAGCAGGTTTGTCATCAGTGGTTTCAGTAGGTGTTTCTTCTGTAGTTTCTGCTGATGTTTCTTCTGTTGTTTCCAAGGGTTTGTCTTCTGTAGTCTCAGCGGGTTTTTCTTCTGTAGTTTCAGCAGGTTTGTCTTCTGTAGTTTCTGTGGGTGTTTCTTCTGTAGTTTCAGCGGGTTTTTCTTCTGTAGTTTCAGCAGCTTTTTCCTCTGTGGTTTCAGCAGGTGTTTCTTCTGCAGTTTTAGAGGGTTTGTTATCAGTAGTCTCAGCAGGAGTACCTTCGACTGGAGTTTCTACTGCTGTTTCTTCTGTTTTGTCTGCCATGGCTTCTTTTGATTAGTTATCTGCAAAAACATAACAAATAGGTTTTATTACTATAATCTAGGATTAACATGTTATAACATCCAAACTTAAACAAACACCATGGCTCAATCTTTGTTGAGAACAGAAAATATTTATTCTTAACTTATTGTGAAAACTTGTTATAAATATTTCTAGAAGTGAATAATTATTCTGAAAAGTTGTCATGAACATTTCTAAAAGTGGGATCTCTAAGAAATATTTACTTTTATATACTGCAACACCAAATAATCTATACTGTAGGTATTGTATAAGATTCATGTTTGATAAAAAGGTATAATATACAACCCCCTCCGAAAGTTTGGCAATCAAGTCCCTATATAATAACATGATGATGAACCCTGTTTAATATGATTTTGAATTTTTCATCAAATAATATTTGAAAAATGCAGAATAAACATTTACTATAACACATGATCCAATGGGGAAGGTGAAGTTTCCAAACTATTGGAAGAGAGTGTATCTTATAATTGTTTTCATGGTAGTTTATACAATATGCTATGCTGATCTATATTATGAAGTTATGTATTTTGTAATTTACCAAAATAATCAAGTCAACTTAATGATGGATTATGTTGCTAAGTAACATCATTGTTTTTATGTAAACAGTACAGTAAAGCCTGTTTTACCATAATGCCACTTGGACTAGTGTTTGGATTGACAGTTGGTCAAATATCAAGTTTATTAACATTGAAATCTATGGGACAGAACAAAATGTTCAAATTGAGAGGTGTTCAAGTTATAGAGGTGTTCGGATATACATATTTTACAATACATTTAAAAAATGCTTAAAAGCAAAAGAAAACTGCTTGATACTTTTTAAGCTAATAATTGTTACACTGTAAATTCTCAACAATATTTACATAATCTGATAATGATAAGTTAAAATTCAGTCATATACACATTTTTGTCAATCTAAAAGCAGTATCAGAGCAGAAGCGGTAAATTGAAAATGATACAATAGGAAACATAAAACTGTTTATTGTGACATGATTGCTTGATAAAAATGTTAATTCAGTGTGTGTTTTATCATCATTTTGAAGTAAAGGAATTCAAAAATATTACAAGCAAACATGGTGCAACAGTCAAGACTATGTTTTAAATGCAACATTTGTGCAATGGTACCATACTTTTGCTGATTTTAAATTGACAAAATGTGTTATGACAATTAATATAGGGTGAGTTAGTTTTCCAAAGTGTGTTTTTCTACCTAAATTTTAGATTGAATTTTATATTGATACCATGGGTCTTGCTTTCAGATACTGTAGTTAATATTAAAAATGATGTTCCCAGTGATGAATCTCTAATTCTAGCTTTTATTAAACATATACAATTTTGGAGTCCCGCTATTTTTAAGTTTAACTTTGAAATGACATTTCTCTAATAAGTTCACTGAAATTCCAAAGGATTGGTATCGATATGGTGAACTGAATTCAACAATGTTTTTCTCTTAAACCAACTATTGAAAACATTCGGTAAAAAACACAGTCCTTTATGTAATGTTGACTGACTGACAACAACGAAAATTATTTATATGTATATTATATAACTGTTTTTGTTAACATTTTTTTGTTTTTTAGAGCAATTGTTTTTTGTTCCTTCTACTAATTCTTGAGAATGAAATTAAATTTTTCCAAACCTTGTTGGATCAAAATAGCACATACATTTTCTTAGACCTCTCAATATTATAGTTATACAAAGGAAAGTTTGGTTGATTTAACAAAAAGTATTCAAAAAATTAAAACAAAAATCCCCAAAATAGATAATAAATTAAGATAAACCTTTTTTCGTTAACAAGATACTTTTTTAAATCAACAAAACTTTCCTTTGTACAATTACAATATTGAGAGACCTGAGCATGTTGTGTTTATGACATTTTGTTTCAATGAGGTTCGGATAGATGTTTCATTTCATTCCGAACATATGATACCAAGAGCAAAAGAAGTGTCTGATGTGTTTTCTAAAACAATGTAGAGAAAAACTGTTACCATTCAAAAGATGACCATTAAATTGACGATGTGTAAAATTTTCAGAACTTTTTGATGACTGGTTAAGAGAAGCATGTGTTCAAAAAGTTCACCATATCGATAACAATCCTGTCAAAAAATCATTCCCATATTCCAAGGTAAATATTCATATTAAAGTTACATCAAGTATTATGCACAATTTGAGCATTACAAGGTTTGTATAAATCAACTGCATGGTATTTTTGTATGCAAAATAAACAATTACTGATGATTGGACCAAACCTATAGAGAAGATACATGTGGCCAATGAAGTACTTACAAGTTATGGTATACAGTTAATCCAATGAGTTCTTGAAAATATCGTTTTAATGTATCCTTTGTAGATATCTTTCGTTGGCTATAATAATCCTCGATGTCCAAATCCACGTCCAACAAGTTCAATGCAAGTTACGAGGCCAGATCCCGGAATGACAACACTAAATCCAAACGCTGATTTATAGCTTTGATGTTGCAGTATTTGCCCCGTTGCTGTGTTTCACTAGAGTCTCTATTTACCTTGAAGATCTCAAACACTTCTCGGTGTCTCTATGTATTACTATTTGATCAAATGTTATACTTAGTTACATATACCTAATTAGAAAACATGCACTCAGCTTGGCTTGTATTTGTGCATCAAATAGTATGTGGGTTTAGTGTTGGTATATGACACATGTTAAATGGTGACAACTACGTCCAATGTCTTGTAAGTCTACATGTTACTTGCATTACCACTTCCTCAAGAACAACTAAGATCTATAGAATTTACAGACAAGATACAGTTAGTCAGTAGTGGAACAAATATGAAAATGAAATAAAATCTTCAGTACATCGTTAAATTAAACATCTCTTCAAAACTACTAACAGTGATTTCAAAACCCTCCTTATGTAACTATTAAAACAGCATCGTTGCTATCATTCTTATTTATAAATTGATATAACTGTATAACATTTCCTGACATTTGTGAGCATCAACATGCAAAATGTCACCACCTGCCATTTGTTACAGACACCATACACTTAACACCAACCACAAAACACTATCAAAAAAGATTTGGAGACGATAACAATATGTCACCACTTTTAGGTGGCGACATAAAAACATGAGCAATGGAGGATTGAAGAAATATGAGTTTAATTTTGGTATATTTCATATATTTTGTAGCATAGTCTTAGTCTCTGCACAGCCTTACAATAAATACATTCAAATATTTTTCCACAATTGCTTACAATGCACTTGTGGTGATTCACACTTGAAGATCCCATTTGGACAACAGGAACATTGAAATAAGTGATTGTACACCTATCATTATGAATACATGTAAGTAAAAAATTCTATTTACATTTTTCAGGAAAACATCATACATGCTAACTCTAATTGGCTATTCTTGAAGCATTTGAAAATGTTCAATTAAATTGCTGCGAAACCTGTGTACTTTGAACGCCTATAGAGCCACAAAAATGTGTTCACTGTTGGTAGGTGTTCATTAGAGACAGGTGTTCACTAGAGAAAGGTGTACACTGAGACAGGTTTTACCGTACAAGTGGAACCCTTTGTTACCTTTACGTAGTGTTCCACTTGGGAGGTGTTCTACCTACAGAAGTTAATTTTACATTCATTAGTTGATTGGTAACTTTTAAGTTAAAACTTTCCAATTACGAAGGTGTTCTACCAAGAGAGGTATTTCACTTCACAGGTTATCTGACTCATATACTTTACTTCTACTAATTTGTGGCCATTTTAATTTGGTGGATCTGTCAAATTGTTAAAGTCTGCCAAGTTAAGTCGCCTCCAAATTCCCCAGTAATTCTAGTGCCATGTAAATTGGTACCATTAGTACATTATAACATTGCAAGTTGGCAAAATTAAGTAGCCACAAAATATAGAAAAATAGCAAATCCACCAAAATAAGTTGTGCAAAGTAAGTAAAAGTACAGTATATGTAACAATTGTAAACAACTACATTGTAATGTTCAAACATCTCAAAAATCAGAAAATCCAAAAAACAGCCTCTATTAGGGTAATGTTTACTCTGAATATTTCAATGTGGTTGTTTATAATTGTGGGTACAGATTTTGTTTGACAATTCTGGGTATAGATTTTGTTTAACAATTCTGGGTATTGATTTTGTTTGACAGAGTATTTAGTATTGAGATTCAATGTAGTCTAACTATAATCAAATGTTTTCCAATATAAAATAGACTTTGCCAAATTATGATACTAACACCGATCCAGCTGTGGAACTTTCTGAATGTCTGAATGTTTATGCATGAAAAATGGAATCAAAGACGTTATCACAGTCAGTGCTAAATACAAATGTGTACAATACTATGTACAATTTATGTAATAACGTACAATTATTTAATGCTACATATAAATGTATATGGATCATTTAGAAGAAAGTAATTTTCTTTCTACACTTTCTATAAATAAACAATAAATGATCATGACTATAATCTTGTGAGTATTTTATTTCAATGACAGTCTGTCAAAAATCAGCTTTACATTACAATGACTGTATTGTTTGGGCTTTAGTAATAGATATACTATGAATAAAATATAGAATAAATATTGAAGTATTTCTTAGAGTGCTTTGTAAACATCTTGGTGAATTCAACTTTAAGGCTGATACATTTTCTTGAATTTTACTTGTTGAACGTCAATGTAGAATAAAGTGTATTCAAATATTGGAATACTCCAAGATGTCTATTTGCTAACATGTTTGTTACTACGTAATCTTCCGCTCCACCCAATAGTGATGATAATTGCTTAATAACCAATGTCCATGGAGGTACAGTAGATAAATATAATCTAGTCCTATTTTGAAAACCTTTAGTTTACATCAACTTATAACAAGGCATTAACATGCAAAAGGTCACAACCTGCCATTTGTTACAGATGCCAAACACCGACCACTGCCCACCAAAAGCCGAACAACATCCACAAAAATGTTGGAGACCAACAATATGTGGTGACATAATAATCATTGAACATCACATTTGGAGGCACTGATTCTCAACTACCTCACCACTATCCATCTCTTCCTGGATACCATATTTTGGCACAACACTGTTTGCATAGTCCATTTTTATGTTAAAATTTTAAAAGCTCCATGAATTGAATATTTTTTCTACGACAATTACAATTGAAATATACCTGTACATATAAATAAATATATCCTCTATAGCATGTGATATAGTTTCAAATTTGTTCAGCTTCCAGGGGTTTTACTGTAAAGTGTACCTGTAATGTTATCATTAACACCATAGGATTAGCATCAGCTCGAATTGAAGTAACTTGGGAAATCTGTCCATATTTGTTTGATAATGTATCTATCCATTTGTAATTGTTCATTTGACCCTTCTTCATTATATATCCTTATGAAGCAACTTTGTAGTTCTAGGCGCCTATGTACGTGTTCCTCATAGTCAGACTTCTGTATGATCAGATGCATCAAGGAAAGATACTCCGTCCTCAACTGAAAATTATAGTAATCAAGCGTACCTAAGCTTCATGAATCTGAGATTAAATTGAAAGATTAAAAGTTCAAAACAATGGGCTTTTAACAAATCTGTTGAATTTCTACATTATCATTTCAAATGCAAGTTTCAGTATCTGTTTACATGTGTACTTCAGTTGACATAAAGAATAACAATTCAAAAAATCAAAAAAATTCTAATTGCTGGATAAAGTTGAGTGATAAGGTGTAATACTTGATCATGTAGTTACGTTTCAACTCTCTTTTTCAAATATCCAAAAATGTTGTGCTTTTGTTTTTCCTTATAACATGTAGTGTTCCCATATGTTTCTTTTCTCGCTCTTTGGTATTTTTCCCTTTGGCAACTGTGTTTCTATATTTATTGTGACCATCAAATGACACTTACCTTATCTCCGGATGACAAATCAGTTATTTGTCTTAAAATTATGTCTATAAGCACCATAGCGTCATTTGTGTAGATAATGTTGGCTGTTTTCTTGCTACTGAATATATCTGTCAACAATTTCATTAATGAATCTGGTGGTTTTGGCTCGTAGTCAAACATCCTGACTGGATCATCTAAAATACATAAGACACATTTAAGTTTGGCTTATTTATTTCAATAATTCATCAGAACATAATATATAACAGAATATAGTTGCAATTTTAATTATTACATGCAATTCAATACAAGGACGATTTTATTTTCTCCATTTCTATGTTTAACCTCACTTTCGTACAGCTCAAAATTTTTTAATTAAGTGTTATATTTTTCCTAGTGTTACCAATTATTATTTCTGATTTCAAAAACATTTTGTATTACATTTCATTGGCATTCCAATACCACTTTATAACATTTATAATGTATAGGTCAAATGCGATATGATAATACATGATCCGTACCTCCTCTATTGAAGAGCAGCAATACTTTTTCGGTAAATACTTTAGCAGTTCCGTGATTGGCAAGAGCTTTCATGACTATGTTCTTCTCAAGCTCTTTAAAGTGTAAATTGTAGGATAAAAGAAACTGGGTTAAAATGTCTGATACACCTTCATCCATTTCAGGAGGATTGTCTATGGTGTCTAGGAAATATTGCACATATTCCACATCGATGTGATCTGAAAAAAACAAACATACAGGGGTTTCATTAGCAGCAGGCAACAGGCAATTTTCACCGGTTGTTTTCACAAATTAGCCTGTTGTTTTTAGGGACTATTCCATGTTAAATTTTTGATTTCCATTAATTTTGGCTGTTGTTTTCATTTATTTAGCCTGTTGTGAGAAATTCTAGTGAAACCCCTGACATTATGTAATCAGGGGTAATATTAATAAGATCTTTAAGTTGTACTCAAGTACCATCCTACTCAGACCAACAAATGATAGAGGTTTTAGTCCATAGGTTCAAAATCTCGAGCCTTGTTTCATATTATCCTACATTACTTTGAACAGAATTTCACCTGTTGATTTGCTACTAAGTTTGATGATTAATTCCTTATTTAATAATACTTGGATGGTCAGAGAATCCATTTTTAAAATTTATAACATCCTCAAAATTGCACTATTACAGTACAACATGAGCTATGAGACACACATTTATATGCTTACCATAGAAATGCAGAGGCGGCTGCTGGCCCTGACAAAACAGCATTGTCAGCACAAGACCAGTGTATTTCACTTTTTCCACAGCTAACATGAAAGAAAAAATGTAAATGTGTTTACGGATGGGGAATGGGAACAGGAGAAATCTATATGAACAAGTGGGCGATTGCAAAAGCTCAGTTTTTGAGCTAAAAACTACATTTTTCATCCGGAGATTAATATATGGTGTGTACATGAACCTATAGTTACATAAATGATTTAAATGGACAAAGTGTACTCACAGGAAAGGTCTGTCCTTATGTCCCTCGTAAGCTCTAAAGGAAGAACTGTGTTGAGTATTGTAAAGAGAACCTCATATGATAGTCCGCATAGGGCTCCAAAACTCTTCAGTAGTAACAATCGTATACTCACACGGGTCTCCTGTAGATAGATCAATCGCACTTAAGTTATCAAAAATCAGATACTAGAGGTTGCCTCTTATCAGACCATGTTATCAAAGTGGCAAAATGTTCACATGTGGAAAAATTAAGTAAGATCTCTTTGTACAGAACAACTGAATTTCTGCAGTTGTGGTTGTTAATTACACTGTAGTAAAGGTAATATCATAACCTATTTTTTCTGTCCATTGGTCATTATTTTGGCAATTGATAACTATATACAATAATAATAAAGTTAATGACTACCATCTGATAGAAGACAACTAGTGTTTCTAGAGCTTCAAAGTCATCAGCAAGTAGCACTTGACGTATAATGTCAGGATCTGCATTATCCTGGAAGAAGACATAAACAATATTATTGACCAATCATTGGCCAAGATGGCGCTGATTCACCATAAAACCTAAACTTTGTGTTCTATTTAAGTGACAGTAGGTTATTTTGATCTAGTTTACTCCACTTTTTTCTGAGTCTGACTGCTTCAAATATGAAATGGTTTTGATGACTGAAAGGTTACAGGCTTAATGTGTACAGTCAAAGTAGATAGATATAGGGGACATTTATAGAGTTAATATATTGTGATAACTCACTAATATTGTGACACACTCTTGAAAGCTCTGTGATGATTATCGTATATTGTGTTAACTCACTAATATTGTGATAAGCTCCTGTAGGTACTCTGTTATGACGCTCTCATCCTCATGGAGGGACCAACTTCTTTGTTGAGAATCATCCTTACAATACGCCATCTCAGAGAATATAACATTCAACCTCTCTGCATCATGACTACTTTCTAGCTTACTGTTGCGATTCTGAAAAACATAAAAACATGAATGTTAAAATAGCTTTTCTTCTTCCTATATCTGGTGATAGAAGGGAAAGGGCCTAGTATATCTGAATAAGACAAGGATCCATCATTATTTTGTTTACAGCATGGCAATACATGTTAAACATATATAATTGTCACATATATCACTTTAATTCTTAGTAGAATTAGTAGATCAATCCATTATCACATTATAGCTCTAGACTTACCCCAACATCTGCAAGTTGAACTATGATATCATCCATTACATTTCCAATTGAGGGCACTGCTGTTCGTATATGACTTAATACACTGGCTATTGTTGATTTTGAAGCATCGTGACTTAGATTTGACTTTCTCCTGACTAGTTCAATTAATTCTTGGCCAAGTGCTTCAGGTACTTCTACCTTTGAGGGAACATTAGTGGTAGCTGTTGCTGACTTAGGAGCATCCATTGCACTGTTGTATGTAAAGTCCGGAGTAAACTCAGATGGAGTAGGGGGTTGAGGCGCTGGTGCTTTAGGCCGAGTAACATTGTTTTCTGGTACATTTACTGTCCTAGGGGGTGGTGGGGGACCTTTGGTACCTGGGGGTGGTGGAGGTGCCACTTTCATACTTTTCTGCTTTCCTTGACCTATTATGAAAATTATTATCTTAAATAAGTGATCGGACCTCCGACACTGTTCAATACTTTGACACAGCTCCCAGAACATAACTGATCAGACAGACCACCTACCAAAATGAATATGCACTTCAACATCTATTATTTTCGAAATGGTAACAAAACTCAGTGACCTTTATAACTAGAGTTTAAAGATTGCAGGCAATCTTATGGAGGCCCCCATAGGCTTTTTTTTACCTTTTGGAGGTCAGCCTGCAGGGGTCTCCTAATAATTCCTGCATATTGATATCATCATATTTCCTTTCAGATGTAAATTACCTGACTTGAAGTTGTTGAATGGTCCATTAACAGAGTCAGCAGATGTCGTGGGTGTTGGCGGAGTTGTAGGAGCGTGACGTTTAGGTTGTGCTGCTATCTTTTGTGATTGCTGCATTCTCTTCTCAACTTGACTCACAACTGCTTTCCTGTGTTCAATCAGCTTCCTATAGAGAAGAATGTTCAGTAAAAACGATTGGAAGTACAGTATTAATTATCAAATATTATGCAAATGTGTCAGATGCACAATATGATACTTTTGAACAAACATTGACAAATCAAGCGTAAAAGCACAAAAAGTTTAGTACACATTGGTATAAATCAAATTTTACACCATTTTTTCAATAAAATTGGCTGCACCAAAATTAGGAAAATTCATTTGAGCTAAAAAGAATTTAAAAAACAAATGTGAGTATGACGCATTCTGAGATACTAGAGGTTGTGGAACCCAAATTGCTATGAAGTAATATAATAGTAATGTTATATAATTACTCACTGTAATGTTTCTCTTTGACTATGAGTGTAGCTTCCCGAGTTTCCAGTTGCAGCATAGTGTATTGCTTCTACCCCTTGATCAATAAACTTCAACACCTCAGCATTGCTCCCCTTGAAAACACAGAAAAACATGTGTACAGGTAAGAGGAAAAATTCGGTCTATCTTATAGGAGTGTTCTACTTGCAGCAAGGGAAAGATCAATACCCGGTGTTTTCAGCGGGAAGTGGCGTTTCGTTCAGTGGATGAGCTGCGCGCGCACGCATAAATGTGATTATCCAATATATTTAGGGGAGGGCTATTTGAAATAGTTTTTGGTCTCAGGCGCGACCCAGGGCTGTTGTCTTAAGGACATTTCGTTGAAAATGAGCCATTCGGCTGATAATTGGTAAGAGTTTGCGATCTTATATTGTATAATTGTTACTCAGACACATATTTTGACACGATTCTGTTGGAAATAGGCTTTGATTGTGCCATTGCTTTTCCATTGCACAATCCATCTATTGATAGAAGTAACATTAACCAGAACAACGGCAACGCCAAAGCGTAGCGAATCCCATCGAACAGAAATGGCTGGCATTTTAACAAACGAAATATATAGCAAACTTTAAAATGGTGGCCAATTTTCATAATGGCCGCCTCCTACCAAAAATGTCATTAGACAGTGTGCCATGCTTATAGTATTCACATACCAAATATGAACAAAATCGCTCCACTACTTTTCAAGTTACAGCAAAAATCGTAAAATAACGAGTAAAGGCCGAGTAAAATACGTTTAAATGGCGGCCATTTTTCAAAATGGCCACCTTCTACCAAAAGTGTCATTAGACAGTGTACCATGCTTATAGTATTCACATATCAAATATGAACAAAATCGCTCCACCACTTTTCGAGTTATAGTAAAATACGTTTAAATGGCGGCCATTTTTCAAAATGGCCACCTTCTACCAAAAGTGTCATTAGACAGTGTACCATTTCAATTTTTCAATTTATTAAATATATATGCATACAACAATACAAAATTGATGAAGGGAGCGAGACACCACTGAAAGGTGTATGGTGCCCCCTGTAACAATAAAAAATTCATATGAATTAGCAATTGAAGATGACAAATAGGTATATAAATGTAAAAAATCCTTGAACAATTATATTAAGTAAAAAAGGTTTTGTTCCTGCGATTTCAGCTATGATACAAAGCTGTTTTGGCCTCCTCCCAATGTTCCCGTTTCCTGATATAGTTGGTGTTCATGCTAAAGATAAAAAACAAAGATAAGAATTCTTGAGATCAAAAGTGCCAGAAAATGCCCAAATGGAATGGTGAGTTGGGAATTTTATTGTAATCAAACAACATGTGAGCACCTCAAAGTCTTGGTTGTGGCTGAGTTAATAGATGATGCTTATAGTATTCACATATCAAATATGAATAAAATCGATCCACTACTTTTTGAGTTATAGTAAAATATGTTAAAATGGCGGCCATTTTGAAAAATGGCCGCCTTCTACCAAAAGTGTCATTAGACAGTGTGCCATGCTTATAGTATTCACAAACCAAATATGAACAAAATCGCTCCACTACTTTTTGAGTTATAGTAAAATATGTTAAAATGGTGGCCATTTTTCAAAATGGCCGCCTCCTACCAAAAATGTCATTAGACAGTGAGCCATGCTTATAGTATTCACATACCAAATATGAACAAAATCGCTCCACTACTTCTTGAGTTACAGCAAAAATTGTAAAATAACGAGTAAAAGCCGCCATTTTTCAAGATGGCTGCCATGTGCTTTTTTAATATCTACATTTCTAGCTTTATCAATGTCCTATATAATTTTTTTACATTTAAAACATATTGCTATTACAGTTTTACATATTGCACCTAAATTACTGTAAAATCGGCACTAAAATGGCCGCCATTTTTAAATGAGCGGCCATTTTGAAAATCGGCTTTCGAGCAGAACTTCTACCCCCATAGGGTATATGTGTACAAAATATGAACAAAATCGGGCCAACGGTATTTGAGTTATTGCCCGGACGGACGGACGGAGGCGTTCCCTATATCCCTCCGAACTTCGTTCGATGGGATAATAATGCAGATTGGTTTACCTTCAATACATGGCAGACACTACATATCGGTCTATTAAATACCAATTTTTGCCTTAAATAGTTTTATATTTCCATCCACGGCCTGGAGCCTGGGTGTGTTTGTCTCTTATGTGTATGCTTGTGCATGGACTTCTAATCACTAGCAGAATTTAACATGATGCAAACTCGACATTATAACTCATGCTGTAACATTTTGACTTCACTGGAAAACAATAGGAATTATTTTTCTTGCCAATCAATCATGAATCACAATCAAAATTTCAGAATGATCAATCAGGCAATGGTCCAAATCAAGTTATAACATTATATGATATTCAGCAAGAAGTCCGGTAGAAATACAGAATATTTAAACATCAAAGCTGAAAGTTAAAAGCTAATCTGTCAATTTTCTGTCTGCAAAAGAGCGTTTGCATTTGACACAATAACAGACTGAGGCTTTGAAATCTAGGATTCCCCAGGAAAATATGACGTCATACTAATTAGCATAAGGATTTCCCTATTGGTCTGGGTCGAGCCTTATTCGAAAACACAATCCATAAATACATGCTAATTTCTAAGGAGATAGGAAGTGTATAACGTGTTTATCGATTTCGTTTAAAGATTTAATCAATTATCAAATTGTTTAAGTGGATAAAGTGGTCACACTTGCTTCAATTCATAGCGTAATCGACGGATGGAAACTGACCGAATTCCCTATATCCTACCCCGTATTACTGTAGGCTATTAAGCACAGTGACCTACAGAGGGCGCTATCACAAACAAGTACTGCACGAACCGATAAATTCCCGGGTATTGTAACGCCCTTGCTTGCAGTGGTGAACAGGTAGCCCAGCCCCCCCCCAAATGGTTCCCAAAAAACGTTTGTGCCTAAAATTCTCCCCTTCCCCTATAAAAACTGGGCAACAGGAGAAATATATAAAATAGAACTGGTATAGCATCAAGTTTTAATTTTTTCTGCCCCCTCTGAATTTCTACTACCACTCCTGACATTGGATTTACAGTCTCATTTTTTAAGTCAAGTAAAGTTTTTTATGCGGCCATCCAACGGACATGACCAATAGATTCACATAACAATCTGACAGATTTTAGAAATTGGCGATCAATTTGAGTCTAAAGTGTTCCATATACAGAGGTGTTCCACTTGACAGTTTTAAAAATTGTTAGTCTCTGGTAGATGACATAGGTGGCTTAAATAATTTTTCCAATAACCACTGGTCCCACTATTTTATGATATTATTTTCTTTGAAAATATTAATTGTTAGACGGTTGTCACTCAATACTGTATATATCACCATATCAATCAAACGATGTGTCTAATTTGAAATTTCCCCCCTAGTTACGGCAGTGAATTACTAAAAATAGATAGATCTAATGAAACATTGATTATCCAGTGAATTTCACTAGAAAAATACTAAGGCCATATGCTAATAGAGAAACTGGTCCACTTCTTATGAAAAGATCACGGAGAACAGCAATGAACAAAGTAAATGCTTGTTTTGTTGTTGGTTAGGTAACCTGGTAGTGACATCACATATAGAATCAACAGAGATGTGTGACGTTACAATTATTGGTTTGTTTATAGTTGCTTGATGGACTAAATATGTGACTGACGTCATAGTTTATCTGATAAGTCATATCTCGAATCACAATCACATCATTTGGCAGTTGCCTTGATGATTTGCCGTGTAAGCTAATAAAGGCGGATCTTAGGTAACATGAATCGTCCTAGACCGGTCCATAGAATGAAGCCCATGGTACCGCCCACTTCGTGGGGGGCCTTCGTAAAAAGAGTACATTACTAGTTTCACATGCTCACCTTCTTTTTCGTCACATAATTTCCAGGTATGTATCCAACCTGGCCATAGGCATTCAAAGCTAAAATCCAATCTCCATCATTTTGAATCACTGTGAATAAATCACCTTCTTGGCAACTCAAATAGCCAGCTGAATCATTGACATAAGGGTATAAAGCTCTAAACATTGCGGCAATCCAGTAATGTACATATAAATTGATAAAATGAACACCGAATTTTTTTTTCGAATTTTCGAATTTTTTCTTATTTTGACACACGGACTGAATTTTATATACTGAGTAATTGGTCAGACTTTGAGTGAATTGATGACTCGCCACAAGTTATTTTGAAGTTGTATATTTGACTTTAATCGGTGTTTCTTCAGATGAAATTTTTCATATGAAATATTTATGATGAATTATTACCCTTTGATTAAATACATCAATATATAATTTAAAACCATCAGAAATGTAGAAAATGTGACAACACTAATAACCTTAGAATTTACTTAGGGCGCGTCAAAAATTCAGAAAGCGGTAAAAAATTGGAAAACAAATTCATTCTGTTGTTATTAGATTATAAGATATGTAAACAATTGGACATGACACCATGAATTCATAAAACTCCATGCTTGTGCATTCGTTCTGATGTGAGTAAGTTTGATCACTTTTAATAACTCATTCTCATCAAATCCAGAAATGAGAACATGGGAAGTCACCCATCCCTCTTATATTCTATAGAATATTAGAGAGAGAGGTGGTGACTCCTACAAGGCCTCCTACAAGGCGAGGACGAGTGAGATTCAGACGGTTGGGATCCAGACCATTTGGATTCCGACCATTGGGATTCCGACCTACAGTGGGGATCATAAAGAATTGCAAAAGCTATGAAAATTACATGCTGTCGCACATGTAATAAATTCTTACCTCAGTGTATTCAGTGCTCTATTTTCTCCGTCTGAGTAAGTCCAAATATAGTGGAATTTGTGTCCCTAATGACAAATAAGAACTTTAAAAGTTGAAGTGGATATTCACATGTTATGCCGACTCTTCAAATGTTGAGGTGATTTTGTCGCCCGATTGCGCCGGAACGGAGGATTGGCTCCCAGAATGCAACATGACACGTGCCAGCTTTCAAAATGCTGTTCCGCCATTTTGAAACCTGTCATGAGTAAATACGGTAACTGATGTTGCATTCTGGGAGTCAACCGTCCTTGGATAACAAACATGGCGATTCATGAAAACATTCATTCGATTTGGTAGGGATTTATCCATTATTTGCAGGTATGAAGCTTTGGATTCATTTATTGTGCTACTTTAGTGAACGGGAATTATTTTTCTACCGCTTGGGAGAGTTTGAGACACGAAACTTGGAAATTAGCTCATTGTGACAACTTGTGAACGTTGAGTTTTATTTTTGTCCCCCACTGTATAAGGCGACCCTCCCCTACCCTAACCTTCGTCTAAGGCTTATACTGTATTACATTCCTGGGTCTCCACTGTATATAAACCTTGACAGGGATCCTCGGCGCGCATGGGGTACAATTAGTTTTTTTCTACTTTGGACATTTTGTATGGCATTGGTCCTATATTTAGACATTTGGTATGGCATTTGACAGTTTGGTATGGGAACATATTGATATCTGAGGGTCCAGCCTAGGATCCCCACCAAAATTTATGTACAGTGAACCCCTGTGGTTTCATTTGGCTAGAGACTTGAGTAAGCCTAGGCTATCAAACTTAAAAGTAGAAAGTCTTACATATCTGTCGTCTTAATTGCAATTACACTTAGTGTCAACTGTGTCATCTCGGTTTTTTGTCATACATCATTCTTCACTGTCTCTTGTACAAATTGATCTGTTCAGTAGGCTAATAAATAACATAAAGTTCATAACTATGCGCAGAGAACTTTTTTTTACATATGGTTTACAAATCATGTAAATACATCTCTTGTGATGAGGTCACACAAAATACAACCTAACTTAATTCTACTTTCTTTAATTAATTCCAGGTTTTTGACAAATAACATCAACCACCATGCTGATGTTACAAAAGAGAATAATAGATGGTACTCTTTAGACAAACCATATTACCAAACTGTAAAGTGCCTTGAAAATGGAAGTCGATGTAAAAGGCTTGATCAACAAATTGTGTCAGCATTTTGCCAGGAAAATTGATGTCACCCAACATATACTTGACAAACATGAATTCACAACTAAGCTTGAAGAAAGACTGAAGAAGAAAGCCTTCGATGCCTTATTCTCCCATCAGTTTGGTCTTCACAGGTAAGTATTGATCATATTTATGTTTCGTTTTGCTCATTTTATCATGTATAGCTGCATTTTCTCATGGGAATAAGTGAGGCAATTTATGTAAATAGGTGAGGCAAATTTAGGCTAAAGATAATGTTACTACCCGTGAGGTTCATTTCCATAGCTTAAGTTGAAAAACTGTTCGTCAATGAGTAAAATATATTTCTGTAAAATTTTGCTGAGGCCACTATCTCGCCTGCCTATTTTAAATTGGACATACCTTTAGTAAAAAGTCCCTTCAAGCCCCTAGTAATAACTTTCAGATCCTCGGAATTAGAGCATAAATCATAATACCGATGATATCACATTTAGCTTTTGAACATTTATGTAATTTACTAATTATTTTGCAGAGTTGCTGGAAGCGGAGACCACCATGTTACTAATGAGTTGAGTGAGAGAAATAGATTACTTGTGTATGCATATAACCTGAGATGCAACAACCGTGTCAAAGATGCTGAAATGATCGAAAAACTATTGCAAGATTTGGAAGAACATTTTGGTAAGTTATACCTTGTAGTTACTCCAATCTAAAGAAAAGATCCCATATTTTATGTTATAATGACACATGTGAAGGCGATCTCTCCGATTTACTTTTTGTTGGATGATTTGGAAACAATTTCATAATTGTCATAACATACACTGTACTTATACTTGGAATTACTGAATTATAATTTTGCATTAAGTTTCAGAAAAACAATATGGAAGATTGAAGAACATTTGGTTTGTGTATAAACAAAGTAAAATGTTCCTTTGCATGTAATATTTACTTTTAAACATGTATATAGCGACATAAAGTGTATGTTAGTTGATCCATTTATTCATGTATTGCAGGTGACAGAGACAGTCTAAAGCCATATCTAGGTTTCTTGCTACATCTAACAGACTCTGTGCCCCGTCCTTCTTCCCCTGGTTTAACACTAGGGGGCTCTGATGATCACTATTACTCAATACAGAAGGTACACATGCATATGTGACATTTCAATTTTTACATTTAGATTATGTCTTGTTTTAAAGTATGTATAAAGAAAAAAGCTTGTAACTGAAGTTTTTAAGTTGACAATTAACTACTGGTATGTCAGTTTACCTTTGAAATGATATTTATATTGTGTAATTTACTAACATGGCAATTTAATATTTGAAAGTGCTTGAGCTTGCATATTAGTCAAACATGGTTTATTTCTAAAAAAGGATGCAATAAATGGATGAGGCTATTTTCTTCTATTTTTAGGCCCTAGCAGCCAAACCTGGGACTGATATTTCAGGATTTGGATTTTTCAATAGAGAGGTAACGATGCAACATTATTTCAAAATAGGAGAATACCCAGAATCCAACAATTTGCAAAACTAAACCAAAAGAGAATATTTTACTTCCAGGGGATTATCAGTTTCAGTCAAAGAATGCTTAAAACTATTTTGTGTAAAATGTTGGAACTTATATTTGTCATTAATACTTTTTGGATTTCAAACTACTGTACCTATATAATAGGTCTACTTCTCATTGTCATTTTCAGCAGAAAGATATCCCCACACACAATAGTCTGTTTGGTGGTTTGGTTCAGTCTTGGAAGGCACTTAGACTGGGGGTAGAGGTTAAGCTTGACCTACCTGACATAGAAGATAGACTTCATTATGGCCTCACACCTGCAAAACCAGGAACTCACTATGGCATGGTAAGTGGGATTTTGGATGAAGGCAAAATTCTTTAAAAATGGTCATTCAGTTCATTTGTAAAAATTAGATCTGAACCAAAACTTTTAATTTGCTTTACAAATCAAAATAAGCTTTGAGATATTTTTGCCTATTAGTTTTCAAAATACTTTTTTTTCCAAATGTAATTTTTTCCAAAATGATGAGGAGGCAACCCTCATTATTAGATAGGTTCTCTTTTATTAAAATATAATCCGAAACTCATTTCAGCATAGTGATGATGAAGGATTTGGTGATGGAAGTACTCCGTCCAGTGGCGGCTATGACATCACAAAGGAATCTCAAAATGAGGTCAATATTTTTGACGAGGCATTAAAAGTTAAAAGACATGAGTATTACACCTGGGAAAATCTTGGAAAGTAAGTATTGAATTACAGTTTATTTAACCTTTTGTGTAAAATTGTATTTGAAGAATAGTTTACTTATAATTTTGTTTTGTAAAATTTTGACATGTTTTAGAGATGGGGGGGGAGTTAAAAACAAAAAACTATAGATGCATGTATTTATAGCATCATCCATAAATGGCTTCAGTATATAAACTTTAAGTAACTAATATATAAGTTTTTGTGGATGGTGATCGGCAGTTGGTGTTTGGTTGTTGGTGTTCAGGAGTTGGTGTCTGTTACAAATGGCAACTTGTGACATTTTGCATGTTGATGCCTTGTTTTGTTTCACTTAGTACTTTTATTATTTTGCGTAGGATTCAGATCCCAGAAAAGAAATACTATCTCACTGAAGCGGGACCAGATGCTGTGGATGAAATCTATGACATCATCAACAAGAATACATCTCTAGTCACAGGGTTGAATGGTCCTAGCAGGAGAACTATCTCTCCATTACAGTTGGTGGAAGATGTCAGGAATATCCTCCTTGGATTGCCATCCCATACATTCTTGTTTGATGAGGTACATTCATTGAACTGTTTCAGCTATCTATTTTTAAGTGTCTCCATATTGTTTATGTGGATTTCTGGAAATATATTTCAGTATTTATTTTAAACACAATAGAGACACTTAAATATTCAGATATTATGATAGCCTACTGTAAATTGAAATTTCACTGTTAACACTATGAACCTCCCATTCATCAGTATGGAGTAAATGTATTTAAACTGATGCAGTAACAATATTACTCAATACTCTTTATTTCCAGGTCAGTGGAGAATTCCACATTGAACCAGGAAGTTGCATATCCGGTCTTACCCCTCAGGGAGTTGAACAACTCTGCAGCCAGGCTGTACAATGTGGTACAGACTATTGCCAACTTTGTACATTCTCCAAGCCAGTTGTAATGGATTCCCAGTATGACAGAGGGTTGATTTCTCAAGCGTTCGCTGATGGTATTAGGAACTATCTGCAGTATTATAGGGCACAGGTGCTACTCATTCCTGCTGATTTGACTGTTCTGCAGCTTTTAACACATTCCAGTCCTCATATGACCCAGATTAGGTATAAGAATATGATTAAAGTATTCAATGTAATTCTATGTGATAAATCTGTAATGTAAAGGCTGAACCTCCTAACTTGAATGATCTCAGATTTAACCACATAGATATGTAAACTACAGTGTACATACTCGGGTCCTCAATTTTGACATTCATCAGACTCTTGTTATATCACCACCCCAAATGGTGACGTGACATGTTGTTATACTGTATACTCCAAATTCTTTGTGGATGGTGTTCGGCAGTTGGTGTTCAGCTTTTAAATGGCAGGTGGTGACATTTTGCATGTTAATGCCTTGCTTTATGAGGATGTGAGGGACTTGTTAACAGATTTCCTGGTTATAAATTTAGATAAAATTCAGATAAAATTCTCTCATTTCGTGTATGCATTAAACATTAGTTTTTCCCTCTGGTGTTTTAAGGAATCAATTCTGTATTTTCTAGGTACCTTGCAAAGCTATGCAAAGTTGACTGTAAAAAGAGCCCAGGAAATGAACCAGAAGGTTCAGTTGCAGGAGATGCATTGCCTACTGTAAGTACAAATACAGTTTACTGAATAAGTCTGAATTGTATCATGGTCATCCCGCCTATTCTCATATAGTCGCTCATATAGTCGCTCAAATTCATCTTCAAACTTTCTGTTGTGTTGATTAATGAACTCAGAACATGTTGAGGTCGTATTTCGTTTGATTTGATTGAAAAACTATATTTATTCTGGGTAGCTCTATCAGTACAAAAAGGTCAACCGCCTGCTACTTTTACATGTATTTTCAGGGGATCCAGTTGTTGAGCTATCTATACAATGAAAGTGTCAACTCTGCCTGGTCTACTAAGAACTATACACTTCTCCTCTCACTGTTAACTGCTGCGTGTAGGCCATATATCATGTAAGAAACAAAATGTGTTGGGTGTTATGTTATATTTTATTATATAAGCTGCTGTTTTAAATTACACAAAGAAATGTTTATATATTGAATACATATGTTATACTTGGTAAACTGTCTATTTTTTTGTAATGTCATTGTAAGCGGTTGTACTATACTACACTACACTACATGAAAATTGTAATTACAGTGAAACATGTGAAGTGGAACATCTCAGAAACACACTTTAAAGGTTTTACTGTACTTTGCTTTTTGTACTCTGATGTGAATCAGTAATTCAAAAGTGACAAAAGAAAGCACATCTAGTAAATAAAATAAACTGATAAATAAACAAATAACTGAACTGTATTTACAGGTTTCTACAAGACTGGGTGTTCCATGGTATATGCAGAGACTTATACTCAGAATTTATGATAACACTACAAGACCAGTATATTGGCTACAGAGGTAAGATCTATCATTGATCTTTACATTATTTCTCAGAAACCATATAAGAATGCAATAGATGTAGATAATTTTGTGTGATATCAATTGTTTTTTAGTTAATCATGATTCCCCATTCCTATATGTCTTAACCCTTAAATGGTTAAGGGGGTGGCATCTGCCCCCTAAAGATGACTTGATGACTTTTTTCATAGTTTGTGTTTCGATGTGCCACTTTCTGGCTTTTTTAAAATTGAATTAGGCATTTTTTAGCGAAAAAATTGTGACTCTAACCCCCCTTGGAGGAAAGTTAGAGCATGTCAAACTTACTGAAATACCCAAATTGTCAGTAGTTTTGACTTGAAACGATGAACCTTTATGATCTGCCCTCCCCCTATCGCTGGTGTAATTCTGTAATGTAATTCTCTATAGCCAAACCATTTAAGGGTAAATGATTTTGTACTTTGTCATGCGTTCACGCGATAAACTCTTATTGTTGTAGATTTACATCGCAAACTCCCCCAGAACATTTCCTCATTGGCTGTGTTAAAGTTAGCATTTGTACAGTTTTTGTACCACCAGCCACCTTGTCTTGCACATGCATTTTCTGTAACATTCTCACGTGTTAGAAATGGTGACCCATTTATGTTTTGTTCTTCATTAGCTGTTCCTGAAATGGCATCAGTCATGTTGTCTTCATCTTTTGTTACAATACCAACATTTAGTCGATAAAAGTTTTCTTTGCTAGCAACGGAAAATCTGCTATATCTTATATGGCTCCAGTTACCGTGGTGACAGTGGAATCTAACAGAATAGTTGCGACTGTTTGTAAGAGTGTAGAGATTCTCATTTCCAATCCAGTAGTATGATTGGCCAGAAGACTTGCCTCTGAAACCATTCCGATATTGAGCCCATGTTAAATTTTGAAAGTTCAAACTGTTCCCTTTTTGACGAATTTGAATATAAGTAGGACGTTTGTTCCCATTGCCACATCGCACTGTAAATGGTGGTTTATGTTGGTCTGGTTGAACATCAAAGGAGCGATAGAAGGGGTTTTTGAAGTCTATTGTGATGTCTTTACAGTCACGTGGGTACTTTAAAGCTTTTTCCATATATAGCATCCATTGTTTATCACGTATCACATTTTTGTCATACCTATAGAGGGGCTGTTTGGAAAAAAGTTGACAAGTTCCATTTTTTGTGTTGAAATTTGCGGCAACGCATCTCGAATCATCCTTGGAACTAGCCTCTTTCTGGCAAGTAGAAAGACATTGCACGGCAGCTATTTCCATGTCGTATGCCGCCATTGGCAAAACAGATGTCTGAATTGGAGATTGTGTATAAATGTAACCAATTTCATGATAATATTTGGTGGAATATCCAATATTGTTAAATGAACCTTTCTTGTTTGTACTTGCTTTGGTGCAAGAAAGTGCAACGAACAAATATATGAACCTATTTATTACTTTTAGATCATTCATTTTTCATTTTCTGTTATTGATTCTCTGTTCCTTCCTGACTTTAAGACAAAAAAAATGTTGTTAGCAGTTAAATTATTATCTATGTTCACGTTTTGTTACTAAATACTTTGTGCTTGTATTACTGTTCAATTTATACAAAAAATAACAAAACCTTAATCTCTTATGTGACTACCATGCTCTCTATTTCCATTCATAATTTATTATATAAACAGTACACAGACAAAATAAAATATAAAGCCAGAGGTCCCAAGAGAAATGTGAAATATACATGCCAAATAAATGATTGTGTTCTCTCAATTGTTGGATTAATCAATATAGGAGCTGTTGATTAATATCTAGTATAACAAAGCTGTTATGTAAAAATTCCATCAAGTACTATGTAAGGTATTGATCGGTTGAAGAGATCAATTACATTCATTTCATAATTGTTATATATCATTTTAACATTACAAAGTTTAAAATGAAAATAATAATTGAATGCTGAATTTACAGATATTATATCTATGTCATAATTGTGGTAAAATGTACTGTGGAGATACAGTTCGTCATACAGCCCCAAGCTTAGGATATATGGCTTATTGTGTAATATACTGATTTAAGACATAAAATAAAGTCAATTGATATCATATTTGAAATCAACATATGAAATTACACATACACTTTGGTGTTGAGAAGTGTTTATCAGATATGAACTTTTAAAGGACGGGTGTCATTAAGAGCCCTTTTTAGCCCCCAAAGATATCTGATAATAATGCATATCATATTGAAGAAAAATCATTTGTGCTTTATAAAAATACAATTTCAGCGAATTTTGACCTTTGATGTTCACACAACAGTCATTTAAAGATCATATACCATTTTTGGTGTTTTTACAAAAAATTCTTTATTTATTGTTGTTTAAGTCAATAGTATGTAAATATTAACCAATTTAAATATATTAAAATGTAATATATGAAATACTGAAGAAAAGATACAATTAAAATTATTTTCATGGAAAGCACATGGGGCAATATTGACAAAATGCAAATGCTATTTTGGTAGGTTCTGGGCTAGCAATGGGTACATTTCAACTGTGACTGTAATGGATTACTATTGACTTTTATCAACATCACAGGGCAATATTTAAGCAACTTAAATACAAGGAAAATCAAAGATTTCCTCTCATTTCTAAAACGAGGAACAAAAGCATGAATTCAAGGAAAATAAATGATGGCCTGTGTCAATTATATAACATATGAGAAAGTTGTGGCACAGTAAAGGATATGTATAGGATATCATATGATTTTAAATGATTTTATCTTTATCTCCGAGTTGATATCAATATATTGCCAAGTTAGCATAGCGAATTAGCGCAGATATTGATATCAATGAGTTGGATTAACACAATATCACGAAAATGCATAGGATGTTCCATTTTCCCATAGTTCACCTCTAAAACTAAACAAAGCATATCAAAACAACATCCATTCATTCATTCATCCCCGTGATGTCATGAAATCACTATGTAACAAAACACATCATATTGGTGGTAGTTTTCAAATCCCTGCCAAAAGGTGATATCTGTGAAATATTTTCCGTATTCCACAGATATCACTTTTTCCACGCATTTGCAAAATATCATAAATATGTTTTTATGTTACCCAACAGAGCGGAACAGAGTTCAACTATGGGATAAAGAATAAAAAATAGGTACATAATTGAATTACCACTCCAAAAATATTAAATATGAGGGTTTAAAGAAAGAATATTGAATATGAGATTCAAAAAGACAAGTGGCCTCATGTCTCACGTTACCCAAACCCCAGATCCTTGATGTCATATATACTTGTATACTGTATATCAATGTTATTTACTGGGAGGATTAAATATGGAGTGTATAGCAATGGTCAATACGATATTTCCAGATGGATATTTTTCCCTAGAAGCGGAACCCAAACTCAGTCATGACATAGAAGCTAACTTTTGCAATTAATAGAAATTTGTTTTTTATTATATTTTTGTGTTCTATATTTGAGATGAAATAATATGAGATTCATTTCTACAAGAGGATGGAACGAATGTGAACTTGTATATTGACCTATACTCCTTTTCTGATTAAACAGAACAACATTTTATCCAAGCCAATTAAGAAAACCAAGGCCAATGAGTGTAATTTATGCCCAGTTAAACTAACACAATAACAACTTTTTGTCTGGACTCACTTATTATGTAAGAATGAATTGTATTACTGTTTACTGCATTAAATGTCAAGTATACTATCTGTATTTAATTTCAAATGCCTATCTCACTTATCGAAGGTATACAAGAAATGTTATTTTGAAACAAATTCAGCACAACCAAAACCATGTCCACATAATATGACAAATCCAAGATGGCTGCCACAATTTTAGATCTATGCACATGTGAAGAAGTTAGAAATACACATGGTCCACAAGTTCCATCCCCAATAAAATGGGAAGTTTAAGGTTTTCACACGTATCAACTCTATTCCTATATACTTTATATTTGTGGTAAGGCTTGTGATCTAGGTAAACTTAGCATGTTCATGTACCTCCTATCTTCTGAAGCTAAAAACAGAAATAGTGACTTCAATTGAGAAAAATGAATCTTATGGGCTCCATATACATTTTGAGTGGCTGTCCGGCTTAAGTTAGATACTACTGATAATCTGAGATTGAAAATTATGTCAAGTTTAGTCCTCAGCCTCTCATAACGGATAACTTCGAGGTAATTGTGTTGTGCAAAAACCTCTATTTCTTCATCACAAATCTACCATCTTTTGCATCTGTCAAAACCCCTCATTTCATTATAATTTTCAGACTTTTGCTTGTGCCATCATTAAATATATATATTCAACTTGTTATTCAGAATATTTTAAGAACTTTTCATGAATTTTTTTATTTTCACACTTTTGAAAAAATGACTAAGTCAGAGAATGGCCTCTTAATGGCATGTCCCCTTTCTTGGAGTGTGACTTCTATAATTCCCTATAGAGCCCATGTTATAAAATCATGAACAGTGAGATATTTTCTTGTTTTGGTTAGATAGTATATTCTTTTACTTTACATATTTTCAATTTTATAGTTGTCAATCTCAAAAATCTTATATAATATGAAAATTGATCCACTAAATCTTGAAATTTCAAGTTCAGTGCCTATCTGAACAAAAAACAAGTACAGTAAATAAACCTGGGGACTACAGAGTGAGAAATTATACCTGACATATTATGACAGTCTATTTGCTATATTTCCAGACCGCCACTACTGGACACATGTATTTATCCAATCAAAACAGGAGTCTGGTGATGTGGTTCCTATATTCTTACAACAAATGTCAGATGACATCTTTGTCTGTGGCAAGTCAATCAACCTTCTCCAGCTATGCGCTCCAAAGGTATGATATGATTAATGTTTCATTTTATGTTGAGGAAATACATTTTCATCTTTCAGTGATTTAACAGGGTGTACTGTATTGTTTACAGTCCCAAGAAAAAATACTTGAAAGTGAATTAAAGTGCAGCGGGGACTGGCCAAACATTGAAACATTTTAATATATCAATTGCCATTCCTTATGATCTGAACTCACAAGTGTTGGCAATATGATGGACAATATATATTTTCACGAATAAAATTTGAGCAATGTGAATATGTTATGTCATTTTTGATCACATGGTTCTTCATTAACCAATCAAGTACTGGGATATACCAATGATGTAATAAGCAATGTGCTCCAAAACACAGGTGTACATATTCGATCAATGTTTCTAATTTCTAGACATTGCCTAAAAATTAGAAAAATGGATTGAAAATTTGAATTTTTCATCAATCAGTAGAAATGACAGGGTCATGTTATAATCTAGAAATAATTGATCTCATTATTTCTATATATTATGAAATATATATAAAGATATGTAAGGATAAAATTCATATGTTATTTTGTAGCATTTCCTGTTTGGTGTTGATGTACAGATTCCAAGAGTTGAGATCACCTTCTCTCAGGAGGAGCTTGTTGCCATGACGACTGATGTGGAGATGTATGTTAGTTACATGAACCAGGTTGCTAGACATAAAGCTTTGACACGGTAAGGTTCTACCTATCTATGTTTATAGAATATTTTATGTATGGATACTTAACTTCCAACTCGGTAGAATTAAATTTCATGTATCACTGGATATAGTGGACATCCTACTTTATATTATACTGGATATTGAATGAGTCCTTCTTAATGCTATTGTCACCCACACATCTATATATTCTGTAGCATAAAAGTGTAACATGTATCAATTATCTACAATTGTCTAACTTTAACTGTAAGATTGCAGGTTCAAGATAGCTGAATTCTCATTTTAAGGTACTTGAATAAAATAGGTACCTTCATTGCATTTTACAGTGAGCAGATGAAGGAGAGATTGGAGAGAACCAGACAGGAGTTAATAGACAGGGCTAGAGATGTGGCCTTGGAGCGCAATCATAGGATAAACAGTAAGAACAAACTCTTTCTGCAAAATTAACAATACTTATTGAATGCCGTACATGTATATGGACATTAATAATGGGAAATTGACACCAGAGAATCATCAATGACACTTTGTTACGAAGTTAAAGCAATGCAATTAATAATGTTTTTTTTCATTTTTCAGTTATTTACTGTTTTGTAGTTTTGTAGCTACTGATACGCTGAACCATTATATTCAACCAATTACATACATACTGTACATACTATTAGGTAGAGGTGTCAAGTATTAACCGGTTAACTGGTTAACCGCCGATAATGCATTGACCGGTCTGTGTTTTTATGGGCGGTTAGTTGACCGTGTATAATTCTGTGATTTCCCGCGCTTATTTTGCATGCTAATCCGTTTGGTTTTATGGTGTCAGTTTCACGTAAGCTACTCATACATGTCATAAGTCCCATTACTCCTTACAAACATCCAATCAGCAACTTTAATCCCTGCCACATTGCTTTCCCGCGTTTACTTTGCATTTTAATCTGTTTGTTTTTCAAGCGTCAGTTTCATGTGAGCTACTCATACATGTGACAGGTCCGATAATTCCTTACAAACATCCAATCAGCAACTTTAATCCCTGCCACATTGCTTTCCCGCGCTTACTTACAAAGAATAGAGTAAAGCTTGACGAACGTAAAAAATAAACGCCGATATATCATTTTTCCAACTTTTTCAACTTTCAAGATCGAAGATGAAGATTTCATTTCAAATTATCAGTTCAAATTTCCCGCTGGTTAACCGACTTTAACCGGTAAAAACCCCCGGTTAACCGGTTAATGCTCAAGCGGTTAATTGACACCACTACTATTAGGTGAATAACTCCTCACTAAGAGTATGGCCAAAATTACATCAAAAACAATTGAAATCCAGTGATCTTTATCTAAGATGTTTTTTGGTATTAATCAAACCCCTCCAAACAATATGCATGCTTGTTGTGATTATAGAACAGATTCTGGCAAGAAGGATGGTGGAAGATGCGAAAAAGAGAAGAAATTTGCAGGAACTCAAAGAGAATATGCAGAAAGACCTTAGGGTATAACTACATTATACATTGTTCATTTTATTATCTTTCTTTAAGTTTAAACATCATTATGCCAGTATCCCTAGTTACCAGTTTTAGACTTGAAAGGGATGGGCTATGTTTGAGGACATTTAATTTAAATGAATGACAAATGTTGAAAAATCTCAAATAAAAATCAGCAGTATGAATTGGTGAATTAAATGCATGCTAAATAGAAACTTGAATATATTGTTTCACAATTTTCTTCCATCTCACTTGGATTTGAACCCAAGTCCCTTCAATAACTGGTTATATATTCTAGCAACATTGCTCAAAATTATGAAGCTTTCTCTATTTTAGCGCCGGCTGGCAGAAAAAGAAGAGAAACAGGAGGAAGATGCAGCATACATGGAGTCAATTAATAAACAGGAATCTATACAAACAACCATTGATGCAAAGCTAGAAGAAGAAGCAAAGTAAGTAATGCCCATGTTTAAGATATAAAAATATTACAATAGGAGGATAAGCTAAAGGTTTTTAAGAGAATTTGGATGTGAATATGTAATATTAGGACCTCCAGGGAGTTCTATCCCCTTTTTCATTTGGTTCTTTGAGGTACATAATTTCAACTATTTTCCCGTTACTTTTAAATCAATTGGGGATTGTGTATTCATTAAATGAAAAATCTGCACTATCCAAGACAGATGAATTAAATTGAAACAAGGTAGTTAGTGAAACAACACTGATATATTCAACATAGGCAAGAGTTAATCGCCTACTATGGCCAGCTGTCTGAGGAGGCCACATTTAGAGAGCTGAAGGCAACATGGAAAGTACGTAGAGCTCGTCTTGAGACTGCACGGATGAACTTCATAGAGAAGGACAATTCGTTACTGAGAGAAGAGCTAGAGAAAAATCCATATATCCCAGGGATGGTAAGTCATGAGATTATGTATCTCATTTTCATTTGTCATTTTTGATAATACTTGAATAGATTGTTGAAACATTGTGCCAAGGTCAGTTTTTAATTTGAATGACCCACGGTCCACTTTGAATTAGAATTAGAATGTTGTTCTACACTATGTGCAAAAGGTCTGCAGAGACCCCTGATTAAATTGAAAGTCACTCAGAGGCTGGGTGAAGTTCATGATGGATTTGATTGGTCTAGATTGATTAAAATATGTCAATAATTGATCACTGTATTGTAGCCCATGGCAGGAAGTTCAGCAGTGGACAGCTCAATGGAATCTGTGTACAGGCTTCTAGACTCAACTGTATCATTAGACTCCACCATTCTTCAACCACAACAACTAGTCACCAATGCTGATACCAACAACATGAAAGATGATCCACAAAGTGATGACCATCACATGTCTGGACTGCCTCAGTGGGCATCCCAGACATACACAGGAACAAAGATTGTTACTGATGAAGATAAGGTGGATGATGTTGAAGACAATATGCCTAAATGGGCTAAAAAGGCTGTTGAGTCAGATGATCATGATCCAGTTTTTGTGGAGGACTCTGAAGATTATTTAGATAAAGAAATGAGCCTTAGTAAGAGAGCACTTCCTAACTGGGCACATACAAACCTATTTGCATCAGAAACTGATGAAACTAAAGGGAAAGAGGACTCTATTCAAAAGGCCAGTGAATTTGGCCACGCATCTGATGAAACTGAAGCAAAAGAAGATGCTATTAGAAAGGCCAGTGAATTTGGCCATTCATCCGATGAAACTAAAGCAAAAGAAGACACCATTAAAAAGGCAAGTGAATTTGGTCACGCATCGGATGAAACTAAAGCAAAAGAAGAGACCATTAAAAAGGCAAGTGAATTTGGTCACGCATCTGATGAAACTAAAGTAAAAGAAGACACTGTAAAAAAGGCCAGTGAATTTGGTCATGCATCTGACGAAACTAAAGTAAAAGAAGACACTATAAAAAAGGCAAGTGAATTTGGTCACGCATCTGACGAAACTAAAGCAAAAGAAGACACTATTAAAAAGGCCAGTGAATTTGGGCACGCATCTGATGAAACTACAGCAAAAGAAGACACCATAAAAAAGGCCAGTGAATTTGGTCACGCATCTGACGAAACTAAGGCAAAAGAAGACACTATTAAAAAGGCCAGTGAATTTGGGCATGCATCTGACGAAACTAAAGCAAAAGAAGACACTATTAAAAAGGCCAGTGATTTCGGGCATGCATCTGACGAAACTAAAGCAAAAGAAGACACTATAAAAAAGGCCAGTGAATTTGGTCACACATCTGACGAAACTAAAGCAAAAGTAGGCACTATTAGAAAGGCCAGTGAATTTGGTCACACATCTGACGAAACTAAAGCAAAAGAAGACACTATTAAAAAGGCCAGTGAATTTGGGCATGCATCTGACGAAACTAAAGCAAAAGAAGACACTATTAAAAAGGCCAGTGAATTTGGTCATTCATCAGACCAATCAACTCCTTTAAGTGACACAGAGAGACTAAAAAAATTCAAAGAATTGAACAAACATGGTCACCATGCTTCAGAAGAAACCACTCAAACTGATGAAAAACCTAAAGTAAAACCTAAAGTGGGTCACACTTCAGATCAATCTCAGCAGGTCGACACAGATGCAAATCGACTTCAAAAATTTAAAGAACTTAATAAATTGGGACATCCATCCATGGAAAGTGCAGCATATGATATCCAAGAACATGGTTTGTTCTACAAGCCCTTAAGGCAGAAATATCAAGCATTCCCAAGTGCTCAACAAGCCAAAAGTGCGCAACCGCAGCAGAAGCCACATACGTCAGATGAATCTAAATATGAAGATCCAGATCGGGTCAAATTGAGGAAATTCAGAGAAAGAAACATAAAAGGTCACTCATCTGATTCCTCTGTGCAACGATTACTTTATGAACAAGAGCTGGCACCTGACTCACCACAGAAAATACACAAAATAACAGGTACTTCAACATGTCCATCAACATTACTGTGTATTTTGCAATTTGAATTAAATAAATTATTTTGTAATGGACTATAAAAGAAAAATAGCAATAATATCAGTGAAGGGGATGGATATTAACTACATTTAATAAAACATTAATAAAAAAATTAAAAAAATACACTTGTGACATGCAAAATATCTGTCGCTCGGAAGGTATCATATATCGCTCTGAATAAACTCTGTATATAAACCTCAAAGTATGTAACCCGCTTAACATTTTTATATTCCAGAGGAAGAAGGGGAATCCGAGACTCCAGATGTTAATATGTTTGCCGATGGGTCACAACAGTTCAAATATACAACTGACTTTAAATTGTTAGGTGAGCATTACGTAAATATAAATTGAAACACAACATATTAGATTCACGTAAGAAGATTCCATATTTTATGATCATAAATCACCAACACATATTACTGGGTGTAAGATCCAGATACACATACTGTCGCTGTGTATACACAACTTTTGATCCAAATATTTAGCACACATTAACCAATCTTGGCATGTCAAATGTTTGGATAAATCCAAAGTCATTTAGATATGCAGTTTATCAAAAAAGTAAAACTAAGGATGCAAGATCAGTTTTTACAAAAATGGAACAGTGATATGAAAGTCAGTACTAAAAGTTACAACTATAAAATATTTAAAACAGAATTTTCATTTGAACAGTATTTAGAAGTGTATGCCAGATAAATATAGAAAAGTTTTGATTATGTACCGAATGTGTAATTATAAACTTCCAGTTGAAAGAGGACGTTATAAAAATATTCCAAGGAAAAATAGGTTTTGTGATTTACGTGCTAAAGGGATAGGTGATGAATTTCATGTCATTTTAGAATGCAAAGCTTTAAGTTATATTAGAAAAAGGTACCTTCCTAAATGTTATTTGACAAATCCAAACACACAGAAGTTTGAGAAATTAATGAATTCAAACAAAAATATACTTATAAAACTTTGTAAATTTTTAATTGAGACTGGGCAAAAAAATGTACGGTACATTTATAATGTAATGTTATTTTAATGTTTGTTACTGTATTAGTTAAGTTTATCTTTTGTACTCTTATACCCTATAAAGGGTGAATAGAGAAATCAATAAATAAAAAAATAAAAAATACAATGTGAATACCAGAAGAGAACCAGAAACTGTTGCATTGTTATCCATTAACTCTGGAAATTCAAATTGTTATTTATTCATTCAAGATGATGCCCCGATGGTCGATCTGATGAAAAACACTGTAGAGGACCCCATAATGCGAGGTCTAAAAGCAGGTTCTACTGATGTAAAGGCACATGAATACCTGACCCTACCTGTGTTACTGACACGTTCCATCACTATTCCTCTTCAAGCACAGTAAGTATGATCCTTCCATGAGTGTCATTTTATGTTTAATTTCATTACATCACAATCTAGAAGTTGAATACATTTGTACATGCCAGTACAATTTTTTAAATGTTAAAGGTGTTTTTATTTTAGATTGTTATTAACTTCTTTTGGGACCAATTATTTTTATTTTACATTTAAAGCAGATCTTGTGTCTAAAATTCTTCAGGTCAGGTGTCCAAGAGCAAGAACTGTGACAGATATTCTGTCCCTTGCTGGCTCCCTTGGCACATATGTCTCCCTTGGCACATCTGTCCCTTGCTGACTCCCTTAACACATGTATTGCTTTTAACAACTAGGACCTTTATTAAGATGTTAACATGTTTATTCTTATTAACTGCCTCTCCAGGATTGATTTGGTGAATAAATGTACAGTGGATTACTTCATAGCAGAGCTGAAGATTAATGACCACTTTACTGCATTAAGGCAGTACCTGCTGATGGAGGATGGCGAGTTCTGTGAGACACTCTCAAACCAGCTCTTTGAAAAGGTGAGTGATTAATATACTGTATAATCATATTCTTCAACCCACCTTTACCAATATAATTTGTCGTTGTTTTTCATTTTGACTCATTTCTGCTATATTTACATGTATGCTTTTAATATTTTTACTTTAACATAGAGGGCATGGTTCATCTTTATTGTCATTATGTCACCACCAGAAGTGTTGACATATTGTTATAGTCTCCAAGTTTTTTGGATGGTATTTGCTGGTCAGAGTTCAGCGTCTGTAACAATTTGCATTCAGATCTGTAACAATTTGCAATTACATACAAGGTGTGACATTTTGTTAATGCCTTGTTGAATTTTACTTTAAATTATAAACTAAAAACAAGGGGATGTTTGTGACTTGATTGAGTGTGCATTTTATTCTCAGTATACATTTTCTAGCTTGGTAGTTCCCCTGAACCCTCCCAGATTTTGAACCCTGTATTTCTGAACAATACACTGAAGAAAGCACTTGGTTCCTCCCTGAAAGGTGACAGAGGTCTTGGGAGTAACATCAGCTTCATCGTCAACTACATCCCAACTGCCTTCCAACAAAATGGTAACTACCATACCTTTGTATTATTATTCTATTGTTTAGAATATACACATAATAAAATAGAGGATGACTTGGAGAAGAACCATTATGGTGATTTCCCCTTCGCCTGTTGCACTTTTTTCAACATTTTCTGTTGATCGAGCATTATTCTATTTAATTCCAAAATAATCCTATATTTTTGTATTATTTAGAACCAAATGTGTTAGATTGTCTGGGACTGAAGTATCAAGCTGAATGGCCCCTAAATATCATCATAACTGAGTCATGTATGACAAAATATACCAAGATCTTCACCTTTATGCTGTCATTGAAACGTATCGTTTGGGTACTGAAGGACATTTTCAGCAAACTGAAGAGAGATGGTAAGTAAACTTTATTTAACTTTTGTAAAATATATCCTTTGTAGTTGTTCAGTGTTATAATGAATTACTGAGATATTCGCATTGTAAGGAGTTGGGTGTTAGTGGCTGGCACCTGTATCAATTATTTACACTTCTGTAACCATTTGCAGGTGATGGAAATTTGCCTTGTATATGCATGCTATAGTTTATTTATGCTTTTATTGGGATTGGTATCATTTTAAATCCCACGTTTCACAAATTCATATTGTTTATAGAATCAGAATTGTTTTGCATTTCTTAATGTTGTTACTTATGGCTCCTTTAATAAAATGAGCATTTTCCTGTAACTTAATACATGAACCAGGAAGTTTGTTTAAAATATTTTTTCAGACGACGAAAATCTCTCATCTTATTGGATAACCAACTTATAATAGTTATTTACTCAAATTTCTTTACTCAGCTTGAAAATGTCACCAAAAGTATTAAGTTATCAGTTTTGTGTACACACTGGATTATTATGTGCTTGTTCTGACAGTAAATATTTATTTTAATTTTTTACGAAACTACCCTGCTCCGAAAATAAAGCATTCATTTTTATAACCATGCACAGAGACAGACAAGTTAATTTAAAATGGATAGTTTAACAGTTCTGTTTCTCCTCAGTCTAAATCTGCATTTCTGTGTTGCAGAATTGACATTTCAGATATGTTATGGCAAAGACAATCCAGGAGCACTCTGGAATGTAACACATGAAAAGGAAATGTGGAAAAATGTAACATTGTATAAAAGTCTTAATGGCACAAATTGTGGAATCGTTGATTTACCGAGACTTTTTACCCGTGAAGATTTGTCTTGTATGAACCATAGTTTTGTAATTGAAAAAGTAGAACTCAGTTTTAATTTGATTTCATCGATTGAAAATCAAACCTTTAATTGTTTGAAGGAGCTCAAATATTTGGACCTTAGCCATAATATGATAAGTGAACTAAAAGGGGGAATCTTTGATGGTTTAGTGAACTTGGAGGTTGTGAAACTAAATGACAATAGGATCCATTCCATGGAGGATGGTGTATTGACTGATAAACACAAGCACATCTCATTCCTTGATCTTAGCTGTAACATGCTGACTGTATTTGGGGGAAACATTGACTTTTTTAAAAGATATTCTGCTAACTCCTGTATAACAGTCAATGTTACTCACAATGCTGTATCAAAATTACAATTGGATTTAAACAGTTATCATAAAGTTCGTGACAGTGACTTCATCTGCTATTATGTGTTTCTTCAGTTCAACAACATAACTGATTTGAATCTTGGTTCATTTGGAATCTTTGTTGATGCTTTAAGTAAAAATGTAGCCAAATCATATGAACACGAGGAGATAGATCTCCGTGACAATCCTTTCATCTGTGACTGCAACGTCCGTCTATTTCATAAATTAATGCAGTCGTTCAAAACAATCTTCAAGCAAAGGTTTGAGTGGCTAGAACTAGAAAAACTAAAATGCGCATCTCCGGAAAAGCTTGAAGGATCTTCCATAGCTGAGCTCCCATCTGAGGAATTATTTTGTCGAGTCTACAAACACTGCCCATTTTCATGCCAGTGTATATTTAAGGAGGATTTTGACGAGCCGAGTATAAATTGTGAGTAAAGCATCAGTTCATCTAAGGAAGTAAAAAGTAGGTCATATGTATGATCAGATAATTTATTTTTATCATATTTTGGAGATCATGTGTCATGTATATTTTTGATTTTATATAACAAGGCTCCTTTTGAACAGGATACAATTTGTTTATAATCCTTGTTTATAGTTGTTTATAGTTCAGATAAATGCATTGCATTCATTGAAAACTCTTACTTGCATATTTTGCAGATCTTCTCCCTGAGAATACTGGGTACTTAAGAGTTCTATGCGCTGGCCAAAATCTGACAGCACTTCCCACTTTGATCCCATATAGATATAAAGATAAGCTACCAACACAATTACTTCTCAATTTATCACAGAATAGCATTGAACATCTTGTGCCTTTAGATTACATTGAACTTGTTACACATTTGGATTTGAGCCACAATCGCATCAAGGATTTATCTTTATCGATGATGAAGATTTTTTCTAACTTATCTGTGCTGTACCTTAATGGAAATCATCTTCAGTACATGCCAGAAGATATGAGGACTATTCAGTTTAGGAACATGAAAAAAATGCACCTAAATGACAACAAATTCATATGTGACTGTAGTAGCATTTGGATGGAAAATTACTTTGCAGCCATCAGAAACAAATTGTCCGTCATGCCAAAATGTTATAATAAAGATGCACTGATAAATGATATGAAAATCAATCAAACATTTTGTTGGCTGAACATGACTGCTCTTTTGTCATGTACCATTACACTAGGGATTGTTCTTTTAATTGGTGCACTGATTGCATACTACCTATACCCTTTGGTAAAGATATTATACTGCAATAGAATAAATGACACGGCTGCTGAAAATATGGATGATGTAAAATATGATGCTTATGTTATTTACCACCCAGATGATACAGAATGGGTGATTGAACACATCATCGGATTATTGGAACCTCAATACAAACTTTGTATTCCACAACGGGATTTCAGACCTGAAAATGATGAACTTCTTGTAGACATTATCATGAGATCACTGGAAGAAAGTAGGCGAAGCATTGTTGTCTTAACACAAACTTTCATACGTGATAATGAATGCAAGGCAGTATTTGCACAAGCACATGGTTATTTTATGAGAAATCCATCTCAAAAAATGATGCTTGTTGTCCAGGATGAAGCTATTTTGAAAGACAATTGTTTGGATGATGGAATTAATCTGTATATTAAAACTTGTACATATCTAGCATTTAGAAAACGCTTTTTCAAGAAAAGAATTTTAAATGAGATGCCTATTAAAAGTATTCAAGATTTTAATCATGCGTAATCAATCAATATCTTACAAGCAGACGAATATCATTTGTCACACAGTTTGACATGTTCTAGAAGAGACATTGAAAATTGATGTTAGTATTGAGAAATTTTGAAGTAGAGTCAATAAAGTTTGATTCAATGTAAATAATAGATGGTGTTTGTTTTTTTAAACCCTTACAAAGAGCTGAAAGAGCTGAAAAGCTTTTAAATTGCTGTATCTCTTGCCTTGACTATATTGATAAAAAATCATTAAAGTAATGATACAATAATGTCTCAATTGCTCATATGCAATTCTTAGACCAAAAGACAAGTCTCGTTTTGGAGAACAGTCTCCTGGGCTAATAATTCTTTTGATGAAAAATATAGAAATTTCACCCCAATTAAAATATGATTATTCAAAATAGAACATTTAAATCTACAAGATGTAAAATATCACAATTGTCCGAAGCAGGGATAGTGGTGCAGTAGACCAATTCAATAGTATACAAGCTTCGTTTTTGAGAAAAAAGTTCATCAGCGTACTGGGCTAATAATTTTTTTTTGAAAAATCTAGAAATATCACCATAATTAAAATATAGCTATTCAAAAGAAGACATTCAAATATATTTTATGTAAAAAATCAAATTTGTGCGAAGCAGGGATAACACTCAATTAGAGTGATGAACTTCATTCTCCAAACCAAGAATAGCCCTTTAGTGTATATTATTAGGCTGAATAGTGGAACAGTTTGACCGAGATGATATAGCTTTTGTAGTTCAAGTAATTTGATTGGGCTGAAAATATAGAGACAGTGAGTTTCCAGTACTTCTCTTTAATATTACACTTAGCTATATATTTGATCAAGGGAATATTCTGAAATGACAGTGCTTGTGAAAGTTTAGATCAGATTATTATCCCATCGAACGAAGTTCGGAGGGATATAGGGAACGCCTCTGTCCATCCGTCCGTCCGGGCAATAACTCAAATACCGTTGGCCCGATTTTGTTCATATTTTGTACACATATACCCAATGGGGGTAGAAGTTCTGCCTGAAACCGATTTTTAAAATGGCCACTCATTTAAAAATGGTGGCCATTTTAGTGCCGATTTTACAGTTATTTAGGTACTGCATATAAAACTGTAATAGCAATATGTTTTTAATGTAAAAAAGTTAGGTATGACATTGATTAAGCTAGAAATGTAAATACAGAAGAAATACATGTCAGCCATCTTGAAAAATGGCTGCCTTTGCACGCCATTTTACGATTTTTGCTGTAACTTGAAAAGTAGTTGAACGATTTTGTTCATATTTGGTATGTGAATACTTTAAGCATGGCACAATGTCTAATGACATTTTGGATAGTAGGCGAAAAATGGCCGCCATTTTTATGTGTGTTATTTTACATTATTTACTGTAAGTCAAAAAGTAGTGGAGCGATTTTGTTCATATTTGGTATGTGAATACTTTAAGCATGGCCCAATGTCTAATGACATTTTGGATAGTAGGCAGCCATTTTTCAAAATGGCCACCATTTTTATGTGTGTTATTTTACATTATTTACTGTAAGTCAAAAAGTAGTGGAGCGATTTTGTTCATATTTGGTATGTGAATACTTTAAGCATGGCCCAATGTCTAATGACATTTTGGATAGTATGCGGCCATTTTGAAAAATGGCCGCCATTTTTACGTGTGTTATTTTACATTTTTTACTATAACTCAAAAAATAGTAGAGCAATTTTGTTTATATTTTATATGTGAATAATATAAGCATGGCACACTGTCTAATGACACTTTGGGTAGTAGGCGGCCATTTTGAAAAATGCAGCCATTTTTTACGTTTTTACTATTACTTGAAAAGTAATGTAGCAATTTTGTTCATATTTGATATGTGAATACTTATGAGCCTTGCACACTGTCTCATGACACTTCGCGTAGTAGGTGGCCATTTTGATAAATGGCTGTAATTTTTACATTTTTTACTATAACTCGAAAAGTATTGGAGCGATTTTGTTCATATTTTATATGTGAATACTTTAAGCATGGCACATTTTCTAATAAAACTTTGGGGAGTAGTCGCCCATTTTGAAAAATGGCCACCATTTTTATGTGTGTTATTTTACATTTTTTATTATAATTCAAAAAGTAATAGAGCGATTTTGTACATATTTGATATGTGAATACTCGTAAGGATTGCATACTGTCTTATGACATTTTGGGTAGTAGGCGGCCATTTTAAAAAAGGCCAGCATTTACATGTATGTGTGTGCCATTTTTTAGAAATTTTATATGTGGCCACTTAAAAGCATATTACCTCTTCTGATGACAACTTGGCTAGTGAGCAACCACTTTGAAAATGGTGGCCTTTCTTATGGGTGTTGTTTTATGATATTTGCTATATATTTTGTTTGTAAAAATGCCAGCCATTTCTGTTCGATGGGATTCGCTACGCTTTGGCGTTGCCGTTGTTCTGGTTTTATTACCCCATCCTAATAATGAATCACGGGAGAAACAAGGAAGTTGTGAATATAAAATATAGTTTGCACAATCTTTAAGTGTGTTTTATAGACCAATCATGTAAACATTTCAGTTTCTTCAGGAACTAATACTAATAAAACATGACTCCATAGCAACAAGGTTGTGATCATAAAATTAGTTCGCACAATAATAGCTGCTTTTGTACATTTATAACTGATATATATTATGATTATTATCTTATGCAACATACTAACATTCAGTTCATTATGAACACAATGGATACATTAGTTATGTTATTTGCAATACTCCTGATTGAGAGAGTGTCACCATGGTGTCAACATTGCAACTGCACAAATTATATACCGACTGATATTCAAGTGAAATGTAGCATTGGAAAATTTGTGAATCTGACACAATTAGAGGATCCTACCAAATATGAAAGAATTTTGTATTCCAGAGGCTATCTATCGAGCATACCCATAGATTTATGCAGGCTGAAGAACTTGAAATATATAGATTTATCTTGGAATAACATTACAACACTCCGGTCTAATCAGTTCCAATGTTTCAGAGCCTTAGTGCACCTGAAAATGCAAAACAATGCTATAAGGTACCTACCCATTGGAGTATTTGAAGGTTTAAACAATCTACAAACGTTAAACTTAAGCTCAAATGATATACACAAAATTGAAGAAGATGTCTTCAAAGAGAGTTTCGAAGAATCTATGACATCTTTGGATATTTCGCATAATAACTTAGAATATGTTCCTAGTGAAATCATGGATATAATATTCAATGCTACTCCTTTAAACAGGCATAGGTTTTTCAACCTCTCACACAATCATATAACATTTTTCGAAGAAGGAAGTCAAAGTATTAATAAATATTATGAGTATCTGAGCATAAATGAAGAATTTATGAAGTTAGACTTAACATTTAATAAGGTAACACATATAGACATCAACTTTCTATCGCCTTTAGGAATTAAAAATGTTGATAGCTTTGAAACATTTTGGGGTTCTCGATATAGGATAGGTGTATTTTTTAGTATACTTCTTCATAACAATCCTCTCATTTGTGATTGTAACAACTTTTTGTTATATAAAATTGGAACTGAAACTATGAACTTGTTGGCAGTTGGGCAGTTGAACTTACCTGAATCCGCAATGATTGATAGGACGGGAATGGTCTGCAGAGGTCCACAAGAATTTAATGGGACATCTCTGTTCAATATGAAAAATGAACAATTTGTGTGTCCTGTTGACGGTTGTTTACCCAAATGTAGTTGCATTTATAGCGCGCATAATGAGACATTAACAGTAGATTGTTCAAATATAGGACTTACTTCTTTTCCAAAAAAGATTCCTTCTTATCCCGGTTCACCTAATATTACTCTCAATATTTCTGGAAACAGAATAGCACATTTTGAAGAAAGGATATATTTAAGTAGTATCACTATATTAGATGTCCGTAACAATTATATAGAAACTATTGACATTGCAGCAATTATCAAATTGATTAAGATCAGAAAGTTGTATCTTCAATCTAATCATATTAAGTATTTACCTAAGGAGATTACTGCATTACAGTTTAATGGCTCAATTGGTCTGTATAACAATTCATTTGTATGTGACTGTTATTCTATATGGATGACAGACTGGATCAAAACACTGAAAAATCTCTTACAAGAACCTGTTTGTATCAATGGAGGAGCTAAAGTAAGAGATTATATAGAGGATGAGTTAACATGTTACATTAACCTCAAATTAGCTGTTGCCTTGCCCCTTACATTTGCTGCTGCTATCATGTTGTTTGTGGGATTGTTATATCATTATAGACCACTCATTGTGCTGTGGTGGAGGCATAAGGTTTATCGAAGAGCTGTACATCCTCAGCACAATATTGATGAAAAGATATTTGATGCTTTTGTTGGATATGAGAAGAGTGATGTCAACTGGATCAAACATGAGTTGATACCTTTACTGGAGCCCAAGTACAAGCTTTGTATTCATCAGAGAGACTTCCCAGTTGGAGACTATATCATCGAAACAATTACAGAGTCAATATCAAAAAGCCAGTGTAACATTATGGTGGTATCAGCAAAGTTCATTGAAAGCCAGTGGTGTCTTGAAGAATTTGCAATTGCCCACAAATACTACATGGCATTCCCTGCTGAGAAATTGATCATGATTATACTTGATGACCATATTAAACAAAGACCTATTACAAACAAGCTTGTTAAGTATTACATCTGTTGTGGAGTCTTTATTGAGGCAAATGCTGCTGATTTTCATGCAAAACTGTTGGCTGAGATGCCATGTAGATCAGTAAGGGACAGAAATGATGAAATAGGAGAATTGGATGACTATGTCTAGATTTGTAATTGACAATGTCAAGACATCATTATTTGAAAATGCAAAAGGCATGATATTCTGATAAATCATGTGTACAAGGTGGGCCTGAAAATAACATACATACAGTAAAACCTAATCCAAACCCTATTGGGACCAGCCAAAACTGTTCCGATCAGCAGGTGTTCACATTTTAGATATTTTTAAATATGTGAGAGTAGGGGATAACAACTTTGGGACTAAAGAAAGGCATTCACATTGAGGAGTGTTCGGTTTAGAGAGGTGTTTGGATGTACAGGTTTCACTGTATTGTAAATAAAATAAAATGTATTTGTTTCACATTAGATACTATATGATACATTAATGTGATTATAATTTGATGTATAGGGTGGCGCTAAATGTTGGATCCCTTCCATTTTGGAATAACTTTGTTATGAATAATGATAGAATCCTCTTGGTTTTGTGTAGAAAGAGTCCAAATGGAGAAAACCATACTAATTTAGCCTTAAATCAGTTTTAGTTTTAAAGAATATGGTATTATGGGTCTTAGCATGATCTTTCTAATTTATCTTACTCTAGTACTACAACAAAAGCATTGCAGATTCAGTGCACAGTATAAGTGATAAAAATAATGCTGTCCATCAACTGCTACTACATATATCATTCTAATTTAAGCACATTTTGTGGGCCACCCTTTATAAAATCATTGTTTAACATAAGTAGGAATATACATGTATACAGACATTCATGTGTGTAAAGATGTATTTGTTATATACATACTATACTATATTTAACCAATTATGGAATTACATGTAATTTCAACATTCTGAACCATGTAAAATAAATATATATGTAAATAAATTCCTAAAAATGTACATTGAATTATTTTGTATTCACTTCAGGGGAATGTTTCATGGTCAATTAAATGGAGGATATCATGAATTACACAGTTACAATGTTACATGCGATGTATTTGTTTTTTGTAATGTGTTCATTAGCAAGAACAACTGCCAAAAATCAGAACAACATTTATAGTTGTACTTGGGCAGTGGGACACTCTATTGCCACTCTATTGAATATCAAAATTTTGCCATTCTTATATTCCCATGGAGTACTTGACACCATGCCCCCAACATTAAAGGTGTAAAATTATGGTCCATGGGTATTTATTAAAATAACTTTCTTAAGAATGCACATGAGGTTTGTTGTGAGGCAAGAGTGACATTATTATAACCAAAGGAAGAAGTTTAGTTGGGATATAGTGCTGCCCTCCATCATTCAGACTGTCCATACGTCAGTCAATCCATTTGCACAGACAATTATTAAACTTCCAGTGAATCTGTTTCCTTTATAGTTTAAAACTGATGGCTGGAGTAGCCATTTCCAATGACTTACCCCTTTTGTAATTACTTGTTGTTCGAGTCATTGTAATCAGATGATCTGATCTTGGGACATCTTGATTAATCTAATGAATATTAGAAAACACAAGGACATTGAAAAAATGCCTCATTCTGAAACCAGTTTTGTTCTTGTTACCAAATGCTGGATTTTCATTGGTCTGTTCTAGTATAGTGACATCTATAAATACATATTTTTCTGTTCATTTTACGAGTGTTGGTCAACTCAGTGAGGGAAAAGATTTCCAGAACAGGCTGTAAAATGTACTCTGAACACGCCAGAGTATTTTGAATACAGATTCAGATTCAGATATTTATTACTATTTTGAAAATTATATATGACATTCAATACAACATGACGCTCTCAAGAGCATATATGTTGGTTTTAACTGGACAGAAATGGGTCAGTGACACCAACAGGTAAGACAAATAAAAATGGAGTGGAGAAATACACTGGCCCAATGACACTGGCCCAAGTCTGTTGGAAATAATTTCAAAAATGTAAAAAATATTAACACTCGGGGACAGAGACACAGGACACGAGAACGGGTAATTGCTGCTAAGTTTATAATATGTATATATATAAGTTGATAAGACAAAATGTGGCAGAGTACAGATTTTCAATAGTAAAGACATTTTCAAATCTTTAAAACTATAAAGGTATGTCATTTATTTTATTTTGTTTGAACAAAGACTTAAAAATTGAGAGTGAGGCTGCTTGTCGAATATGATGAGATATAGAATTCCAGATTTGCTGACCTTGCACTTTCAGTGAATAAAGGCCAATATTTGTTTTGAACTTGGATGCATGGATATAATGTGAATGTCTAGTTTGATACCGATGAATGTCAACATTTAACGTAAAATAGTTTTCAAAAATCTTGCGGTGGACTAATATATTGTTATACCAGCAATAAACAAAAATTCCAACATTTAATTGATAGATATCATGCACTGGAAGTATTCTAAATTGTTTGAAAAGTGGAGCCGAGTGCTCAAACCTGTCTTTTCCTGCCATGAGACGAAGGTATGATTTTTGTAATTTGAGTAGTTTATCCGAAGCTGAATATGCTCCGGCCCAAATGATTGTGCAATAATTCAAGTAGGAATATATTAAAGAATTATAAATTGCTAACATACTTTTTATGTTTAGCAAGTATCTGCATTTGAATGAGATTCCAATGGTTCTAGATATTTTTCTTTCTACATTTTTTATGTGACTTTTCCAGTCAAGGAATTCATCAATTGTTACTCCCAAAAAATTTATTTCATGAACCCTATCAATTTGTTTTCCATTTATAAATATTTCAATTTGTTGACAAATCTTTTTTCGTTTTTTGGAGAAGACGATGAATTTTGTTTTTGAATAGTTTAAAGAAAGGAGGTTTGCTTTAAACCAGTCATCAAGAGTAATGAGTTCCTGATTAACAGTATTTACAAGTCAAGTCAAATTATGGTCAGAAGCTAGAAGATTAGTGTCATCTGCAAATAAAACAGATTTAAGACTTTGTGACGCCGTGAACAGGTCATTAACATAAATGATAAATAAAAGTGGTCCCAAAACAGATCCCTGAGGGACTCCCTGGGAAACAGTTAGGGTGTCAGACAGGGCACCATCATAAGAAACAATTTGTTTACGATTTTGAAGATAGCTTTTAAAAAAGTTTTGTTCAACTTGTCCGACACCATAGAAGTCAAGTTTTTTTATGAGAATATCGTGGTTGATAGTGTCGAACGCTTTTGACAGGTCAAGGAAGATTCCAATGGAGTATTTATCATTTTCAAGAGCCAATACAGGCTCTTTGCATGAAATAATTGTTTACTTACATGTACATCTATTTCCAGGGTCTGTTTACAATGCCCAGAATGCAGCAGAGCTACGTCAGCTACAGCTTTACAGGTACATTTGACAGAAACATAATGCTTAAGATATGTTTAAATTATTTGCATCAAAAAGGTCTAAAATTTTGTAAATATATCAGAGAAAAGACAGTGAATTTTTCAATGCGATCAAAGATTTGTACAAAAGCTCAACTTAAAAAGAATCCATAAATAGTAATTGCATCAACTAGGCGGTCAGTATGAGCCTTGAATGAAACATGAAGGGACTTGAAGCAATAATCTGCTTTTACCAAAAGATCAAGATTTTATACAGTGGTTAAATTTTCTTTTTCAGACATGAAATGCAACATTTTGTGAAAGTGATGCAAGGTTACATTGCCAACCAAATCATCCATGTGACTTGGCAGGAGTTCCAAACAGAACTTGCAGATAATATGCATAATGTAGATGATCTTCACCATAAACATGCAGACTACCTCAACAAAGCTGTATTCAGGTATGGGAGTTTTTAAGTCATCACCAAGAAGTTTTGACATATAATTACAAGGCATTAACATGCAAAATGTTCGGCAGTCAACTTTTGGTGTCTGTCGCAAATGGAAGGTGGTGACATTTGCATGTTAATGCCTTGTTGATTTATGCAATTAAGCAAATCTATTTCACCAGGAAATATATTAACATTTCAATTTCAACAATTTGGAATTATGGATTTTGACCAGATTTATATCTATTTCATAATGACCCTTAAATCTTCATGCTAATGAATTGGTGTAACAGTGCTGATAAAAAAAAAAGTCAGACACACAGGGTGAGTAAAAAGAATGTACTCTGTTATATTAATGAGTGGAAGTTTGATGGGACAGAGAAGTAATCTATGGCCAAATAACATGTTAACGATTTCAATCTGTGTTCATGGTGAACATAAAATAACTTTTTTCTGCCGCAGGTGTTTAATCAATAAAAGAGCTAGACCTGTGATGAAAATTATTGAAGATATTTTCACTCTCATCCTGAAATTCCGCACTCAGTTGCTCTCCGCAAGCTGGGAGCGTCACCCAGTGGATGGACAGCCACACCATCAACACTTTGAGCAGATGACAGCCACCTACAAGACTTTCAAAGAATATTCTCTATTTTTATTTAAAGGTACAGTAAAACCTGTCCGATGGAATACCTCTCTGTAGGGAAAACCTATGAACAAGGAATTCTTTTCAAAAGAACCAAATGTTTCTCCATTGACTTACATGTTAACGGACCCTCTCTGTAGGGAAAACCTGTGAACAGGGAACAAGGAACACTATTTTGGGGCAAATTATGAAAATTCACCTGTGAACAAGGAATATGGAATATTGGTGACACTGTATATTCCATTATTTTTCAGAGGTGTGAAAGTCTTAAGCCAACATCTGATTCTAAAAAGCTTGGATTAATATGATTGATATTAAGATAAGCCAATTGTTTACACGATGAAGCATCCCACCCACTGTTAATTACCCTGATATATTTTAAAACTAATACTAATCTGATTGTTACTAATTATCATGACACTAATTCTTCCCTTCGACAAACCTAATTACATCAGTTGTGATAATCTAGGGATTGACACAATTGTTTTATGGAGATCAGTACATGTGTCATGTTGAGCCAAATGTATCAATAATTTCTACAACTAGACATCATCATACGTCAGCAGCAGGGGCTAAAATCAACATCGGGAGAATGCTCCTTACCCTCAGCTAAAGGAGGGAGGTGGGAGACCTTCATACATCTTCCAAGATGTCACAACAAGGTCTAGCAACCAAGTATGGAGTTGGCATTGATAAAATCAATTAATGCCCAAATATATACAAAATATGCTTATTCGGCAATTCTGAGTTTGCTGAAAGTGCGGCCCCTCTCTATAGGGAAAACCTCTGAACAAGGAAACTTTCCTCCAGTCCGAAGAGCATTCCCTGTTCGCAGGTTTTACTGTATTTTTTAAAATTGAAGTATTTCTTTTTTTAATTATTTCTACATGTATTGTATGTCATGTATGCCGGATAATTAAGTTTTTTAAACAAATTAACTTCATCATATCTTATATATGAACTGATCAAAAAGCACAAAATCAGATTTTGAAATTCCATGTAAAAGTCTTATCAGTGACATGATTGTCTTTTCAGTTGTTAACAAGCTGGCTTCAAGAGGCTACCAAACCCATCTCCAGGAACTGCTGTTATCTCTTAACTTCAATGGACACTATAAGGCATAACCTGCTGTTGTGTTAATTGACACTATAAGGCATAACCTGCTGAACATGTGTTAAGGCATAACCTGATGTGTTAAGTGGACACTATAAGGCATAACCTGCTGTTGTATTAAGGCATAACCTGCTGTTGTGTTAAGTGGACACTATAAGGCATAACCTGCTGAACATAATTTGCTCTTCTGTTAAATGGACACTATAAGGCATAACCTGGACACTCGAAGGCATGGCTTACTGTTGTGTAAAATGGACACTCTAAGCATGACCTGGACACTATAAGTCATATCCTGTTGAATTTGTGTTAAATGGACACTTTAACGCACTACCTGCTATTAAATGGACAATATAAGGCTGGAACTGCTGTTTACTATATTTCTCAATTCACAACAAGACACGTTCTGCAGGACATTCTATTATCAAAAGAAGACAGGAAGACAGTGTTATATAAAATATGTTTTTTATTATTTTATTGTGAGCAAAATAATATACGATAGATAAATATACAAAGATCTATTATTAGTAATTAATAAAACACAATATATGTGATTAATTATAGGACACGCTTTAAGCTTTTAATAAAATAATTCAATGGCAATTTACACAGCTGGAAATACCTACACAAAGCCCTAATTCATATCTAAATATCACTTTAAGAAAAATGATAGGATTTAATATATAATGAATTTAATCATCCCTGATTAGTCATCACAGATTTGGATTCAGACATACACATGTATTACAAGAAGGTACTGCACAATGTATACATATAGTAAATATTGATTGTCTTCTTACAGAGGGTCTCTGGGTCTTAGCCCTCATAATTGTCTTAAGCCATTTTTGAAAGTATTCAGAGATCATGAGATAACAAGTTTAGGTTGATTAAATGAAATGTTTAGTGACTCTTCAAGCATCAATTTTAAGCTACATTTAGATAATAAATTCCATGCAGCTTCAAGGTAAAACAAACCTTGATTCTAACATACTTCATTTATTTTGACAGGTATATATATATATTAGTGCATCATTATCATAATAATCATAAATCATCAAGGATATAATATCATATAATTAATACATATGATTATACAATATACATGCATTTTGTATGAATTGACCTGAAATAAGTATATTGCATGGAATTTGATTTGAAAACCGATTGGAATTTAATCAGATCATGTCGAAGTGGAATGAAACCATACTTATATTTGACAAATAATCATACATGAGTTTTGACAGATAAACGCCTAACAGGGCAATCATTCCTGAATCACATTCTTCAAACTCAGACAGGCCAGCATTAAATCACTGCATCATGTGTCATTTACCGATAATTTGATTTTTACAAAGGCCCCCCACGAAGTGGACGGTACCCTTCGTTCTATGGACCGGGTTGGGATCATTCATGCCTTTATTAGCTTATATGGCAAATCATTAAGGCAACTGCCAAGTCGTCAAATGATGTGATTGTGATTCGAGATATGACGTATCACATATATGACGTCAGTCACATATTTACTCCATCGATGGAGCAACTATAATTGATCGTAACGTCACACATCTCTGTTGATTCTATATTAACATGTTACGTCATTAACATGTTACCTAACCAACAACAAAACAAGCATTTACTTTGTTCATTGCTGTTCTCCGTGATCTTTTCATAAGAAGTGGATCAGTTCTCTCCATTAGCATATGGCCCAGCATATGGCCTTCGTATTCTAGTGAAATTCACTGGATAATCTTGTTGGAAACTACCCTTCTAATGCAATTTCAATTTGACAGTACACTGAATAGATTTACAATACAAGTGACAACATAGGATAGGCATAATACAACGAGCGACACTTATGTTTTGTGAAAACATAGTACAGCGCCATCTAATGGATAGCATAATACAGCGAGCAACACTTATGTTTTTTGAAAACATAGTACAGTGCATATGGAAATACATAAATAAAAAGGCTGTTTCTTTGAATCTTAATCACAAAAAGGCTGATTTCAAATCCATCTCAAAGAATTTACAAATAATTTTTTCTCTATATTAACCATTGTTTCATATCAAAATGCATCTCTGGTTGAAAATAGATAATACAATTCAGTTAGGTCTACACATTTTATGTTAAACAACGATTTCATTTAAAAAAGCTATAAAATAAAGATCTTTTGTTCGAATAACCGACATATCATGACTTCCATTCGGGTTTTTCCACTGGTTTCTCATTCTTTCCTTTCTTTAGGTTTTCTTTACAGGCAGCCAGTTCTTCATTGTTCAACCAGTCAGTTGGGACACAACTTTTATTTTTCTTTATTCTCTTGCCCTCCACTGAGAGTGTTACATCTGTACAGCGGGGATTGGGCACAAACTGGTTGCGATATATTAGCTCAAATCCACCAGTATCATCTGTGTCATCATCTGTTTGATCAAGCACCACTGGAACATAGAAAAAAAATACAATGTATTTTTTTAATGTATTTTTTAAGGTTAAGTTTTATTTCTTTGCATAATTTTATATAACAATGTATGTATTTCTGAACATGCATATCAATTCCCTATTTCATTTTATATAATATATCTTAAGGTAAACAAATTGTTTTTTTCACCACCACCACAAATGGTGACATATTGTTAGTCTCCAACTTTTTCCTGGACAGTGTTTGGCAGAATAAAATGTCAGAAAAGATTTCCCTCATCTCAGGGTCTGTTTCTATAGATTATATTCTATTGAAAGATTTCTCTACGTACCTTTAATGGCATCTTCAATAACTTGAGCACATAGTTTGTTCTTGTTCATTGAGCCTGCTGACATGCCTGGGCTTGCATTGATCTCTATCAGCCAAGGAGAACAGTCCTCTGATAGCATAAAGTCTGCACCATACAACTCAAAAGCATTCTGAAATCAATAGCAGTTAGAATTAGAGGTATGAAACATGTTCTTCAGTTTCTTGTGTCACGACCACAGCAACAAGTGGCGACATGTTATACAGTACTATACTATATTGTTAAAGGCATCATTTTTGACTGGTATTCATTGGTCAGAAATGGCATGACTTATTGCTCATTTTAGAAACGTCTTACAAATTCCTTTACAAGTATGACATCATACCAGTATTACATCATAAATCTAGCCCAAATACCCGAGTTTCATAGAGACGACAAGATTTATTGCAAAGCTCTATTTAAAAACATACAAGATGATGGCTTAGACTCCATTGTCTTTGATATCAGAGCTAGACTTTCTCACTCACCTTCCTGTGTTCAGGTATGTCCTGTGTGGAGAGGAGGCAGCATAATATTGCATTCTTCATGCCAGGGTACACAGTCTTCTCCCATTTACCTTCATGACCTGTAGCCCTACAAAAGAACAGAGAAATATACAGGGTGTCCATAAAATCCCTACTCTTTAACACATACTTTGTATTGTTATTGTGAAGAGATTTTATGGACATGTAAATTGTACCCAGTACATGTAAATTGTACCAAGTACATGTAAAGTTTACCCGGTACATGTAAATTGTACCCAGTACATGTAAATTGTACCCACTACATGTAAATTGTACCCACTACAAGTAAATTGTACCCAGTAATAACCCTGAATGTAACATCTCAATTGGTACTGTTTATAGGGATTTAGCATGAGTTGTTCTTCATAGTAAGTGCTCATGGAGTGACAAATCCCAGTAAAAGATGAATGTCAATTCCAGCTTTTGATATTGCTTACAATTTGCTTCATCATTATGAATGGAGGACATAAATGCGCATGTATTTTTTGACCAGTTATTTTACTTTGATTTTATACACTTATTGTATGTTAAACTTACTTGAGATATGTTGAGAAGTCTTTGTGGGACCAGAAGTTGTCCTCTGGCAAGTCAGCATGGCGAGGACCATTCTCATAAAACTGCTGGATAGCAACATTCGATAGATGGATTGCCCTGGAGAGAAGAAAACAACATGTTATATAATAGAACAGGCCCGTAGCCAGCTTTTGCCTTGGAATGTTTATTTTTTGAAAAGTCTAATGTTAAGAGTGAGGACAAAGCTGAGCTCTTGAGAAGGGTAACTATATTGAGAACTACATTTAAACATGTCTTAGTAAACACCTCACTCTCTAGTGACCACCTGTGTCTAGTGAACAACCCTTATCAGCACATACTCCATTGACTTCTGTATAAAATCGCCTCTCTCCAGTGAACACTTATGTCTAGTTAACACCCTTTCTCACCTATCGTGAACACATTTAGTGGCACCATAGGTGTTCACTGAACACAGGTTTTACTGTACATGTTACTCACTCATGCATGTTCTCTAAGCTGAATTCCTGTGAACAGATCCTCAAGTAGCTGTCCCTATAAAACCAGACAGTCAGGGGATTCCAGTCAGTCACCAAGAACCACTGGCGGATATCAAACTTTGTGTTATACACCAAGAATGGACGTTCTGAAAACAAAATAGTCATGGTTACTTGTTTTGAAATCTGACAAAAAGTTGTGTTTCGGAGAAATTTTGCTTTTTATAAAACAAATGTAAAACGAGAATTTTTATCAAAATGATCATGATATTGAAAGAGAAACTTCATACAAACTATGTCTTAACCCATAGTTACTAGACTAATAAATAGATGGCAACGTGGTTCAACTGATCAAACTGACAATTTTTTATCAGTCCAGTACCTACATTTTAATTGCAGTTTATAATGTATCATTTTGTCAAAATGGTAAAGGTATTTGTGCAATGACAATCATGTATCTCATCTAGCCTATATATTTTACTCAGACAAGTCCGACTTACAGAAATGTGATATGAATCAAATGTATGCAACAGCAACAGTCTGAAAGGAACTTTAGTACAACTGAGAGTACAATACATACCTATATATTTTTGAGCAACATAGTTCCCTTGCAATGTGGAGTTGGAGATGAACTTTGTGATATCATCCAGTTTATCATGCACCTCAATACCTAGAAATAAATAAACAAATATTTGGATAGTGGATATTTTTTCTTGAATTAAAGACACAATTTCATAATTGCTTTCACCTGAAAGTGGATGGATGGTGGCAAAAATACCTTAAAGCCCAAAAATGTTTATGGCATTTTTGACCCAGTTTTTGAAATTCTTGATCTGGTGAAAATATCAAGGATACCCATCAGGCTTTCTATACAGTAATCCCCAGGCTTGACAGCCTCATTTAAGAAAAAGTACATGGGTTATATTTACTAGAGAAGGGTCGGTCACGGTTCGGTTCGGTTCGGTACGATTCTCGGTTCTTGTCTCTCGGTTCGGTCGGTTCTTCAATCATATACTTAATAAGGTGGGCCTCATAAATTGCAATTGGTGCCACAAATATGGCAACATAAAAAGGTGTTTCACTTTTATTTTGTATTATTAGGGGATATAATTTTATTTTCAATCTTATAAATGATCAATATGGAATGATGATAGCTGATAATCATTGAATATTTATGGAATTAAATAACTAGAATTGAACTACAGTATTTGTATGTGGTTATCAACAAGTTGCTTGCCCCGTGTTAGATGGGAGGGATTCCTTTTTAAACTGGGTCTGGTTGGGTAAGACCTTTCAATATGTTTCCTCATGGCAGACAGTGTGTTTCCTGAAAACTAAAATTATATGGATAGCACAGATGTCCTTCAGTTGGGAATAACAGTGCAGTGGGCTGGGGGGTGTTTACCCAAATTCTCAACCTGACTTGGGACCTGAGGTAGGACACATGAAAAAGTGTATATATCAGTCATAAAAAATGTTACTATGAGTGGGTAATAGGAGGCAGTTACAAGATAGGGAATGAATTGAAGTCTAATAAAGATCGCGGTCTTAAGGTCAGGGTGCATGATGGGAAATTTTCTGTATTCCCCAATTGAGTCACATGTTATTTTTCAAACAAGAATCACTCCTTCCCTTCATTGTCTATATCTTCAAGTTTTGCACAAAGAGTGCACTTATGTGCCTAGAAAAGACTTGTGAGAAGAATGTTTTGATAAAGTGTATAAAAAACAAGAAAATTCAGTGAAAAAAATCAGAAAATTTTCAGAAATTTTTTTCACTGAAATTTCTCATTTTTTATACATTTTACAAAACAAACCTTCTCACAAGGCTTTTCTAGGCACAGAAGTGCACTCTTTGTGCAAACTTGGAAGATGTAGACAATGTGGGGAAGGAGTTATTCGTGTTTGAAAAATAACATGTGACTCAATTGAGGAATGCAGAAAATTTCCCAACATGCACCCTGTCCTTAATTTTTAAAATTAAAAAAAATTACAAAAAGTTTCCATCACAAAAATTGGAAACCTGCAGCATATTTCAATGTCGTGTTGCACAACCGACATAGGGTAGACGTATTCTCATCGTAGAAACCGAATACTTCCAAGCATCCAACTTAGACATCGCGGGAAAAGGCTCTATTATGGTTTTACTAGCTCTTTGCCGAAAAATAAAACTGTCCGCCATTTTTAAAACACAAGTGTTTCCGCGCGAAATAAATTCACGCTGGCAAGTAGAATTATGTTCCCTCGAGACGTGGAAGAACAATGAAATATTCAAGGAAACTATTTTATTACCGTATGGATCGTTTAAAGTTGTTCAATTGTCGTTTAAATGGTTCTTTCATTCGCTATTTAGATGAAATAGAGCTGTAATTATTTGCGCAAAAATTTCGTATTCATGTTACACTGCACGAAAATAAAGTATTTCCCCGGGAATGATGGAACCGTTTTGGACTCGGTTCTTGGTGATCAGACGGTCCCAGTAGAACCGTGAGGCCAAAAAACGTGGTTAATCGAACAGAACCGTAACCGACCCTTCTCTAATATTTACCTATTCCCTTAGATTTATCAGCTGGTTTGACGATCCAGAGATTCTTACAACCATCTATGGCATATTGAGGAGACTTCTTCTGTAATTGTTTCAAAGCCTTCTCGCTGTCTTCCAGTAAAGATTCTGTGATGGCAACCTTCCCATTTTCACTGAAAATGATCGGTTATTCAGTTCTGTTATGAACACACGTGTACTGAGGGCTATTACAGTAAAACCTGTCTAAGTGGAACACTTTTGGTACCTCTAAAAGGTATTCCACTCACGAGGTGTTTCTCTTGTTGAGGTTCATTTAACATTATGTCAGTTGGTCTTGGGACTCTGAAAAGTGTTCCACTAACTTAGGGTTTCAATTTATAGAGGTGTTCCACTTTACAGGTTTCACTGTACATTGAAATCTAACTAGCAAAACAACACTATCATACGAGTACCTTAAATAATTTCAGTTTTATGGCAAATTAAGTAATTGAGCCACAACTTATGCAAAAGAGGCTTCCTGTATCTTATTCTACGAGTTCAACTACAAGTAATAGCTTTTGTCTAATATTTAATTTAGTTTTTCTTTCTCTACTTACTGGTTCAGATTCTGGTGCCATTTGAGCAAGGACTCCCACTCTTTGTCAGTGAAGGATTTCTACAAATAAAAATTTTGACAATTAAGGCATTTTCACACAGATTTAGATTAAAATGCTTACATAAGCACTTTGAAATATACAGTAAAACCTGTCTGAGTCAAACACCACTTGAACTGGTTCAAAGTTTTCAGAATAGCAGGTCTTAAGGTTTCAAGTTCTTTTTATTAATGTGAATGGGAGAAAACAGAATATGGTTGTTATGGACCTTTGTGTCCACAATTCCAAAGGCCTATAAAAGTACCTGTGTTCAATTAACTAAAAGTAAAATTTTTCTCAAACCATCTTTTCAAACAGAGCCTCCTTGACCAAGAGGACACATGGAACTAATTAAAAGGAAAGGTTGAACAGTTGAAGTCAGATTATTCTCATATCATAACACAGAGCCCAATGTCTCTGTTTCTCATGGTTCGTCTTGATCAATTGAAAATTCTTTACTTAATAAATTAAAAATGTAACCTACTGTTTGATCATCTATATCTTCATGTTGTAAAGATTGGAGGAACTGTTGTACATACTGCAAGGCTAACTCAACAGCTTTCACCGGAACCTCTGGAGATTTCTTCTTACTGTCATCTGTAACATTATGTATATCACATTAAGTCAAGTGAGTCATAGCTAAGATGGGTCACATATTTTGTAAAAGTATTTAAGATTATCACTGTGGTGATGATGTGTGAAACCAAACAAATTGATAAAAAGTGTAAAATATTGACATTTTTCAATGTTCAGAAATTAATACTATTTAATCTGTGATGCATGCAAATTGTGAACATCAAAACTTAATTTCCCTTTCATAGTCTACTGTGATGTTCGTTTTACAATTAAATAGACAGACTATGATTTCAATTTCAACAAACCGTACTTTCGTGTTCGTTTGTTTGCAATTCAACATTCATAAACATGTAAACAGGCACATAAGTTACACCACAAAATATAAAATAAAAATAATTTCAGGCCACAACAAATAAACAGCAGGCTTTCTCAGGCGTGTAATGCAAGTAAGACTATATATTCTTGTGGCCTTAAATGACAACTTTGTGCAGAAGATTATGAAATTCAAACTGTCTACAAAAAGAAACAAAGATCATAGTATCAACCTCCATGCAAAATATCTAAAATAGAAGTAACATGCAATATTTGCTTCCTGGTCAACTCAACCCCAAGTCAACTCAACCCAAGTCAACTCAACCCTTAGTCAAGTCGACCCCAAGTCAAGTCGACCCTTAGTCAAGTCGACCCCAAGTCATCTCGACCCTTAGTCAACTCGACCCCAAGTCATCTCAACCCTTGGTCAACTCAACCCTTAGTCAAGTCGACCCAAATGATTTTACTTGTTTTAAGTAGATTAAAATACAATATAATCCCATTGTTTGTGCAGTTTGATTTGAAATCAAACTTCAAAGAAAAAAACATTTCTGTCACCTATAGATCAAAACAAAGATTTGAACTGGATCATAAAATCCCAATCTGATTGTTTATGACACCTGACATATGAGTAAGATAATGGAAAATAGAAAAACATAAATCCCATTGTTTGTTCAGTCTTGTTTTAAAATCTAGCTTCAAAAAAATAAACATTTCTATCGCCTATAGATCAGAAGGAAGATTTGAACTTATCATATTGTTTATTGTTTATTATTATCAAAATATAAAATCATTCAATACAAAGTAATGGATGGATGTTGGCACAATGCACATGTTGCATAAGTTACCTGTTGTCAAAAATACTGTTGCAACAATTTCGGTATAACAGAAAAGTGTATAGATAATTTTTTTTATTTTAGAGAGATAAAACAAGCTCAAATATGAAGGGGTGAAATATATATATAACATCGTGAATAGCCCTATTAAGATTAATCAAATATTATTTTGGTAAATAAATGTCATATTTATAAAAATTATAAATGCGTTAAGCACAAACTTCAATAGTTGATAATTTTATTTTGGAAAATTAGCATTTTAGTCCCTCATTCTTTCAAAATTCATCAATATCATACCATGAAAATAGTATATCTATTTGTTTTTTTATGGTGGGGTCGAGTTGACTAAGGGTTGAGATGACCAAGGGTTGAGATGACTTGGGGTCGAGTTGACTAAGGGTTGAGATGACTTGGGGTCGACTTGACTAAGGGTCGACTTGACTTGGGGTCGACTTGACTAAGGGTTGAGTTGACTTGGGTTGAGTTGACTTGGGGTTGAGTTGACCAGTTACCCAATATTTAATACTGGAACTGAAAGGAACGAGAGGATAAAATGATTGTTCATGTTTTTACTGCAATCAAAAATAACCTCGATTTTTAGAGCATTAAATGATATACCTCTGTATCCAGTAAGAGTCATTTCAGCTTTACACCAGAACACAGCATTTGAAAATAATTTAAGTAAGGGCACTCAACACTCAAAGAACTTAAAATATTTCAAAAAATAAAAATCTACTTTGTAGTCAAGAATCGAGATCATTCAAAATGGAGCATGCATGAAAGTCACACGGAACAAGTTTTTAACCTTCTTCCAAATCATAAATCATATGCTGTTTCATTGGTGGTTTTTTGATCTTTGGTCGATAATAGGATCTGGGTTCTGAAATAGGGATTGGGTCTGATCTGCTATCTAGAGGTGCCGATCGGGAACTATGAGATGGATCAATGTTAGTACTCATGGTAGTGTCATTGCTACTTGTAGTACTGGTGTTTCTTTTCAATTTGCTACTTTTAGTGACAGCGTTACAACAACATGCATCTTGATCAGATCTTGTTGAATCACCTTTCGAGTACTCAAGGGCTCGTTTTTCATGTGCTGTTTCTACTCTACGGTAATAGATATGCATCATATTAGGAGTTTCCTTCTGCACAGGGCGTGCAAAAGCCCAGGATGTAAGATTCTGACCTGTGCCCTTGAATGGCGGCAGTGCACTCACTATAAACACAACATCAATGTGTGTCGTAAATAGATGATACATACAGGTTTGCCATTTTATAAGTGCATGATAAAAAGGAAATAGTATCATGTTTAAAATTTAATTCTAAAATTCAAATCCAGACTGGCACAAATAAATTACTAATTGATTATAGATTATACAATACATGTACATACAAGTAATTCAAAAGAAAGACAGTGTCCATCTACATTTTAACAATATTCTAAATCACATTGTTTCATATCTATATTAACTGGCACAAACAACATGAACTCCTAAATCTGTCCAAGCCACATGGATAGATGGGTTTTAAATATGGCGCATATACAGGTTTTGAATATGGAGCCTATACACAGGTTCTGAAATATGGAGCACATACAGGTTTTAAATATGGCGCATATACAGGTTTTGAAGAAGCAATGTAAATTAGATACCAGAGATACGAGTATAACGTACCTTTCACTTTCCCATAAGGCGTCATTAGTGTCACACTGTTCTCTCTCCTCCTCTCTCCCACAGGGGTCTTTGGGGGATGGGGTTGTTTGGAATTGGATTTTGGAGATTTCCCATTCTTAGAGTTTTGTAGGTAGACATTTAACTTGGGATTGCTTGGTTTGTTTCCCTTGCTTGGGCTGTTGTTTGTTTTGTCAATATCTTCTGGAAGAAAAGAGTATAAATATAATCATATATTTATTCAATGTAAATGAAGGCGTCATTGTGAATGATAAACAAAAGGAACAGAATACACGTCTCCAACTCATGACCTCATGGTTACGGCACAGCGCCTACCTTGATCTTCTGTGACATGGGATTAGAAAACTCCGAGAGGATATAACAAATTACAATTTCAATTTCCCTGTAAGAAAACCCTAAAAAACCTATAAAGAAACTCTTGGGGTTTTGGTAAGCCATTTGACAGAATCTGTCCTGTTTTTTGAAATAATTAATCAAGAACTTATGATTCTTATCCAATAATTTGATTTAATTCCAAATAAGAGATCTGGAACTTGATAGTCCCTGTGGGATATTAAATAACAATCATTCATTTCCCCTCAATTATATGTATTCATTAGTACGATCAATATACTATTGAAATCTGGAAGTTTCAATAACTCTATCAAAATGCATTAACACTTAGATTAGTATATTTGTTCCGATTATTTCTATGTGTAAACTAAGTCATATAATCCTTGTCATGGCATCAAAATACATACTTGTGATACTGCTCTTCAATACAATAGCCTATTCAATATAAAATATAAAGTATGTGAATGACAAATCAATTCACCTGCTGAATTATTGAATGATGCACATACCAATATATTCATAAATCATTGGAAGCTGTAATCTGTTGCTAAGAGCATGGTGTGTATACATAGACATTTGACACATCATTTCTTATTCATTAGTTGGATCTTAGTTGATAAGTAATATCTTTAATAGCATTTTATTGTTCCTCTTACTCTCCTAGACTTAAAGGTTGTATATGACATTGTGAGTTTAAATAGCAACCAGCGATTGTTTTCTATCAGTAATCACAAGCCTCGGAATACTATTATCAATGGACATTAATAAGAAACACATTCCACCCCATTGTTCTTTACCAGTATTAGATAAACACCGTTAATTGGTATTGATAAATTCAATGTAAATGGCGCCCTTTTTGTTTTCTGGTCTGAAACGACCGTAGAGGTTTTTCATATTTTGTATCAGGGAGAATGTATATATCTATACAAGATATTGGTAAAACTGGAAAGTATTCCATTCGTATTGTCACGTAGCAGCTCCAATAAGTAAATGATGAATTCTGTTATGGGAAACAGTGATCCAGGAATCTGACAGGATACTATTGATTATGGGTAAAAATATCTTAGATTGTGCTATCAAGAAGGAGTCTGATTAACATGAATAATCAATCTTCATTACATGGTGGCAGCCTTTACTTATCCCAAGATATAAGAATAATAAATCTAGCTCCTGGTCAAATACCTTTATCTCAAATGCAATGTATTTTAAAGCTGAATCATTAATTTTGGATTAAGCGATAATTCTCTCCAATTAATATGATTAATTAATACCCCATGATGAGAATACAATCTATATTACATAACATTGAATCTAAATTTACAAGTTTCACCTTGTTTGCAAAACTATTATGTTCAAAATCAATCATTCGAAAATCTAGCTTCTGGTCAAATACCTTTATCTCAAATGTAATGTATTTTAAAGCTGAATCATTAATTCTCAATTAAGCGATAATTCTCTCCAATAAATATGATTAATTAATACCCCATGATGAATATACAATCTATATTACATAACATTGAATCTTTTACAAGTTTCACCTTGTTTGCAAAACTTTGTTCAAAATCAATCATTCGAAATAATCATACACAGAACTTGATTCTTATACAGGTGACAAATACGATAAGGAAAATGCTACTGTTAATGTCTCAATTGATTGCAAAAAAAGGCTAAACATTAAAAATGTTGTACCTTTCACTGGCTTCTTCCGAATAATGTAATTTTCTTTGGCATTAACATCTGCATCCCCACCTCCATTTTCAGTCCTCTCTGACTTTTTGCTTTCAGCATTGATAGCATTTTTCTCATTGATTTTCTCATCATTATTATTGTCTTTGTTTTCTTTGTTCTCATCACTTTCATTTTGAGCGGGTTTTGAATCATTATTTTTGGTATCACTGGAATCATTTTGTTTATCATTTGTTGTCCCTGTATCTGCATTTATCACAACTGGTTCAGTATCACAGTCTTCAGTAGTATCACCTTTGTTCTTATCACCATCTGTATCAGGCTTCTCATTACAATTATCGGAGTCATTGGCCTTGTTCTCCTTTGATTCAGATTGTTCTGTAGTATGAGATTCTTTTTTTGAATGTTCTGATTCATCAGTGTCATTGTCTGATTGCTTTAAATTTTGAGCATCTTTGTTATTGTTGTCTTTACCCACATCTTTCAACTCATCTTTATCTTCCTTTTGAGATTCAATGTTTTCATTTGGCTCATCATTATCACTCTGTTCTGTATGATTAATGATATTAACAGAACTATTTTGGCTCTGAACTCTTGGTGTTGCATCAAAGCAGCTTGTGATTGGTTCATTTGAATCATCCTTTTCCTCTCTGCATACTATTTCTGTTCGTTCACGTTTCAATGAGGGCTGTGAACCTGTGGAGTCCCCCTTCTTGTTATAATACTTCTCTACTATGTGTCTAAGTATTGCACTACAGGTGGTTAGGCGAAAGTTATCTGAAGAAAAAATCAAAATGTTTTAAACAAGAATCGAACGCAAGATGTTTTGATTCACTGTTGTTTCACACTACTCTGGACACACCAAATGCTGCAAATTTATCAGCAGTGGAAGTACTTTTTGAAAGACATCTAACAATTTATTTACTGTCTTTAATGCAAATATTACCAAGGAAGTGTGATAAGCTATCATTTAGCCATCTAGCCTGAACTACAAATAATTTGTATTGCACATATGAATCCAGATAGGCAAACTACAAAAATAACTTTTTGAACATTCATTCAGACACCCTACCTATAAATGCATCTTTTCCTTCATCATTTAGGAGGAAACAACGAGGGAAGAATGTGTCCGCATTAGTGGGAGCATACCATATCAGATCATCTAGTACCGAAACAAGGCTTGACTATAATAAATATAAAAAATAAATATAAAAATCCACTTACATGTATTGAATTACCTCTTTGAGTTTTTACACCAGTTGTATACATAAAAATATGTGGCAACTTCAGAATTATGCTAATTTCACTGTAAATTGAGGCTTCTGATTGGCCAATGGAGGTGAAATCTGGCGAATTGCCTAGATGAGACCTATCAACGGTATAGCGCTGAATGCCCTATATAAATAAACAAATTTAATATGGTCTCTAATTGATATCATAATTGTAAGATAAAAGAATAATGTAAGGTTCAGGTGTATTGAAGCAGCCGTAAATAAAAAGACTAATTTGACTCACCTTTGTTGAAAATGAACGCCCTTTGACAAAATGGTTGACAATCTGGTCCTCACTGAATGTGTTATAATGATTGTTGATGTAGGCTGCACCCGACCAGATGAAGTCAGAAATCTTGTGTCGAACCAACCTCGACTGAAATATAAAAGGTAACAAGTGATAATCAACTTTGTCTCTAAAAACGTATGTGGGGATAATATGATTATGTGGAGCAGCCATTTCTTTGTTATTTGAGATTTCTGCTCTTAAAATAGCAGAATTTTCTCGATTATAAGCCCTGGCAAGAAGGGGTAATTTCGTCTGTTATTTTACCTCTTAAATTTAGGGGGCGTATATGCGAGAAAATCCGGTAGCAGGATTTATTAGAAAAATTGAACATGATGCTTACAACACTATGTAGTGGAAAATATGATTTTTACAAGATACATGTACAGGATACACTGCATATGCAGTACTATGACTTTGAGAGATATCATTTTTATCTACTAGTTGATATCAATATCTAGATGACTAAGCGGAGTTAATTTGTGCAAATATTAGGATAGGATCACTGAGTGAATAAAATGTTAAAAGAAAAAATGATATCATCAAAATAAAACAAAATAAAAAACAAAGGGTGTTCTATTTATCCCATAGTTCATCAATTTCAAAATAAGCATTCAATTTTTTTTTATTTTTTCCCTCTTGTACATCACATTGGTGGGAGTTTCCGAATCTGTGGAAAATGTGACATCTGTGAAATAATTTCTGTATTACACAGATATCCTTTTTTCCATGTACATTTAAAAAATATTTTCAATATAATTGTGTGTTACCAAACAGATTTGACCTTAACTAATGAATATTTACACATGTACTACAAACCCATAAACGGTATATATTACCAATATATTACCATCATCACTTGCTACATATAAAGGCTAATACACTCCATCTTAAAAATTAATTAATCATACTCAAAAACTCTAAGTTGTCTCGAAGAGCATGTTAAGCCTGGAGGTCAGTTTGTATGACAGTTCAACAATTGCACTTCAACAGTTCTTGAAGTTGTCCTACAACGCTCTTGACGACTAATTGATTTTGGGGTCTGTTGAAACATTAACCTCGGCTGCATGTTAACATACCATACATGAATAATTAAATTGATTATTGTTATACTTCTGAGAGTATAAATTAGTGAGAAAGGATTTCTATTGTTAAGGCTGATAGGTGCTCGTAGATCTATATTGTAGTTATGAATGATAAAAGCTCCATGTTTTCCTTCCATATATAGCCATTTTAACATCTATGCGATATTGATTTCATTTGTTGTATTTTGGAATTAAAGTAAAGAAACCTATTTTACGACGGCACCCGGAATGTCATTGCCCTACAAAGGGGAGGGACTAAAAACGGAGTACTCAACCCATTGTTATTAGAGGTCTTTTACCCTGGAGATGTGATTAGACATTGTGCACTTAGCCTGCCACACTCTTCAAAGGGAGTAGAGTGGTGCCCTGAGAGCAACCTATACTATCAATAAAATACTACACATGAACATACATACTTAAAATAAATACTTCAATGTGCAGGCCCGTAGCCAGGGGGGGGGGTTCGATGGGTTCGAGCGACCCCCCCTCCCGTCATAAAATTCTTTCAAAATCATGCAGTTTTTTATCATATCATTCTGAGCACTTTTTGGCCATTTTTGGACCAAAATTGTCAAAAGTGAACCCCCCCTGAAATTTTTCAAAAAGTGAACCCCCTTGGCAAATTCTGGCTATGGGCCTGATGTGGGTGATTCTTTGCTTACCGTTATTGCATATAAACCATTCTCTTCTTCCCATGGCATGATCCCATTTTGGTCTATAGATACCTCTGAAAAAGATTAATGAAAATCATCATGGCTTCAAACTAGACATTACACAAAATGGACATGCAGGTCTAACATTGAGGATAAAAATTGATAGTTTTGCTTAATTACATGAATCTAGGTCTAAAATAAATAAAAAGAGCACAACCACAATAATGACAATAATTCTTTCGAGTCTTAAGGGAATACTACAAACACCTGATTAATTGTCAGTGTAAAATATCTCTATGACTATTGATTTGATATCTAGCAAATTTTGCTTGGAGGCAGGATACTGTGAGACTAAAATCAAGGTTTGATATTTTAAGGTGTAAAATATACCCGTGAGATTTGATTTGTTATTCTTAAACAAAAGTAATTTTGCTTAGAGGCATAAAAACTTTCATCTAAGTAAAAAAAATTTAATGGACGATACTATTAATCATATGTTATTTCAACCTTTCAATAGCCAAAGTAACTGATTGAATAAGTATCAATGGACTGATAAAGGGGAGAGAGTAAAACCATGTATTCTTTTCTCAATTGAATTCATCACTCACCGTATTCTTCAGCACCATACACAACTTTTTGTTCATCATCCGAATCATATCCTGAGATAAACTTGAAGCCCCCCACCTCTGCCTTGTGAAACTTCTCTACCCATCCACGCCGTCTCAGACTGGCCCTCACATAACGGTCAACTGGGTAAGGGGCATCTATTTGAAAGATTTTATGGTTCTGAAAAAAAAATCATAAATAGTATGTTGATTAGAGGAATAAACAAACCATTTGGTCGGTTAGTAATTTATATAATGAACATTTTTCATATTTAACAAGACAATTTTGTAGCTGTAGAGTTAATTGATTCCATTAATCATTCTGATATTGAATTATGTATTGCATTGAAGTGTACAAGAACTCTATAGATTAAAGGCTTTAATTTAAACAGATTAACAAAGCACGAACATGACAAAATATAACCACAAGCAAGTGGTTACAAAAGTGTAACAATAGATACAGATGCTAACTGGAAGTTATAATAAAAATGGAAGCAATATGTTACCACTTGATTCTATGATCAACAGCATTTTTGTCACAGTCTATTTCTTTCTATTGAATTCCACTCTTTGTCATTTAGTTTTCTGGTTTTAAAACATCGTGTTAGCTCCCTGAGACTATTATTCATATCTTACCTTGATTGCACGTTCAGCTGTAATGTGTGCTTTCTTCTCGACCTGAACAACCAGCAGACGTGGCACAATTCCCGATGAAGGATCCTTCCTATGATATTTTGAAGATTTTGCCTTCATACTTCTCCCCCTTGCATACTTTGGTGTTGAATGACTTGTGTGACTTTTGGGTTTTGGTTTTAACCTTGGAAAATGCACAGCTGATTTTACCCTCTCTGGCTTTTGATTGGGATCATTAGGGTCTTTGGGTTTTTTAGGAGGGATAGGTCTCTCATAGTTCATGTTATAATTAGCTAATCTAGCATATGCCTCATTTCGTTTTTCTATATGGGGTAACGTTACACTGTTTGCATATGGGCTGTTTTTTAAACGATCTAATTGTGTAGGGTCCTTCATAAACGATTCTTCCCGTGATTTTTTGGATGATTTCGCCCGCTCTTCTTTCTCAACCAATAGCGTTCTTATCCATGTATCCCTGCTAGTATTCCCTAGATCCTTGAATTTTTTATAGCCAATTTTTGTAGTTTGCTCCCGCCTTTCAACATCAACGTCAGCAGCCATATTTGGAGAGTTGGTCGGTGAATGCAGTTTGCGTCAGGGTTTTCAAAGTTGCAACATGGATCTACACGTTGACATATGAACTGAAATAAATACAAAATAATTGTTATGATGATGAAGATGAATAAAATTTGAACAATATACTTTATATTATATCTAAACAGACACTACATAAGATATTCGTTTCTTACCCATTAGCTCAACATTTACCATACATTTTATTTCCAGTTCAATTCAATTCCACAGTATGTCCTTAGATCAAAATAGTTATCAGATTAAAACTAGTATTCTTGTGACAGTTTCCGTCCGTTGCCCTCAAAACAAACAAATCGTCACTATGAACAGCTTTTTATACCATAATAGATCGATACACTGCTATAGCCAATAGAATGTATAGCATACTGCTAAGATCAATTCTAATGACAGGCTGGCGAAGGATAAAAATTAATAAATGATTATTGTCTTTCATAGTTTAGTTTGAAAACAAGAGCAAGAATCACCTGCCTGAAATGTGCTACATATTGTAAATTAATATACAGCTGAGTATGGTTGTTTATTCCAAAATAACATGTTTTCCCTAGAAATAAATAGGGAATAATATTGATATTCAATGGTCATGATGGGATATGAATATTTTTTCCCGAGAAAACAAGATATCGATATTGTATTTTACCTTAGAATAAAATTCATATTCCATCCACCAATTAAATAATATTACCCATGTGAACCTCAATTTTATTTTCCTGGCCTAAGTGCTATAAATTATTAGTTACCTTGAAGAGAATGTATTGATTAATAACAGTAGACAGGTAACAAGCCGGGTAAGTAAATATGATATTGTAAACGAGGACTTTACACCATTCAGCCTCAGCAGAACAAGAATCAATTATGTTTCTATTTGGATGAATGGTATACAAGTTATTATAGTCTCCCAATCTACTTCTGTAACTGTTAATATTAGGTAATTTAATTAATGGAGTGTAAGGGGTGCTTGATAAAATTGCAACTCCTGATTGAAAATAATTATTAGTTTGCGTATGTGTTTATAAAGTATTCTTAGGCATTCTTTAATTAAAAATGTGCAGGTTGGTTTTGGAAGATTGATTACATGTATTTTGCGAATATATACAGTATTGAAAAATCAATTGTAAATCCTTCACTTATTCTAAACATATAATCTAAAATTTATTTTAAAATTGGTCCTTTTAAAAATATTCATCCTTCATCTTTTATAATAGAAATATCTGAAATTTTTAAATATATGCCTAATATATATTTTAAAAAGGATGCTTCAATTGAAAAACATTTGTCCAAACTTCCAAATTCACTTTACTAAATAGAGATGACATTTTTGTTTCCATGTTGCAGCTCTATTTCCAGATATTCAGCTGCTCAATATATTTAAATTCAATAGAAAATTTAAATAATAAATGAGAAAATATGCCATATGCAAAAAAAAAATATCACTTTCCTTTTCTGTAATGTAAGTTAATTATATCACACTACTATACCTTGCATTTGGTGTTCATGAGCAACCCATTTGGCTTATTAGTAATGATTATGTATTTGTTTCTATTTGTCTGTTCCTTATGAATGGTTTATCGGTTGAAAATTAGATGCTAGTAAGGCACTTTCAAAAATATATTAAACAATTCAATTAGACAAACAAAGTATCTTATGCATTTCTAGGTGTTAGGTATAGTAGTGTGATATGCATAAGCATAGCCAGACAGGGTGTGATGGGTGCACCTCCCCAATAACCAATGAAAATACAACCATGGGACAGTAGAAAAGAGCTTTAAAATGCTTTTGAGGCATCAATTTTGTAAAATTCAAAACAAATCTCTTGTTTATGCCAAAATTGCACCCCCCCGACTGAAAACCAAAATATTTTTTGGCGATCACACCCCCCCCCCCCGCTGACCGAAAGCTGGTTACGCCCTTGATATTATTGCAACTATAAAAAATCTGAGTGGGTGTCTAAATTGTAAATACAGAATTTTGCATAGATGATCTTGATAGCTAATTTGACATTAGTTTCTCAATATTAGGTAGATGTGTTATATTTACCATAAGATGATCCTGTATGTAAATACATATAATATTATGTTCATATTTATCTTAAATCTTTCTGTCTGTCTGTAGGTCATTAATACATAGAATGACCCTCAATAGTCCTATTCAACTTTAAAAAAGATCTGTTATGTACTTAATCCTAAATTTTTCCCTTTTGAGTTTGAGAGTAAGTACATTCTCAAATATTGTCATATTGCTTTTAAAATTGCTGAATATATATGTATAAATTCATTAGATCGTGAAATCCTGATCTACAGAGAAAACATAATCTCTGATCTTGAAGTTCTGAAATAAAGATTAATCGGGATATGAGACATAAGTAGCATTAAGTCGTAAAAATGTAACCTATAATATTAATTCTATAAACTTACACTCTGTGAAAATTCTTCATTATTTTTACTTTTACATCCAAAAGTAATAGAAAACAAGAAAATTGCGTCGAGCAAAATATAATTCTACCTCATATCACTGACCTTATGTTATATTGTATCAATTCTAGTAAGCTGACTCTAGCTCCCTTTATTCTGTAAGCAATTGCTCGATCGGTGCAGGCAACATATACACAACTAAAACTGACTTCTATCAAATTATATAACATTACCAAAGTAATCTACTAATCTCATAAATTGGCCTTTAAATGTCCTTTTAAGCTTAGAATTCTATTTTCAGTCTATTTCAAATTGTGTTACAGTTACTATGAATCTATTCATTCATTCAGCTTATATTTACATATGAACTGAAACTTATTCATTCACCCATTTTTTATACATTGGTCTTTGATGAAATCCATAGGCAAGAATGAACACTGTTTCTAACTATCTACACAGGTTCTAAATCTACATCAAAGATTTTAATCTCTCTATCTAATTATAGAGAACATAATAACATGTTATTGTAACCCCAACTTTTTCAATTTTGGATACTCCCTAACTTCTGAAATTGAATACGTCTGGTACCAACTGTTTGGTATGCAGTGAAGGGCTTTGAAGGATAGGACAATATAGTTTGATATTGATCTAGGATTGAATATTGAACTATTGAATAGCCCTTAAACTTCAAGAAGGTGTGGTTTAAATTTAAATGCACGTAAATAAATATATGTTCAATACACCAGAATAAAAACCGTTGCTTAAAAAAGTGAGATATGCGTCACTTTATGCTCTTGATATTCCTAAGTACGAGTACATGATAAACTTTATAATAACTATAAACTTTACAGAAATGTAAAGTGAAAGATCTGGGATGAATGACTTTAATGCATTCTAGCAACTGAGTAAATAATATCAAATACTGAATTTAAAACACCAAAGAGCAATCAATCACGGGATGAAAAGCAAATGGCAACACCTTTTTGTTCTTTTGTAGGCCCAGATGAGCTTTACAGTATATCATTTTCATCATTTGCCCAGTTTTCATAATATAGTAAACTACCCATTATACTTAAAATTTATGTTTGAATGCATAAGCTAGACTTAATGCAATCTTTTTACTTTTGAAGCTAGCAAGGCTGCTTTTAACCATGATCAAATTAGAATGGGATTCCCAATATCCTTCTTATAATGTTATCACTTTTCAAATTGTCCACGAAGACATAAAATGCAAGTCATTTTTTCCTTGACTGCACCTTTTACAATTTAGTGATGACATTCTTGTTTTAGGCGACCCAGACAAATCGTTAAGATTTAATTATCAACTAATTCTAAAAGTACATTTATTTATTGATTGCACCACATGTTCTATATAGATTTTCAACTTTGATTAGATATCACACCACATGTATATGAAAATTATTCAGAACCCCAGAGAGATAATGTGGTTACTATACCGTCGTGTGTAGGCTCCGGGGTGTAGGCTAAATATCAAAAGAGTTAATTTGTCCCAAAATGCATTTCTATATCTATTCAAGTTTAACAATTGATTTACAACAATTTAGCTTGTTTTTCAGTTCGCGCTAATTCCTCTTCCACGAATTGCGCGTAACTTAAAACCTCTGTGTAATTTAGCACATCTACAGTAAATGAACATAATAAGCATGCTAAAGAAATCTCATAATTTCAAAGTACATGTATCTGTATATACGTAGTTATGACTACTTTGCAAAAAGACATGAAAACGTGTTTCATTTGTTTATTGTTGATTCTTATTACCAGATTGATTTAAATACAGATGTACCAAATAATTTTGAAATAGATACAGGTAAGATAGAGGTTAGGGTATCAATTATATTTGTTCTGTCAGTCTGACCTAGCTCATGCATGCCACTGCTAGATGGTTTGAAGAGGTGTTATCCCCGGGTGTTATCTAACCCTGTTATCTAACTGAAAGAATACTGTAGATAGGCTGGAGAATCATTGACTGATAATTGACCTGAGACGTAAATGTTTTATGTCATTGTTATCTAATTGTTTGAGCATTTCAGTAAAATTATATGTAGGTTTTATCAACCTTCATTTATGATATTTCAAAATCAATGATGTGTATGTAGGTAGAATACACTCCATGGAGCAACATGTCATTATAATTGAAAGTGGCTGGTTACCTTGCATCATAAACCAGCTACATGATACTATAGCTCAAAACTACTTTTTATAACATTATTCTTTAAGACTGTGACAAGGAAATACATGTACACACAAGTTCATTACTGTGAAACCAATCTAGTTGAAAGCCCATGATTAAACACAGGCCATCCAACTGTCCCGTAATTTGTATATTTGTTGAAGTCATGCGCATTGTTTTATCTTATTGTCAAGCAGAAATATTTCAGGAGAAGAAAACGATCCCTGAAAAAAAGTACACGGTTCATTTGGAATGTTTACATGAAGTGCGTACATTTATGTGTGACGCATTTGCTTCAAATTTCAATATACTGTAGTTGATAAAGTTGGTAAAGAGATCTTATACAAACAGAGAGATTCATGGTAAAGGCTAACAGATGGGGTGTGAATTACCTTATCTACCAAACAGCCTCCTGTAATATACATGTACAGTAGTTCAAATGCAGACACATGTTCTAAAAAAATTAAAAATCAGACAAAAAGTTTAAAACTTTTTGCAAAAACACCTATTTCTACTGAATTCTTGAAACAAGTTGCATCCAAATAAGGTTAAAATAAAACAAATTATGATTATTCAATTCACCTTTATATGATCAGTGTCCTGTGTCATCCATTTTAACTATAAATCACACTTCTAAAGACTTAATCCGTTTTGTGTACAAAGCATCTCCATGACTGCTTAATTGAAATGTCAAGGTCACTTAAAACTTTTGACCAATCAGAAATTTCCTTACAAACCAGTTTGGGAAGTTTGTAGAAAGTTTTCGAAAATAAATTATTTTATGATTTTGTTACAATTTACCTGAGTTATGGATAATCAAAGCAATTCAGAGGACACAGAAACTCAAGAAACCGAATACTTCATAAATGCTATTGGAAAACGAATATTTTTTAACTCCTGGAAGCCTGAGAAGGAGCCAAGGTTAGTGAAATATTAGATAATCTACAAATTGAATTTTTCTTTTTGTGGAAAAACTAAGGAATTTGTCTAGATGGAAAAAGAAGTCAATAGAGTAGAGCAAACCTCGACTAAATAAGCTTATAAAAGAAAAATCCTGTGGTGGAAAAACTTGTGCCTGGAAATAATGCCTGGTGATTACTCGATTACATTTTTGCAAGAAATCGTCCCATTTGGCACACCCCCATAAATGTGGGGTTGAATTGGCGTTTTTTCTTATATTTGATCATTCTTGTTCCAATTGGCACTAAAATATTAAAAAATAAGAAAAAACGCCAATTCGACCCCACATTTATGGGGGTAATTTGGCACGCAGTGTTCTTTCAAGAAATGTTGTTTTGTCTTTTGTCTTGGATTGTGTTCACCAGTTTGCCCTATTTAAAAACATCTAAATTGATGAACTTTATCTTGCTCGGTTGTGAACAAAAATAATACAAATGGCTTCATGGCTGCTACAACGGCAGAATACAGAGACGGCTTTGGAAGAAAGTAACCTGGTGCTACATGCCGTACTGTCAACCCCCAAAGATTTTCTCGCCGGATAGATTTTTAGACCCAGTTTCCAAAATTTGCAGGATTTTGCAATGACATCCACCTATATGTAAATTCCCGGGATTTCGTGGGACATTTAAGTGATTGCAAATTTTGATCAAATTCGCGGGATTTTGCGGGACCATTTGAGGGACAGACACACTAATTGCAGGACAGTTAACAGGGTATTTCTGAACAATAGTTTGCACTTATGGCATTCGTGACAAACTATGAAACGCTTACCCCCCATAGTGTTATATATTAAAATGTACCTATCCATATCGGGGTTCGATGAATCTGCATAAAATTATAGGGAGTCAGGTTACTTTTCGAGATATCAGCGTCCATTTATTGTAACCCGCGTTTGCTAACATTTTCTCAGTTCTGAGATGAAGGCCACACACATAGTAAAAAGGCCAAAGTTGAACTATTTGTGATCCCTATTTTCATAATTAAAAGCCGACAATTGCTGGACACGCGAATTAGCGAATTTTGATTCGCAGGATAATCCCGCCATTTGCGGGACACTTGACAGCTCTGTACATATACAAATTGCACATATGACGACAAGTCAAGTATTATTTCATAATATATATATGTTCGCTCTATGACAATCATGATGATCTTCAAAACCTATTATTCAAAACACATGAAACATCTTCCTTGGAAAATGATTTTTACATAATGAACTTTGTTATTGAAAACCTGGATTTAATCGTTCATCTTTATTTATTAGTCAGTTGCCTAAAACGGGTACATAATAGGCCCATGCAGAAAGGCTCATGTCTACATGTAACTAGACGGGGATGCCCCGGCTCTGATGAGTTGGAGTATTGGAGTTTTGACTTACGTCAGGGTCACCTTCTATATCAGATTTATAAATAAAGACCCTACAGGTGCATCTATGGATCTAACATGCATCTTGCATCTTTAGTGTCAGGTATCCAATATTGTTGACCCTTTTTAGTTTGGGTAAGGTTTGAAATGAATCTATATTATTGCATAGAGGGAATACCAAAACCAAATTATATTGATTTATTTTCAGTTTCATTTTCAAAATCTTTAGCAGTAGTATGCCATAACACTGCTTGATTTATCCCTAAAAATCACAATGTTTTTATATTGGCCTTGCCCCAAGGGTGAAATTATCACGTTAAACCTAGCTTGGCAACAGAAGGTTTAACTTAGTCGAAGTTGAACCTGTGATTATAGAAGTGTTTAGTCAATCCAAATATGTTCTCTATTGGTTACACTGTATCAGCTACTGATTTGATTTGACATACATGTATTGTCACACATTTTAGGGGTTTTAGAATAGTTATTAGAATTATATCAAAAACCTATATTGGAGGCTGCCATTTTGAATTTATGTTTCTACGATTGTCATCACAGCACTTTAATATTTCCATAGTAGGAGGAAGATACAGAGACATTTTTTTTATTTATCTGTTTATTTATTTTACTTTATTTAATGGTTACACTAGATACACTATATAATGCTGCAATAAAACGATAAACATAGGCCACCATCGACCTATAGGACACCGGACTATGGAAATTCACTAAATATCAATATAGAGTCATTAAATATTGTCAACTAACCCTCTAACTCTACAAGAAAACAAAGGTTTTTCAATCGGATGGTGCCATATTGTTAGGAAATTATTTAGTTTTAAAATGATATATAGTACATGACATTGTTTAACATATATCATATAATATTTATCTTTAAACTTGGGTATTGGAAGTTTTGGCCCACCCTGTATATAACAACTAAGCTCAGAAGAGAGGTTCATGACCTTAGCCAATGACTCTATGACCTGATTCACTATACACAAAGGCTATTATATTGATGCCAAATTTGTATGTTTCCAGGGCACTGGTACAAATTGTTCATGGAGCGGCTGAGCACTGTCTTCAGTATAATGACCTTGCCAACTTATTGGTAGCTAAAGACATCCTAGTTTTTGGACATGATCATGGTGTGTAATTTTATAAAAAAAATAATTTACATAAAGTAGATATGCAAATGGTAATTTTCTAAAAGGTATAAAATACCTTCAATAAATGAAGTTCGGAAAAAATAATGTTTCTATATATTTCATGCATAGAAGTTTATAAATAGCTTTTTGGGATAGTTGGGGTTTGTTTTCCTTATGACTGATGTACTCTTGAATGTTTTCTTTTTCTTTCAGCGTTCTGTAAGCATTTTGGGTACTTCCCCATTGCCTCTTGCACATACATATTTACAAATATACTGTCAAGGTTTAGTTGGCAACTGAGCTATCATAACCTGAATTGTACAATTGTTTGGTTTTGTTCCAGTTGGACATGGCCAAAGTGATGGGGACAGAGTACATGTTGATACATTCCACACATATATTGATGATGTCATCAAACTTGCCTCAGATCTGAAAATGAAATACCCAAACATTCCTTTAATCCTCATAGGACATTCCATGGTATGAACTATAGATTAATATTTTTATGAATGGCCATCTTTGGATCTTATGTATTTTTCTTTGTTTCACCCCTTCTTATGCTATGTTTTAATTTTTGATGTAGAGAGTCTCTAAATCTATATCATTATGTATTATGAATGAAAAAAATCGACGACATTTGATTTCATATTGTAAAATAATCAAACATTGTTACATGTTTGTCAAACACAATACGGTATATGAATGACATATCACTAACATTTTTAGAATTGCACCCCTAGTTTTAGTCTGATGTTTTTAAAAACACATAAACATGTATTAGGCCTATATGTGTATAAGGGAGAATCAGGACTCATCATACTATCGAAATATTTAGTAAAAAAACAAAAATGAAAATGAATCCAACAATAAATTTTTTTTATTTTTTTGAAATATGGACTATATCTGTTATATTGTAGGGAGGTCTCGTTGGAACAATGACGATACTAGAGAGGCCTGACCTATACCAGGGAACAGTTCTCATTGCAGCTGCATTACAATCAAACCCAGAAACAGCCACACCTATGAGGGTACATTTTTTTCACATGTCTTTGCAAAGGGGTCAATATCATTCCAAACTCTTTAGATAAGAGTGAAATATTTCAAATTGCTGGGCAAATCAGAGAAATGAGTTCAGCTTATATTTATGATTTTTTATCATGTTCAACTAATTGATTATTGTATTTAAAAATCCATTAAGAAATATATTGTTCCTTGATCTTGTATCATTGTGAAATCTGTGTCACATTTTAATAAATTGTGCATAAGATTTGAATGAAGCTAAAAATCTAAAACTCTTGAATGTTTTAGCCTTGACAGAGGGTATTGTACTCATGAAGAAGGTATTGTACTAGACAGAGTATAGTGTACTAGACAGTGGGTATTTTACAAGACAGAGTGTAGTGTACTAGATAGAGCGTATTTTACTAGATGAAGGGTATTGTAATAGACACATGATATTGTACTAGACAAAAGGGTATTGTACGAGACAGATAGTATTGTACCAGACAAAGGGTATTGTACTAGACAGTGGGTATTTTAATGTAGTGTACTAGACAGATGGTATTGTAATAGACAAAGGGTATTATACTATACAAAGGGTATTATTCTAGACAGATGGTATGGTACTAGACAAATGATATTGTATTAGACAGTGGATATTTTACTGGACAAATGGTAGTGTACTAGACAGAGAGTATTTTGCTTCATAGAGAGTAGTGAACTAGGTAGATGTTGGTGTACTTTTCAGAGAGTAGTGTACTAGACAGAGTGTAATGTACTTAGGTGAAGTGCTAGATTACCAGGGTTAAATACTAGACAGTGGGTGTTGTAACAACAGAGGATGGTGTACAAGATAGGGGGTAAAGTGAAATAGCAATATTTAGAAGTTATGTCACTATTTGGTGAAATATGGCTGAATTCTGCCAATATAGGCCGACCTTTGGAGGCTCTACATTTGGTCAAGAATGAAGGAATAATTCACATCATAGTGATATAATTGATGTATTACATACCATTATTCCCTTAACTACTTTGTATCAATGACGTCACACAACTGAATGAGAGTAAAATTTGATGGAAACGACACATGACGTCATGTTATTGTCATGGTTATTAAAGACATTGGGCTATATCAGTGTATTCAGGTAATTCGGTGGAAAGCCCTCTTATTTTCCCATTGACTTCCATACAAATGCTTCGCTTGTAATACTATAAGTTATTGAATGATTTGAAGTGCAGTACAGGATATACTCTGCTCGAGAAATTCTGTATTGGAACGAGATGAAGTAGAGTGCCAATACAGAATATCGAGACAGAATATATCCTGTATTGCACTTCAAATCATTCAATAATGTTTTAATCGTGTGATCCTCCGTATTGCTACTGAGATTGCCCCCTCCGTACCAATATTTTCTGTATTGCGACGGAGATGATCAACAGGGACAATCTCAATAGCAATACAGATCGGTACAGCACTGACCAATCAGAAGGCTTCATTTTACAGATCAAATGATAAATGCCTGTATTGTACATTTTATGCTAATTTTCAGATTTGGGCAGCCAAAATTCTTGCTTACTTCTTCCCTCAGATGGGTATAGCTACAATAGATCCTAACTGTATTAGCAGAGATCCAGATGTTGTAAGTATTTCTAACTCCAAGTTTATGCCAACATGTATATGACTTTTGATTGCATGATTTTGGCATACAAATTTTATCCCAATGTAGTCATGGATAGTTTTGGAAAGGTTCAAAATAAAATATATAAATATATTCATAATTTTACTCAAGTAACCATTGATTTTGACAAGTTTGTTAATGACATTGTTATTAATGAAGAAATTGCAATTACCGATGAACCAGCTTGTGATACAGATACAGGGTGACACATAAATTCAGTCCTGTAATTAATCATTTCTTTGTAAAAATGTAAAAAAAACACAACAATGAATACCACACAAGTTTGAGCAGGATTGTAGATAGAAGTGTTAGTAATTTTTTTATTCCAAAGAAGAATTAAAAATTCATGAATGATATTACATTGTTGTCCATTGTTTCTTGAAAATGTCTGACATAATTTATCCTTGATAAAAGCATTTTTACATCTTATATGTTACACTCTCTTGATTGCAGGTAAAGAAATACACAGAAGACCCCTTGAATTATCATGGACCCTTAAAAGCAAGGTGAGATGATAGTACACTTCCTCTAAGTTTTTCATTTCCTCAGAGTGAATACAGAATTTTCCTCGGGCCCTGGACAAATTCCAGTCTTGAATTTTGATCAGTTTCTCCAGAATTTCCTGGAATTTTTGAAAGTATTAAATCATAACGATGTTTTGATTTGCTTTTATTGTTTTATATATTATTACACAGTACTGAATGGTATTCTTTTAAAATATTTTGTCCTTATTGGTCAGTTGAGGTGACCAATAAGTTTAGGTCATTTGATGGCACAGACAATTAGATTCACACAACTCACAACGGAGAAGGCTCTAAATTCAGTGCTATCTTCCCTGCCATAAATTTACCTCTTTACCTAGGAATTGCCCCCCCCCCCCTCCTTTTCATTCTTCCATCACACATTATTCCTGATGGTTCCTCCTAACCTACTCCTCTTTATTAATGGTTTATGTTATGTTTCCTACTTTTCTCCATCCATTTTCCTCTCTCTTAATCTACTACTAACCTACTGTTCTGTTATTATGATTGAGTGAACTAACTCAGATGTGAGCTTCATAAAGACTTTATTGTACCAGCTATCAAGAATCATAATATTACATCATGGCAGGCATCTAGGAAGGCCCCGGATGTCGGTCTTAAAGCCTGACACTTATGACGTCACTTAACATTTGTTTATTTAACATTTGTTTATTTATAGTCGGGTTTGAATAGGAGATAAGTTCACAGAATATTTCAAAAATATATAGAAGCAATCTTAAGGTGGATTTCAAAACTTCATGCCATCCTTTTGAGAACCTGAAGTGGCACCAAGCAATCCATTGACTTTTTCACCAAAAATCCAAGATGGCCGCCATAATGTATTGAAAAATCATAAAAATTGACTAAAGTTGTAATTTAATAAGTCAAAATAGTTGTATACTGATCAAACATGACTAATAATAGTACCTATTAGATGTTCATATGCATTTAAATTCATTGGATCATTTTTGTATGAAAACTGGAGTCCCACAAGGCTCAATTTTATGTCCGCTACTTTTTTTGTCTAATGATTTGCATTGACCATGGCATTTGCACATAGCAGTGAATACTTATCCATTTTTGTAATGTGTGCACCCAGGACCACATTTCACCTTGCACCCATACTTGACCAATGCTTGGCATGCCTTGGCTGCTTGAGGAAGGGATGTCAATAGTGGCACCAGTAGAGACATCTCATACTTCCAGCCCCATGTTGTGAACTCCTATACCAATTTTAGATGGAGATTGTACAGTTGCCCTCAAACAATACCACCTTGGTTAGCAAGTTCTTAAGATTTTCTGAACAAGGCCCCCTTTTGTTGATGATATTCTACTATATGGCCATCACAGAACATTCGTGCTGTATTGATATCTATCTGGTTGCTGGTTCGATCATATAATAGAACACAGTGAAGTGTTCTAGGGACTGAATGGCCTGAACTGACAAAGCAAGGTTTGTTGTAACCATTTGTAGCACTTGTAAAAAAGCTGGAGTAACTTCAATGAGCACATTCCATAGCTTGAAGGCAGATTTTTTGCTATGGCCAAAGAATGGTGAAGCTAATATAATATAATTTAATACCTGTTATTTTTGAGAGGTATTAAAAATTGACACTTATTGCGCCCTTAAATGCTGCAGCCATGGCAAGAGCAACTACATCAGTATCTCAACTTCTGATTGTGAAGTCGTTTACCCTCTGAGGTCATGTTTTATATGAACCAAGAGTCTCGTTTCAGTTTCTTCATGAGCAATGAGTACAAGGTCCAATCATTGCTGTATCTGGCAATTGAGGAAAGCACTGAATATATTCTCCAATAGAAGTTATCATTTGCTTGTCATTAACATCAAACTCAGACATAGAGTTGGCCAGGAATGCAAACAGTCTAGTCTTGTTCCGTTGATTGTTAGAAAAGCTGGGCAATTCTTAGCCATCGCATTCTCTGCATAAACTATCCTTCTAGCACCAGTGCCACGATGAATCCTTGTTAGGGACTTCTCACTGTTTTGTAGGTAAACATTCCAGACAACATCTAGTAACACCTTCCAAAACTACCTTTACTTGGGATGAAAGGACCAGTTTCTAGACATTTAAGTAAGTCGTAGGTCACATGGCTCTGTGCTTAGCTAGGGATGACGGGATGCCAATCAAGACACGTTGACATGTCTGAGTTTTTCAAACATGAAAAACATGAGTTCCGGCCATCCTTAGCTAAGCACAGAGCCATGAGACCTACAAAGAAGCAGACTTACTGAAATGTTGAGAAGTTAAGCCAGATGGATCTGAAGTATTGGAAAAAACCTGCAGATGCAATTTTAATAGATGGCACCCTTCTGGTCTATGTGATGCGTCCTGGTGTGGCTACCAACTTCCAAGAATATGTTACCAATGTCTCATCCCAAGTTAAGGCAGCTTATGGAAGGTGTTTCAAGATTAGATGCCATCTGGGATGTCTACCAACAAAACAATGGGAAGTCCCTGACAAGGATTCATCGTGGCACTGGATGGTTTATGCAGAGAATCTGATGCCCAAGAATTGGCTAGGCTTTCTAAGAAATGGCCAGAACAAGACTGAGCTGTTAGCATTCCTGGCCAACTCTATTTTTGAGGTTGATGTAAATGACAAGCAAATGATAACTACTATTGTGGAATCTGTTCAGTGATTTCCTCACTTGCCAGATACAGCAATGGTTGAACCTTGTTCTCATGAAGAAGTTGACACTAAACTGTTTGTTCATGTAAAACAGATGACCTCAGAGGGAAAAAAGACTTCATAATCAGAAGTGCAGATACTGATGTAGTTGTTCTTGCCATGGCTGCAGCATTAGTCCACACGCTATGGCTCAGTGGCAGAGTCAAGGTTACCAATATCGCTTGGCCCCGGGTTCGATTCCCGGTTCAGACAAGTTTGTTTGTGCGTCATGTAATTCTGGGTGTTTGACTGAGTGGTTCACGACTCGTATAAAAGGCTGTGGTGTTTACCTTTATGTCTGTGTACCTGGGCACACAAAAGAACACAGGGCTCCTCCTGGCTCTGTCTTCGAGTGTAAAATATGTAAAGTACGGAATATACCAATGAGGTATTGCTCGCCAAATATGGCGGTAACCAAAATATAATAATAATATAAGGGCCCAATAAGTGTCAATCTGAATTGCCTTCGAACCTCTCAAAAATTACAGATATTAAATTATATTAACTGCATCATTCTTTGGCCATAGCAAAGGATCTGCCTTCAAGGTATGGAATGTGTTCAAGGAAGTTACTCCAGCTTTTCTACAAAAGAGTGGCACAAATGCTTACAACCAACCTGGTTTTGTAAATTCAGACCATTCAGTCCCTAGACTGTTTTACTGTTCTATTATATGATCGAACCAGCAACCAGATAGATATCAATGCAGCACGAAGACTAATGTTCTGTGGCGGCCATACAGTCATTGACAGAATACAACCAACAAAAGTAGGCCTTGCTCAGAAAATCTTAAGAACTTGTTAACCAAGGTGGTATTGTTTGGGGCCAACTGTACAATCTCCATCTAAAATTGGTATAGGAGTTTACAACATGGGGCTGGAAGTATGACATGTCTCTACTGGTGCCACTATTGACATCCCTTCTTCAAGCAGCCAAGGCATGCCAAGCATTGGTCAAGTATGGGTGCAAGGTGAAATGTGGTCCTGGGTGCTTACATTTCAAAAATGGATAGGTGTCCACTGCTATGTGCAAATGCCATGGTCAATGCAAATCATTAGACAAAAAAAGCAGCGGACATAAAATTGAGCCTTGTGGGACTCCAGTTTTCATACAAAAATGATCCAGTGACTTTAACCACATATGAACATCTAATAGGTACTATTATTAGTCATGTTTGATCAGTATACAACTATTTTGACTTATTAAATTACAACTGTAGTCAATTTTTATGATTTTTCGATACATCGTGGTGGCCATCTTGGATTTTTGGTGAAAAAGTCAATGGATTGCTTGGTGCCACTTCAGGTTTTCAAAAGAATGGTATGAAGTTTTGAAATCCACCTTAAAATTGCTTCTATATATTTTTGAAATATTTTCACCTAAATATTCCTGACTATTAATACAATATCTCTCCAAGAGTGAGTTACATAACACTACACCTACCTCTATTTTACCCCTTCATCTCCTCTTGACATTCTTTCAACCTCTGGGATTGATTTTCTTAAAAGTTTCTGCCCTCTGTCTCAGTTCCACTTGTGATATCTTTCCCTCGATTCATGTATATTCTGCCTGTTTCTCCATAAGTTGATACTTTTCCTTTTTCACCCATTTCTTCCCTTTCCCTTTGTAATCCCTTACACTGGATTATGACATGTATATTTATATGACAGCCCCACCCCCTCCCCCCCCAAAACTTGTACTTTTCAAAGTTATTTTTCTGGACTGCGTCTAACTTTCATCATTATTCAGTTTATTTTCATGACATGAAAATTCAAATGAAACCCTGAACTTGTGAAGATTGTGAAATTCTGTGACAAAACAGGTTTGTAAAATGCTGCAAAAATCTCCTTTCAAATGAAAATGATTATTATTAAAACCTCCCAAATAAACTGATATTTGATTAATAAGAATGGTTTGAAAGTTAATTTTCTCTATAGATATGTTTTAAATGAGAACAACAAAGATAGAATCAATACATATTTGTCAAAATTCTGATTTTAATTTGTCTTAAAGAGTGACCAGATCAGCTTGACCTAGAAGTTTTAACATAGGCCATCAATTTCACTTCCAAATATGGAAGGTACAAAAATAGAGCTGTCAATCAAATATTGAACTGTATCAAAGAGAAAGTTATATTTAGGTTTGCTGTTGATCAGTTGGGATCAGTTTTTCAGACTCAGAACTGAGGTTTTATATCAACAATGCTAAAAATATTTAACTCCTAAAAATGTAGTTGACTAATATACAGGTCAGTGTGACCTATTTGTAATAAATATTGTAACTGACCATCAGGTCTGGGAATACTATTTCTTATATAAAAACAATGAATGCAAACCAGTAATAGCAAAAAATGTCATAAGAAACAGCAGTTTTTATAATATTCAGATGTCATTTTGAAAAACATATTTATGGTAGACATCCTAATTTTTAGACATCCTGATTTTTCACTGATTTTCCTGCCATGCAATACGAGGGGTGATCAATAAGTAATGGACGCTTTTTTACATGGATGCTTATTATAGACCATTACCTTCAACTCTATCAACTCTGAAGATTTGAAAACAAAAGATGTAATATATTTTGATATATCTTTATTTCCGTGAAGGAGGTATAGGTACCCCGGGACCGACATGACATCAAACATTCTGAAGCTATTTTAGCTTGTTTAACATGTAAAGCAGTTAAATGCAGGCTGAACAAAACAACCCATTATGGTCATGATTTTGAATATTTTATCATCACTATGTGGTATTCATGCCACATTCATTCTACAGGGCCCTCTACATAGGTACCACCAAGTGTACACAATTCCTTATCCTTTTAACTCAAGATTGTGAGACAAGGCTGAATCCTTCTCTCACCAACCCCTTCTTCCACAATGCTTCCTCAAATTGACCTGCAAACCCTGACCATACAACACTCTGACATCACAATACTTACTGCTTGCGTGTTTCCAGTCAGAAAAATTTCACACTACCCTACCTCGATAGCGCATGCGCGAATTTTTGGGCTTTCAATCAGGTCGCTTTTAAGTATATCGACTGCTTAGTGAAAAGGTTAATACGTTTGGTGCTCGGAGTGAGTCAATATTGCTATTCGCTGAACTTCAGTGGTGCAATAGTGAAGTCCATGTTCCAAGTTATATGATAGTTGAAGAAAGAATGTAAATAATATCGTTTTAAATTTTTAAATATTTGACACGTCATAGTACACGGTACACAGCTGCAAAAGTTGATCAATACAGGGTACGAGGAATGTAAATTGTTCAATAGTACAGGGAGCGAGAAAGTAAGCTGATTATACAGACATACTATGTCCCGATCTCATGTATATTTACGTTGCAAACAGTGAAAATAATGCTAAAAAGGCCGCCTGTTGATGCTTTGAGGTGTCATCAATTGTTATTTAATCCAAATAAAGTAAACATTATTTAGTAGATTTAGACACGGGCTTTTAGGTCGTATATGCATTTTAGTCATTAAATTAACAAGAACGCTAGATTATACGTGTTAATAGGGTATCAAATTGAAATAAAATAACGAAATTAAATATGAACACGTAAGTGATAAATGACTATCGGCTATCAGGATTAATGACTATCCGCTATTCAGAATAATTAAAATTGCGTGAACTACATGTAAAGAATCTTTCTATATAACCCCTTGAATGGTCTAATTCACTACCGTCCTCAAAAACCGATCATTTAAAATAGTTTGTTCAAAATACCATCATGTCACCACATTTTGTTCTTCACGATTTGCTGTAGAGGTGATATGACGTCGTATTTCTCTATTGGTATGACTCCACCATTGTTTTGCCGTTTTACTACATGCCACAATCAACCTCACTGCCATCATATCAAACCAGGCCCATTTTCCATCAAACTTGGCCCAACTACTATCAAGTGGATGTCCTTCAAAAATCAAGTTGGCATGGTTACCAAAGCCTAATAGTTGCCATGGCAACCGTAGAAATGGGGTAAGAAATGAGAGCAAAAAAGCACCCAAACCCACCCCAATTGAAAGAAGCCTATGGAAAATCATCTCCAATTATCACCTTACTTACTATTGATAATTAGTTGAAAGTTAGGTGTAAAAATTCACATGCAAATGAGCTAATTATCAACTTAATTAACGCTTAATTTGCAACTTAATTAACGATTAACTACCATCAATATGCAAATGAGCTATTTGCGTAAATTAGTTGAAAGTTAGTTGTAAGTTTGATGTAAGTTAATCTCTAATTATCACCTAACTTACTATTGATAATTAGTTGAAAGTTAGGTTTAAGTGAGATTTGTGACATCTCAAAAATGACTCGCTTCTTTTTTTGCTTCTCTTCACTCAGAGATTTTTGCTTCATCTTGAACTATTTTGTGACGGAATATTCATCTTAATTAGGATCTTTCAGAACAGACAACATTGAACTTGAACTATTGAAATTTCACAGCAAGAGGAGGGAAAACCCCATGATTCAATTGATGACATACGATTTCCTCCTTCGCACACCTCCTTTTGTCGAAAACGTACCCTCCATCTTGGTTTTCAAAGTTTTCAAATTGACCTAGTTTTAAACCAATCAACGATCGACTCGCTAAACCAATCAGCGACGATGTCATCTCAATACAGATTTACATTATAAGTGTATGTCATTTTTAAGATTCATGAAAAGCATGTGAAAACATCATTATTGCCATCAACAACTAAAATCAGAACACAAACATTAGACTATAATGTTACATAATAAGGACGTAACAGATATAATCAAAAATTATGTTTTGAAATGTCTTTGATCTAACAATCATTATTTAGAAGAGCACATTTGGATTACTTGTGAAATATAGGTAACCCATGTTAGTACCTAAATTGCATTCTAGGATTAATATTATATGATCTGATTCAAAAAGATTTTTAAATTCATAAACATTTCAGACAGAAGTGTGAATAAGATTTAACATACATTGTATTCATGTTCTACATACCCTTATAATAATGTTGACCAAATTTCATGGTAGTATACGCACCATTCACGTTGTAATTCTCAATTTTATGAGAGAAATATCTCTCACATGTTTTCTTTTTCCACCATCTTGAAATTAAATTTAGGGGGTTTGTATTTCTAAATCATGGGCCTAATTTACGACTAATTATCATTATAATGTTAACTATCAACCAATAATCTACTTCAGAACAAAAATGTTTTAATTTACCACTTACTATCACCCTCAAACATTTCATATCTTAATTATCAACTAAAAATCATAAATCAGCATTATTGTAAGTTAATTTACGTTGAACTTGCTACTGATAATTAGGCCATAATTATCATTGATTTAATTAACGCTTAACTTTAATTCCAATTGCCAGCAGAATTGTTGATAATTAGTTGTAAATTAGTTGGTAATAAGTTGGTAATTAGTTTTATTTTTCAATTGGGGTACCATATTGGCACTAATTTATAAAATATTTCTAGACATACAAATTTTCTTAAACTTTGATATCATCTAGGACACTTCTAGACAACAAAAATATCAAAAATTGGGGGTAGGTTTACCACTTCAATTTTTTTCTAGGCTTGGTCAAAGTAAAACTACGAAAAAAGCACTCATTTTCACTTTTGAATCACCTATTATCGCCCAAATGGCTATATTTTTTCAAGGTCAAGGTTGCCATGTTAAAAGTAGAATTACGGAGATAAATCTGCTCTTCAGACAATGTTTGATGGCTTTTCTTCACCACGGAACAAAGATCTTTGCCCTGGTATGCCCATTTCCATGAGATGATATACGTGAAAGAGGAACTATGTCTTTAAGTGTCATCAAAACTTTATGCCAACACGTGAAAAGGCCATTTCCGCACTACTTTTGGTGTAATAATTCCTATTATTGTAAAAAAACTAATACCAGATCGATGTAGTCTTATATGACGTGTTGAATGTCAGATGTTTTTGGATGGTATCTGCCCCATTGATTTTACATTTAATCATGAAACGCTCATCACAAGACACCTCGAAACAAACATTATCCTCCTTGAGGAAAAATGTTTCACAATATGTTATGCCTTACGGCAAAATAAAGATACATTCCTGGGACGGCTTTTTTGCATCTTAAGATTTTAGAAAAACAATTAATTCACAAAAGTACAGTTGAATAACATACTGGAAAACGTATCCACATATAATACGATGACACGCAGTTTAAATAACAGTTTACTGGGGTTTTGTTACATATCAATGTAACATTTTCTAAGGGAAACTTACATGCTCCCTGTACGTTGACAGATTTACTGAAATGTATCGTGTATTGCATTGAGTTTTGCTTCACTGCGCCCACTATTATCTATCTTTGCCTATATTGGTTTTTTGCCAACAATATTCTACAAACTGCTTGATGAATCAATTCTATGTCTGGTAGAACACTAGAAATAAATGTAAAATGTATTTTACGTTCAGAAATATGGAATTAAACCCACGTCCTCCATTTGCAACTTAGCTGTACCCTGTTTCCCTTTTAAACGTGGTCACGTGGTAGGGTAGTGTGAATTTCAAACAAAACAACAATTGTTGCATATAAAAAAAAGTTTAAATCTAACTGAAATTTGCCAAACTGGATAAAAACTGAATATGTGACGTAAATGTCAGTCCCGGGGTACATGTAACTCCTTCACGGATAAGGATAAGGATATATCAACATGTATTATATATTTTGTTTTCAAATCTTCAGAATTGATAGATAATTGAATGATATATCAGTGGAAGGAAAATCAAAGGGATTGGTCCATAAAAAGAATGTGTGTAAAAAAGCGTCCATTACTTATTGATCACCCCTCGTATATCAATTTTAGAAACAAATATACTGAATGGTTCCCTGTTACTATGTACATCATCATATGGTACCATTTTGTGATTTTAAAATTCAAAGCTCAAAATGTAGGACAAATCTTAAGTCTGACTGATCGTATAAGTTGAGGAAAATATAAATAATGAATCTATTCACAGTTCTTCATAGATAGCAAGTAATATAGTTTATTAAAACACATTGGTGCATTTTATCTAATTTCTCTTTTGTAACTCAGATGGGCTGTTGGAATGATAAAAGCAATCGCGGATGTTGAACAGAAAATGGCTGATATAGAAATGCCTCTACTGATTCTCCATGGAACCGAAGACAAACTGTGTAATATATCTGGGTCTAAAAGACTCCATGAAGTCGCTAAAAGTACAGACAAAACACTTAAGGTATTTATGTAACTTTTTTATTACCAACACAGAATGTTCCAAATATACATTTAAAATGGTGCACAGTAAAACTTGTATATAGTGAACACATATGACAAAAACTTTACATTGTAAGTAGGTTTTACTACAAAGAGAGAATTTTATGCATGAGTCAATGTAGAATGTGTCTTAAAAGTTGTGTTCACTTAATACAGGTGTTCATTAGAAAGAGGTGTACTTAGACAGGATTTACTGTACACATATGTAGGGAATGAAAATATAAGTTCCAAAAGCTCTGAATCAGCACTAAACCATAGTACCATGATTTAAATTCAATGTTTGTTAAGTACTCAAATTAGTACTAAATCATGCCTGATTACATCATTGATTTAGTGCTAGTAATTCATCAAAATATAAGTGCTGATTTAGTATTAAAATAACATGTACTAAAATTAGCAAAAAGTCCATGAGTATTTATAATATCATATTTTCTTGTAACCAAGTATGACAGAATGGGGCATATCCTGCTATGTTCTATGATGACTGGCAATTTTACATATTTTACCTTTTTGCAATATTACAGCAATTTGAAAATCAAGAAACATTTGGGAGGTTCAACATTAATACAGTTCACAATTGAAATACCGTCTCCTCTGTAATTAGTGCCCAGCCCTTAATAAGTGCCCATCCCGCTTCACAAAGTTCAAGAAATATTGAGAAATGACCAAGTATTAACGAATTTATCAGAAAAAATAAAAGTTTAAGTGGGCAGTATTAGAGCACTTCTACTAAACTACTGTAAATGTGACGCATTTTGTAATTCGATGCATCCTCCCGATAAATATCTATCATTGAGAGCTTCCCACATCATACTAAACCAATATTATCTCAAAATACAGTGAAACCTGTAAAGTGGAACACCTGTACAAGTGGAATGCCTCTTTAGAACACTTTTTAAAGTCAACTTTTACAAAAAATATGATCTATCATTAAATTAAAAACTAGACATGTAAATTGAACAAGTTCAATTTAAGACTCCAGATTTAATTCTTTTTTTAAGCTGAGTCATCCAGAATACTTGTAAGCTGAGTCATCCAGAATAAGCTGATCGAGTCAGCTAGAATTTAGACATTTAGACAACTCTCCATTTTTTATCTTCGACTCCATTGGCTTAACATGGGGATATCATCATATCAACTTTTCGAGACTTCAAACCGCTATAACTATCTAACCAGAAGTTAGATTGTATTTTGGTTTAAAGATTCGGACTCCTGAGAAAATTCTACCCTTAATTCATAACTCATACATTAAATTTGGAGATTTTTTTATTTTGACCTACTTTTTGGACACCATATCTCAAAAGTGGGTCAGAATACTTTCTGACGGCAAAAGGCTATCACTATAAGCACACTCTTTGCTACCTGTATACAAAATTTCGAAGCAAATCATTAAAGTGTAATGTCAGAATCGCAAAAATAAGGAAAATTATGAATTTGCCCTAGATTTTGACCTTGGCATTTTGGTGTCCAAATTTTAAAGCTAGATAGCCTTCGAGGTCCCCTTCTTTTAAAGGCTTTCAGAATGTTAAGCTGTACTCAGTCTATATCTGGTATTTTAGACTTCAAAAAAATCTTTTTCCCTATTGACATAACATGGGGCACCAAATTTAGCAATTTTTGAGCTTTCAAACGCTATAACTTTCAAACAGAAAGTCGGATCGAAATTTGGTTTGCAGATTCAGATTCCTCAGAAAATTCTATCCTTATTTCATAACTCATATGCTAAATTCGGAGAACTTTTATTTTGACCTACTTTTCGGACACCATATCTCAAAAGTGGGTCAAAATACTCTCTGACGGCAAAAGGCTAACACTATTAGCACACTCTTTGCTACCTGTATACAAAATTTTGAAGCAAATCCTATAAGTGTAGTGCCAGAATCGCAAAAATAAGGAAAAACTATGAATTTGACCTAGATTTTGACCTAGGCATTTTGGTGTCCAAATATTGAAACTAGGTAGCTTTTGAGGTCCCCTTCTTTTATAGGAATTCATTATCTTAAGCTGTACTCAATCTATATCTCGTATTTTACACTTCAAAAAAATCTTTTTTCCTTGACTTTCTATCAGGATAACATCAGATCGATTTTTCTCGAAATTTCAAAACGCCATAACTTTCAAACCGGAAGTCGGATCGAAATTTGATTTAAAGATTCGGATTCCTGACAAAATTCTACCCCTTATTCATAACTCATACGTTAAATTTGGCGAATTTTTATTTTGACCTACTTTTAGGACACGCCATAACTTTGGAACTGGAAGTCGGATCGAAATTTGGTTTGCAGATTCGGATTCCTGAGAAAATTCTACTCTTAATTCATAACTCATATGTAAAATTTGGAGAATTTTTTATTTTGACCTACTTTTCGGACACCATATTTCAAAAGTGGGTCAAAATACTCTCTGACGGCAAAGGCTATCACTATAAGCTCACTCTTTGCTACCTGTATACAAAATTTCGAAGCAAATCCTAAAAGTGTAGTGCCAGAATCGCAAAAATAAGGAAAAACTATGTATTTGACCTAGATTTTGACCTAGGGATTTTGGTGTCCAAATTTTAAAGCTAGATAGCCTTCGAGGTCCCCTTCTTTTATAGACTTTCAGAATCTTAAGCTGTACTCAGTCTTTATCTGGTATTTTACACTTCAAAAAAATCTTTTTTCTCATTGACATAACATGGGGCACCAAAATTAGCGATTTTTGAGCTTTCAAAACGCCATAACTTCCCAACAAAAAGTCGGATTGAAATTTGGTTTGCAGATTCGGATTCCTGAGAAAATTCTACCCTTAATTCATAACTCATAAGTTAAATTATGAGAAATTTTTATTTTGACCTACTTTACGGACACCATATCTCAAAAGTGGGTCAAAATACTTTCTGACGGCAAAAGGCTCTCACTATTAGCACACTCTTTGCTACCTGTATACAAAATTTTGAAGCAAATCCTAAAAGTGTAGTGCCAGAATCGCAAAAATAAGGAAAAACTATGAATTTGACCTAGATTTTGACCTAGGCATTCTGGTGTCCAAATTTCGAAGTTATGTAGCTTTTGAGGTCCCCTTCTTTTATAGGCATTCAATATGTTAAGCTGAACTCAGTCTATATCTTGTATTTTACACTTCGAAAAAGCCTTTTTTCCCATTGACTTAACATGGGCACCAGATTTAGCGATTTTTGAGATTTCAAAACGCTATAACTTCCGAACCGTAAGTCGGATCAAAATTTTGTTTGCAGATTCGGATTCCTGAGATAATTCTACACTTATTTGATAATTCACACGTTGAATTTGGAGAATTTTTTATGTTCTGACCTACTTTTCGGACGCCATATCTCAAAATCGGTAAGAGTAATCAAAAAACGGTTTGCCTTACGGAATTAGCTTTTTTTCTAAGGAACATGATGAAAAAAACCCGGAGCAAAAATACCAAAGGACGACTGAGAAAACTTGTGAAATAGCAAAAAGAGACGATTTGACCTAGTTCTTGACCTTTGACCTAGATAAACATTTGACCTAATTTCCCAGAAACTAGAACTCATTACCTAGTTGACTATGTTAGCAGATTTTAGGAAGTCCCTCTAGTTGCTGAGAAAACGCGGAAAGAAAGAAAAATAATAATAATAATAATAATAATAATAAGAAAACTGGCAAAAGCAATAGACTCCAGATGAAATCTGGAGTCTAATAAGGTATAACTTTAGATCGATATCCAACAGTGTCTACCTAGTGGGAATATTGAAGATAATTGGGGAAAAAATGTCCTTTAATTCAAGGGGATCTACTGGGGATTGGTTCAATCACTCTTGCAAATTTCTTGCTTTAATTTAGCGATTTAACTTTTAACTGTAATCTCTCCAACAAAAATATATATCATTATTCTATATTAGTATTAAAAATTATTTCTATTTTAAAATTTGTTAATAAAAGTTGAAAATGTCATTTGATAAATTAGATTGTAACATTTAATGCCACCATCATTAGGTGATGACATACAAAGCAAGTTTCAGAAAAATATTATGGAATAAATAGCTTATTGATGGTCGTGATGGAATATGAATTTTTCCTTGAGAAAATATCATATTTACACTCGGTCAATATGATATTTTCCTTGGTCAATATCATATTTTCCCTCCAAATAAAATTCATATTCCATCTCTCCCATTAAATTACCTCTATTTATTGTAAGAGTATGCTGTTACTTCCTTTTGATATTGCAAATAATACATACTTGGCAAGAAAACATAAAATATCTGAAATTCCCGAGGATTTTTGACTTCTTATCAGACTGGTTTGAAGGAGATATTTTGAACTTTCTAACTGCCATTTTAATTACAGACAATACGATAAGTAATGTTTTCTGTCAATATGACTGACTGTGAATCAGAGGATGTTATTTTCTGAAAACAGATCATGAATCCAAACACAATACATGTAAAAACAATTTGGTAAAGGATTGAACCTGTGTCTTTTCGGCTGTGTTTTTCAAACATTAATTTGTAATTAGCAGTGTTATCTATCTCTTTAGCCAATGTCATTTTATCATCATTTAGAGCTTCATATCTCTGTTTAAACTTAAGTAGGAGACCATCTTGTTCCTTTTCCTGTTCAGAATGCATTTCCTGAATTAACAAACTCAGTTCTTTTTCTAATTGAGTCATATTTTTTAAGTGTTCTTTCATGAATTCTAAAACATTTATGATTTCATGTAATTGAGGAGTAAATTCTTCAAATCTATCTGTATACCATAAAATTAATGGAAGTTCCATGTTCTGTTGACAGAACACAGCATAGAGGATCATTGTAAAATTGAAAATATTCCTGAAAATGATTTGAACGTGAGGTATAAAACCTTTAATTGGTTGAATCAGATCGAGTGTTCTTAGTGACTCACTTAATATATCATGCAACTTTTCACATAATTCAGTAGGATCTCGGCCTATATTATATTCCTGAATGCACGTTTGAAGTTGGTCAACCAAGTCAGTAGCATTGTTTGATACCAATGGAACATTTGTAATAGTCAAAATTGTGTTATATGAATTATTTTCATGAATATCTTTAAACCTTGTAATGATGAAGACCATCGCCATTTTTATATATGAGATTGCGGAGTGTCGAAGGTTGATAACTCCCTGCTTCGTACTTTCAGCCTTTTTTAATGCCTCAGAGTATTCTTGACTTTGACCTTGAGGATGACTGCTCAGTGAATCAACATTATGCATTTTTTGGAACTCATGCACAAATATGTGCTCCTTGTGTTCAAATTCACAGCATTCGTCACATATTTTCTTATCACATGTTTTACATATGAATCTCCTAGGACTGAAAATGTGTTCTGGGCAAGTGTCTGTTTTTGAAGATACCCGTTTGCTCCTCATTACTATGATTTCATGATCTTTGTGCAACTGGTTTGTACATTTCGAGCATACAACGGTCACACATGGTACACACCAATGTCTTATACTCGATGAAGGCAGTTTTACTGAATGGCATTTGTTGCATTTATCAGTCATAGATATTGAATCTTTTATAGTAATTGGTGTCATTGTTTCCACAGATCTACTTGGAGGTTTATGTGTATTTGTGCTTATTGTTTTCTGCATTTTATCTGTATTCGTACCTTTTGTTTTATGTTTTTTAGTCGTATGAGTATTTGTACTGATATTTTTTGTTTCCACTTTGTCATTCGTCATTATACCTTTATGCTCCCTAGATATGTCTACCTGGATTGAATCTTGGACCCTTGGCACTATTTGCTTTGCAAGGAAGTTGGTAGTTAGCTGATTTATTCTTCCGTGGCTTAACATGGTCTCTTTTCTGCAATTTGGGCATTTTATGCGTCCAAATGAATGGCACGATTGTTGATATGTTTCCAAGCAGCCTTGACAAAACGTGTGTCCACATTGTAGCACTTTGGGTACCACTTTGTCATACTCCTCAAAGCACAAAGGGCAGTTGATGACATCATTCTTGTCGAGTCTCGTTGACTCTGTTAGAGATCCGGACATGTTGACCTGGATGTACAAAGTACAATGTTAGGCCTAGCATGTTTCTCTATATGTCTAGGAGGAAGTACAGAGAGGGAGGCTAGAAAGAGGGAGGGGCATAATGAGCGCTTCTCTATATGGCTAATTATTTAAAAACTGGCCCAATGCCTTCCAATCTTAAAATACACACTAGGGCAGAGCATTTGTACTGAAAGGAGCGTTTTCAGTACAAATATGTACTGAAAAATGTACTAGTTTTGTTTCAGTACAAATTTGAGTATATTTTTGTACTGAAAAATGCACTGAATTTTTTTCAGTATATTTTTCAGTACAAATTCATGTACTGAAAAATATACTGAATTTTAAGTACAAATTTAAGTATAAATATGTACTAAAAAATGTACTGAATTTTAAGGACAAATTTAAGTGCAAAAATATACTGAAAAATGCACTGAAAATTTAAGGATAAATTTAAGTACAAATATATACTGAAAATTATACTGAAATTTAAGTGCAAAAGTCAGTATAAAAATGTACTGAAAAATATACTGAAATTTAAGGATAATTTTAAGTATAAATATATGCAATGAGAAATATTCGTGCCCAATAATCACGGGGGATAAGCAAAACAATGGCGAAGCCACGGACTGCGACTCGCGTAACTTTACACCGCAGCCCAGCGCCAAAATGGAGGGACATCCGGCAGTGCCTACTGCTTCTTCCGACAAAATAGAGAAATCCAGGAATTTTAAATGCTATCGTATTGTCTAATCGGTGACCTAAATATTACTCTGTATCTACTGTTGGTCTGTAGATAAGAAAATAAGCAGTTGTCCAGATCAAGCTAAAACAGTAGCAAAGTTCTGATTTTACCTGTAAAATATGTCCATATTATTTAATTTACTATACACTTGAAAGGAGTTTTAACACGTTTCTGATATCTAAAGGTTAGTTGAGGCTCCGAGTATAATTCGTGAAAATGATTTGATAATAGAATGTGTTCATGAGGAGAAAATTAGATTCAAACTGCGCATTCATAGTGGACGCAGTCCAGTAAACAAAGCTATTTCAACAACGCAACACAGCCTCCATTGATATTCTAAGCAACGCAGTCCAGCCGCGAACACGAAATAAATAAGAAAGTGTAAACTATATTCCTACGCTATTATTGTTTCAGGAAAAGAAAGTCAGCATCCAGATTATCATTCAAAGTTACGTTGATTAACATATATCTATTACCTGAATCAATGTCCCAAATTGCTATATTGTATCGTTTAAGACCTAGAAATATGGCAATTCAATAGCATATTTGGCAGAACAGTCGAGCGCAAGATGACAACGTAATATGTTTATTACAAACCAATTTGTGGATAGGATTAAATATATAGATAATTGGATAGTGGTGAGACTTTTTATAAGAAGTAGAAATGCGAAACAATTAACTTTTTGATGATGCAATAAAAGCTGTTGGGGAAGGGTACATTAACTATATCTAGTATTTAAGATATCAGGAAAATATCAAATAATTGGAGAGTTGGTGAGTTAATGTAATTTTGGATGATCTTTCCAACAGTCCATCAATATTGCTAGCTACCACAAATTCATGATTTCAGCTGTATTTGACAGCTTGTATATATTTGCAGAATGGATTGAGACACGATGTAAGTCTATTAAAATAGCCCTTTATATTCAATTTTGTCCAAAGTTGCTCTATTTCGGCCACACCTGTACACACATTGTGCTATCTACCTTTGGCTGTGATTGCGTTCAGCTTCAGATATAAAGCAACACTGAGTCGTGGACTGCGTTGGACAGATGGATGGACTGCGACTATCAAAAATTCCAATTGTCTATGTAATTGTACGTTTTCCGCTTACCAAATATCACACGAAGATGTAATTGTAACAACAGAACATGAATAATTATATTAATTCGATGTCATTTCTGATTCCTTTGTTTAAATCGGTATATTAGGGACAAATATTGACAAAATTACATTTTTTGTGGCAGATTTCGAATTCATTTGTGATCATGCTAAACTATTGGACAGCCGAGCACCAAGAATGCCATTGCAGTTGGAGTATGAATATGTTGATCACCGACTGGAACATACTAGCTATTCTGTAGAATATCCAAACCAATAATCTACCCCAAATCCTAACATGCCTTCCAAATTAAGTTTGGACTTACCGCCATTGTTCAGCTATAATGCGTAGTAATCTCGTTTTGAATTACGCGAGTCGCAGTCCGTGGCTTCGCCCTCGTTTTGCTTATCCCCCGTGATAATGGAAATAAGAGAAAACGTAAATGTAAGGCATACTTTATAAACTCTAAATCACTCAAAAAGTTCTTAGAATGGTGAAAAAGTGCATGATTTTAAAAGAATTTTTGGCCAGGGGTGGGGGGTGTTCGCTTGGACCCCTGAAACCCCCCAACAGGAATGCTATTACATTATGAAATTATTTTGGATGCTTCCTTTACAGCAGCCTTTAACCAAACTTAAAAGAGTCTCTCTGTAATCAGTCAAAATATTTTGTTTTGTTAGTGGATTAATAAAGTTTTTTTAGACACATCCTTTAAAGGGATAATAACCTCAAGTAAAAACTATGATTCATCAGAATAATAAGTCTATAATCAAAAACATGACCCGGGTATGAGCGACGATCTTCTTATGCATCGGCAGATATATTGGAATTAATTTTGAGGTATTGGATCTTCACCTGGATTATGGAGGTCGCCATAACCTACCTATGAATATTCATGAGCGGCGTCACTGCGACTCGACAAATTCCAGCATTTTGATTGGCCCGAAAAATGCGCATGCGCAATTGTAGCGGGGCGGCCACATTGAAAAATATTACGAACTTCTTAACAAGAAAATGGAGCAATTTGAAGATTTTGAAGATGTATTTGGCATATTGACATACTATAATATGATATCACCTGTTCGAGAAAAACATGACCATGTTCACTTCAATACTTACAATTCATAGAATTAACTCCCAAAGTGCCAATCAAAACCAAAAACTGACCAACTCGTGAACGTTGGTTACCAACATGACAGGAAAATGCGTTAATTTTATGTTGACAATCAATTATCTCTCGATCGTTTTGCTTGAAGATTAAACATATTCGGATCTTTTATTTAATAAAATGACGAATGGCAGATATTAATTGGATTTTTGACACTCTGTTATAAATATAAGGCAGAACTGATAATGTATTCCCCGTCATGAATGATCGCGATCGATGACGCAAGGTTCATCATTTCGATCACCATGAAGGTGTATTTTTGTTGTATTTACAGTAGACAACAAACAATTTAAAGGCTCGTAGACCTAGTATGTTATATTTATTTCACAAATATGGTATTAAGTTATAAAGCTATTAAAGACATACGATACGATACAATTCAAAAAGTTTTTTCAAAATGGCGTCGACCTAACCGGCACATGACCTGGTTCAGTTCTCTTTTTGGGACTGGATTGCTCGCCTTGAATCTGTTTTCTTTGGTACTTGTGAGAGGATATGTATGGTATGGCAATTGCCCGAACGACAGTGAGATTCCATTGTCGATAACGACAGTGTTATTTCTGTTGCCGATAGCAAACTGTCGTGGGTAAACCCGGAAGTAAAATTGTGTTCAATCTACGCCGTTTGAGGAGAAAATCAGCTAAAACAACTTGCCCCGCGTGTCTAGAACCATCATCACTGTAGCGTCTATATAATCAATACTTACTTGAAATATCCTGACATCGAACTAAATACTGTAAACCACTCTAACTTCAGTTGTTATTCATTTTTATTCACCAATCTATTTTGAAGAGCTTTTGAATAGCGATTTCAGCATTTGAGGCAATCTGCGCCAGTTCCTCTTGATTCGGAATCTAGTTCATGCGCATTAGAATGAATAATTTGATTGGCTTAATTCCAAAAACACATGCGCACTTGTAAATTATTTCAAACTACTAGGCATGCGTGAAGAGTTGAAGCAAAAACGAAACTGCTGCAGATTACCCTACTTATTCGATGGCGGAATTAGAAAATTCGTTATTCAAAATGTTTTCCCGTATTGGGGAGAAAAACACAACCCCAGGATAGATATAGGATGACAAACAAGACAATAATAAGTAGGAATCTTTGATTGTTAAAAGCCGTGCATGAAACTTTTCAAAAACTATAGTAAGTGACACTGTTTTAAATGTGTTCTATTCCCCGGGGATTCGGTCCACGACAACGACAGCTGGTTTGAACTGTCGACAGATTTTAATTATACCGTCACCAGCCGACTGTCGTACTGTCGTTCAGGCATTTCTTTTAAAGTCCTTATCCCAAGTCTAGCTCTATCAGTGGAAATATTTGAACAATTTACCACACAACACATAGGCATTTTCCTTTGTTGTGAATGCTTTCAAGATGGCGACTCAGGTCGCAGAAACGTCACACTTCCGGTCTACATCCGGGTCTCTGAGGGAAATATGGCGAGCCCCGTCCAACAGACAACTGGGTCACTGGGTCAATTTATGATTTTTATTTTCAATATTATACAAAAACTAACACATAACAAGATTTTCAACTTATTGCATTTTATTCAGTAGTATTGTAACTACATATAATGATGATTAGAATACCTGACATTATTTCCGCTTTAAAGCAGACTCTATAACTGGAGAGGCTAGGTTTACTGTAATCAAGTGATTTCCTTTTTAGAAGTTATGTCTATGGATTTATTAAAAACGGCCTAAATCACTCAAAAAGTTCTTAGAATGGGCGGGGGGGTTCGCTTGGACCCCTGAACCTCCCCCCCCCCAGGAATGCTATTACATTATGAAATTATTTTGGATGCTTCCTTTACAGCAGACTTTAACCAAACTTAAAAGAGTCTCTCTGTAATCAGGTTTGTTTTGCCTTGTCAAAATATTTTGTTTTGTTAATGGATTAATAAAGTTTCTTTAGACACATCCTTTAAAGACTCTAATCAAACTGGAGAGGCTAGGTTTACTGTAATCAAGTGTTTTCCTTTTAATAAGTTATGTTTTTGGATTTAATTAT